TGAAAAAAATGTATTTTAGATGAAATTGGTCAATTGATCTCAAAGAATACTACTAATCATTAAGTATATCTAATACCGGTTTTGCTTAAATGTTGCTTTACTTCTTACAGTAAGTTTAATGTTTGTTTCATGTTAATCAAAATTGAGAAATTTGGGCTTTTATGCTTTAGGCTAATTATTGAGTAAAGATTTGGTAATTATAAAGAAAATAGAACTATGGTGTTCGGGCTATTTACAAATATCAATTCGGTAGGTACAGTAGATTTACTGGTCGAATGAAAAATTTCTCACTGAAAGTTGGAATTTTCATCCTTCCACGCCCCTCCAAAATTAGCAACTTGTTTTCGTCCCTGCAGTATCAAGATTCTGTGAAGTTAAGCTGTTCTGTACGATTGGCTGATTAGAATCGTTAATGATCATTAGATCATTAGAATCGATTGGCTCTCGTTTTCCAATCAACACGTCATTTTTCTGAACGTATAGGCTTAGTGCCTTGCCAATTTTTAAAATTTCATTAGTTGTGAGATGATCTCCTGTTAGAGGTATAAAGTTTGTCATTTTGCCGAGGTAAAGGAAACTCTAGATATATACAGAACTATATCTAGGTATATTACTCTGAAAGACGTGCGTTTGGAAACATACATTATGTTGATTCACTGTGTATAGGCCGTTTATTGGGTGAGATAAAAGCACCATTTTCTGGCCACCACTTAGGCCTATTTGACATGTCTTGCCAGAAATATCTTTGGTGGCTCCCTCCATTTTCCATATTTGTAATGAAGTACCGGAGGTCCTCGATGCTTAGTGCAGAAACACTTTCACAGAAACAAGCAAGCAGAATCATTAGAATAGTTCGTGCATGTCACATTTATAGCACTGTACACACTTTTTACTATTACAGATTGCTTTTTTTCTTACAGTAGTTTTGACATTGTTGCTTTTTATATTCATGGTTTTTATGGCTGACAAAAATTTGGTCGATTTACTTACAATGAAATTGTGAAAGCTTTTAATATTGAGAATGAATGCCTATATCAATTCAAGGTATACACTGTTGAAAGTGTTAGACGTTCAATAAATCTTCTACTCAAAAGAAAAAAAGTGTACGATTTAATAATTCGCGCAGATATAATAGCATCATCAGGTGAGCATAATCGATGATCACTACCTTGAAACTGAAGGTGTCATCAGCTTCCTCATTTTTTGATGAATCCATTGTTGTTTTAAGGTTAATTTATTGCTGCAATTTCTGTAAAGTGCTTTGAAAGAACATAGGAAATGTGCTATGGACACAAAGTTTTGAATTAATCATGGGAAAAGTCAAGAGCAGAATTAGAAAAGCTAGAAGCCCTGCCTCGGTGCCCTAGATTTGATATATGAATGTCATTGCCCGTGCAGGCTGAGTCGGGGGTAGTATACCTCGGCCTATGTAATACAAAATTACTGCTTCAACATACGTCTTAATATCTCTTCAAATTTTAACTTCTTGCGGTGTTTCTTGCGCTGCATTGATGGCAGCACCTCCGAAATTGTTTCGGAGGCCAGCGCCTCACAAACAATTTTTTTGATCAGAGTGATCGACTCTCTAAATGCACCAACTAGCATCGGATGTCCTGAAGAATAACACAGTTTAGAAATTTTTATTATAAAAGATGACATGTAACTAAATCTTTGTTATCAAAGACTGTTTCAATTTCTTTTCCTTCAACTGCTTCTTCTCTGCTAAATATGTGAAGCTTACAAAAATAATGCGATGCGAATAGTTTGAATTCTCACCTGAAAATTTTAAATTGTTTCCTTGTAAGTACATAAACAGTACTGGTGTAACAAATTTTTTTCCATTGTTAACCCATTTCTGAAACAAGATATTCATTCTAACATCATCCTTAAAATAGTCTTATTTGTTGAAAATAGGAGTATTACCACCAAATAAACATTTGGCTATGTAATTCTTTCTGATTGACGGCTATTTGTACAAATAATCTTCATTCTAGAAGGCTGGTTCATTATATTTTGATTATAGTTTTCCAGAAGTATCCGTTCACGTTTTTAAACATTTTTAAAAGCAAATTCATACAGGGCGTGTTATCTACGATATCATATCTATAAAACGATACAGAAAGATTCCCTTTTTCACCTTCGTTCACTTGATAAAAGATATGTTGCAGCCCGGAACATCCGTAAATGATTTCAGTCTGGTATGGCAAACTTTCAATGAGCCCACATCCGAATATTTTAATAAAGCAATAACTACAAGGATTGAGGGACCCACCAGTGTCCGGACAAAAACAATAGTTTTAATTTTCAGGGGCGGCACATCAAGTAAGTGGGACACATTCCCCATCAGTTTGAAAGTTTAAAGAAGTAACAGATAGCGTCTCACCCCTAAATGAGCATGGTCAAATGATTTTTTGCTCCATAGCAAAACCTCAAATGAATCCTCGATACCATCTATTTGGGCTTCATCTTCTTCAAAACCACCAAAATGCACGGTTGAAGGACAATTTGTAACTTTGAGATTTGTCCTCGTACGTCTTGCCATCGTTTTTTACTGCTTCTATACCAGGATGCAATATACCAGGGATCATAGCAACGAAACATACAGTATGTTGTCGAAGATGCGTGAAAAGACGAGGCTCCCATTTTCTGTTCTTAAATTTGTTTGATTAATGTCTTTGACTTGGAGAACTAAATGCAAAACGATCGTGATCCAAATTAGGTTACTTTTTTCTCGCATAAGCGGAGTATTATTTATTTCTTGAAACTTCTAATTGATGTGTTGATGCTCAGCAATAGGCTTATATGTCCTTCTCGTTGAAGCTCACCTTGGTTTCATCTAGCTTTTTAAATTACGCCAGGAAACGAAGTTTCAGTCGTATACCTTGCATAGGTTTGGGTACAAGTACTGTGGTCTGCAAATTGCTTTTGTGGAATTTCTAAAGTTGTTTTTTCATCTCATTTTATTCAGCACATCAAATAACGCCAGAAAAAAGTTTCAGTTTTATAACTTGCAAAGTCAAAATGTTTTAGTGCTATACCTAGAAGAGGACTGGGTACCAATACCTGAGTCTAAAATTAGCGTTGGGGGAGGGGGGCGTTGGGGGAGGGGGGATTTTGAAGCTTGATATTGTAATAATCTTATTCAGCATATCGGATTGTGTATTTTGCGTCTGCATTATCATGAAACTTCAGAAAGCAAGTTGTTTGACAAAACGCAGAGCTTGAACAGCCATAACTTTTTGCTTAAAGGTCAGATCACATTGCTCTTCTTATATATTTTGCTCAGTTTTATAAGCTTTTCCTGATGGTATCGTCAGATTCGAAAAATACGAAAGTTTTGGTGAAACGCGACTTCCACTTATTTGCAAGAATTTTCGCAAAGCTTAAAATAATCAGTGGCCTTCAATTTTATGATTTAAACTTAACAACTTCGGTTAGCAGGTTGCTAGATGGTCATGCAAAATTCCCTTTCTGTGTCTAAAAAAGACGTAGTCTCAGGGTCTTAATATTAGCCAAGAAATTTTTGTAATTCTGTAATAGGTTACTGGTAATATAATATCAATAATGAGCATTTTTTGCTAGCAATTTTCGTACCCCATTTTTCGATATTTTATAGAAATATCACAACTCCTCACAGATTTGCAATTATCACAGAATCAAATTTCCAATAGCTTACTCCCTCGTCTATGAGAATACTATAACTTTCCCGCAGCTAGAAGCAAAGTTGTTTGGCAGGGACGGATTTAAGCGGAAAGGATTGGGGGGGGGATGGTGTTGGATGATGATTGGATACATACCCTTCAGGATGCTGGAAACTCATGGAAATGCCCATGTTTACACTTAGTCATGAAAGTTATAAATGAAAGTTATATTTATAGACTTGATCTCTCAAGCGCTGAGTTAGAGATGTGTTAACGAAAATGGTTTCTTCTGACTACCCAAAAAACCCCAAACTCCCCCGGTAAATCCGTCCCTGTTGCACTGTGTTGCGATTTACTCTTCTTCAATTAGTTTTGTTATTGTTTTTAATGTTCCTCTTGATGTTTTTGTTTTAAACGGTTATTAGCATTTAGCTTACTACTTGTATGATTTTATGACAACGAAATTCGTATTAGCAAAGAAACTTGGCTGTTGATTTAGATTACAAAATTACAAGCATTGTTGTATATTTAAATAGTCGTGCAGATTACAAGCATTCTCATCAATGAAATATTCTTGGGGCTGAAACACAAAAGAGTGAGCTTTACAAACTTTTAGTGAAACATCACTGCCATGTGTTTGTATGTAAACCAGTTAAACATAGTTTGTTGGTAAACGCCCAATGGCATAAAAATGTCTACTTAACTGATCCAGAAGAATAGTGGGTAATTCTATCAATAATTTCTAGATAAGTTTGAAGTTGCTAAAATCGATTTTCAAAATTAAAAGCAAAGAAAGTTCTTTCGAAGCTTCTTCAACGAAGTGAAGTACCTTGTTGAAAGCGTGTAAACATGATTGTGAAAGGAACGGCCGGAAAATGCCCTTTTTGAATATACTTGCTTCTTTGCACTTTTTTATAAGCAGCTTGATTCAGAAAATATATCAATTACTATAAAGATATATTTATCAAGATAAGACACTAAGAAAATGAACAAGAAGGGTTTTTAGTCAAGATAAACTGCTAGGATCTGTTTGAGTAAACTTTCCAAAGTTGCGTTAGAGTAAGCTTTCCAAAACATTTACTAACCTATCTTTGCAAAAAAGTGGGGGAGGGCTATAGGTCCTGCTAGCTCCATGGCCGCGCGGTGTCTGCCTTCCAATTTTTAATGTTAGCAATCCTTCCATCGATTTCTGTTATAGTTTACTACAGAATCTTCAGGGGTGTAGAGCTAGGGGGCTCAGAGGGGCTGAGCCCCCCTTGTTAATGCCTAAAATTGGCAAATTCCTACTTTTGCTGTTGTTTTTTGCAACATTTTGTGCAAGAGCCCCACCCCCCACTGGGCACTGGGTAGAATGCTCCTCGCAGGTGTCGCGTGACTTTCTGCATTAAAACTGTCTACTACCTCGGATATCCCTTATAATTACAGTTGTTTTATTGCGATTGCGGTCCATCCAATGACCAAATTAACTGATCAACACTAATTGATATTTTTTAAACAGTCATACCACTATTGTTTATATATTACTTCCTCCATGAGAAAGGAATCAGCTATTCTTCTAATGCATGAAACCTATAGAAGAATATTATTTTTTTCATTGGCTATTATTAGGCCCGCTCTTCTAAGGGTCTGCTTATATGGAGAAAATCATCCCATATTCTAGCCTGTGACCCGAGAGGTGAGATCCCGCCCTCCTATGGGTGAGATCCCATTTATCAGGCCCGCTCTTCTAAGATATCTCAGGGTGAGCCTCTGGGGGAAGGCCATACCCCTTTCTTAAAGTAATGAAAGATTGTGATTTTTATATGCCCTCGTCAATGGAGGACAACGGTACACAAACATAAGTGAGCGAGTAGAAAACAATATTGTTTCATGTGGCTAGAGCACGCGGTCGACCTGTGTATTTGTGGTTAAGCTGAAATTCTTGGATTGATCCAATGATTCCAAATTAAATCAAATGCTGTATTGACTTTCAGAATGATACTTAATTTGGTTTGATAGGAAGGTGCTCGAGCCTTACCAAAATACATGAAATGACACCGCATTGTATACTCAAAGGACTTTTGTGTACGGCAATCTGGGACTAACAAGCAAAACACTTCCGTAAACATCACTACTCAATGAAACCGCATCACAAAATACAAATTATTTACCTAAATTTCTTTCTTTTTTAAACGTATCTCACGCCCACGTTACCATCTGAGTCACATTTTGGTAACTTTCAAACTTCTCATGATTAGGAGAATGCAGGCCTTTTCCAACTGCAAAAACATCCATTATTCTCTAGACGAAAAACTAATATAGCTGTTAAAGGCAGATGACCCAGCCACATTTTCTAAGAATATTGCATATATTTTGCTGTAGATCTTTCTTTCATAATGCTTTGAGAAAAACGTACCTTCTGACCTCACCATGTTCTCTACTAAGAGGCGAAAAGAAGAGACGAAAATTTTGAAGAGGCACAATATCACCAATTTCTTTGGCTCTGGTTCTCTGGGAAAGAGGGGCCAGAATAGACATTTGAGATACATAAAAGCAATAAACCCGAGGGGCAATTCACTCTTGCAAATAGCGTACGAGATTTTCCCTGAAACAAAAGGATTTTTGGGAATTTCCAGATAAAACAATAGGATTTCCACCAAAGGTGTTAGAGATTTTTTGGAGTGATTTGCCCCTCAAATAAACCATCCAAATTCTACTTTCATGTAAGTTGTTAATGACGAATTATTTTTTTCAATATAATCAAAAGCAGAGATTCCTAAGTGCAATGCAGAAGGTATTCTGTTCTGATGTTTCGGTAGGGAAGCTTGTTGTTTGTCATCTGCGTGCCATGATCATCACGTTGTTTTTGATTGCTCCAACCAAAACGACAATGATTGTAAAAGAGCGGCTAAACCTCAGATGGGAAATGAATGTCCAATTTGTGTTGTGTTTTCAACCACTGCACTTGTGTCTTGTGTCACTGCTAATTGTTATTCCGCTTTAACGCTATTTCCGATTGCAAATCAGATAACATTTATAAAGGCGGAATAAACAATGTCCGGTTCAATCACTGATCTATTTGCCTTTCAGCCAGTCAAGCATTGAAATCTCCTAACTGAGAATACCGGACCAGTTTTTAAGTCATTGAGATAAGAGTATGCACATATAACAGTTACACCCGTAGAAAGATTTGTTCTGTACGCAAACAAAACGAAATGGATGAAATGTTTCCATTAGCTCAGTTACGCAATTCATGCATTGATTACAAATTTGTCACACAAAAAATTCGCTTCTTCAAATATCATTTGTTTAAAAGTTATGTGTAATAAAAGCTTTCTTTACCTCAAAATTTGGCTACATTTCCAACGCTGAAGTTAACCCTCCTATAGAGTGGGAAAGGCAAATAGCCGGTTGATCTAAAGTAAACGTATTCTCAGACTTTTTGAATTTTTAACATATAACCTGAAAGACACTTTGAAATATATCTAAATATACAAATTAAGTTCTGCTACATATTTCCTGAGATGTGACGAGTAAAAGATCCAAGTTTTGCAAATGGTTTACTGGTCTGGTGCACAGGTTTTAGAACGAGAGCAAAAAATAACGTCTCATGGGCATTGCAGCATTGTATCTCAGGTGATTCACTATTTCAGTGTGTTTCACTGCCAAATATCAAAAATATTTAAAACTGATTTTTTGACGTTCCACTCTATTCAGAATAGAAGGACCATATTTTAATTTAACTTTCTTCAACATTAGGAAAAATATTGACTGAGAAGAATGGCAGGAATATGCGTTCCCTTAGTTACAAGCATTGCTTCTCTAATCTAGTTCGAGTATACAAATAATATCCCTATACATTAACCTTTGCAATGATTCCTAGCTGTAAGATCGTTAGTCGTTTCTACCATTGGCCATTCAAATCATTATTTCAACGAGGCTTTTTATTTCAACAAAAAACCATTCGTCTACACCTCTCTGTCCTAGTATAATTAAAAAAATTTATGCATTCCTCCGAAGACCTTGGTAGAATTCTGCGAAGGACCGGCTATAGAATAGTCTTGGACCACTGCGTCATGTGCCCCATGGTCCGTCTTTTAGTGCAGGCTGCTCTATGCAAACGCACCTTACCCTTTTCCATTATGTCTTCATTATTCATACCCAACAATACTTCCAAGCTTTGTTCAACAAAAAACTGCATGACGGCTCGGACACTTTATTTTTTCTTTCTTCAGAACACAGTTGCGGCTCTTTCAATTCGATATAGGCCGTCTTGCCGACCTTTCTTTATAACTGCATGACACATCGTTGCATTTCAATTAAACGTTTCGCTTCTTTAATCCCATTGCACATTAGCGTTTAATCGCCAATTAGGTTTATGGCAAATTTATGAAGCAGTCAGCTAATCGATATCAGAGAGAAGAAAGTTGCAAGCATTAAGGATGTATCAAATCAAAGTGATGTTGCTGACCGCCTTTTTCCTAAGATGCTCCTTTGGTTTCAAAGAAGGTATGAAGAAATATGTTATATCTAAAGGCTTTTTCGATTGGTTTTAGTATGTCTAAAGTTGTGAACTAAAACATTCAATCAAATGATGGGCGTTTGTTTGATGGTGTTGGATACACAAAGCAACTCAGGTCGTTGTAGTACTTTTGTTACTGAGATCATAACATAACTTTAATGTTTATGGTTAACAGACACTCACAAAATATATTTGCCAGAAATATAATGTTTTGCTCGCGTTTTTGGCTGATTTGCTTCAATATTGGTATCCTGAGTACCAATTTGTTAGTTTCTTGTACGCGTGGTAGCAAAATTGCCAGTATGAATTTGATGAATAATCAGATGAATTTGCCTTCGAAGTCTGTCATTCCTTGGTATGTTATGTAATTTTTTTGGAGAAAAACCTTTAAATATGTGGTGCTGTTTTGTTTTGCAAATAGCTTTCAAATTCCTAGCGTCTTCTCTCGAATTTCAACATATTTGGGTAGTTTATACTACTCGTTTTTTCTTGCACATTCATATTATCTCTTCTTTGTGGCAAAGCCAAGATATTTTTGAAGAGGTGCGACTGTTCTTGAAGAGTTGTGATCGCACCTCCCTCCCTTCCAATTTTCAGCCTTGATTGGTCCACATGGGGTAGAACGGTGGTGAATGGCCCCTCTTCATGAAATAAAGGGAATTATAGTCCCAAACGTAAACTATACTTGTGTTATTTATGCCAAAACTCTGAATAAGATTTTATTGATAATGATGAGTATCATTCGCAGGATTCATCATTCGGCACTACAGTGGCCTCTGCCTTGCTATCAACAACAAAACACATAGCTTGCATCTGGACCGCGCCTGCAACGACAGATTCCGGTGGAGTACATTCAAGACCATTTTACACATTGCTAGTTCGCGTTGTTTGATGCCTGAGAATGGTAAGGACGATGCCAAAATCATTGCCACGAAAGACTGCAATAATCCATCCACAGCATTCATGTTATCTGGGAACCATTCCCTTCAGCACATCGGAACAAAGAAATGTCTGCACCCTTATTGGGGCTGCCCCGTCCCATCTCAAGGGGAAACTGTTGTACTACATGCTGCATGCAATCAAGAACGGTTGATGTTCGAATTCATTGAAGGTCAGTCAAAAACATTCCAGTTTTTATTTGACGCCAATCCTGCTGTACTTTAGATAAACTTGTAAAAAAACGAAATTCATGAAAAATTTTAAAATTTTATCTGCAGAGCTGAAGCTATCAAAAGAATTAAAAAGGCAATGAAAAGATTTAGACTTTGGCCACCTTTCGGTATTAAAAAGGGAAATCGTCACCAATCTCTCTCTATAACAGGAGACCCTTGTAATAAGCAAATGTAGTTGATCTGTAATTAACAGAGCAATTTTGAGATTCGCCAGCTGCAAAAAGCAGACGATCAATTGTCTAGATTATTTGAGACAAAATAAAGTTGTTTTCCTTGCTTTTTGCAGTTTATTAAGCTGTTTTTCGTAGTAGAGAATTGTTGTGTTGGGAATAGAAGCAGCATTCTCTAATTATTAGAGAACTAGAGGAAGCGTAATCTTTTGAATGTTTTGATAAGAACGTTACTGTTAGAAAACGTGTACTGCAATCAGCGCTCTTTGAGCCTATAGATGCTCAATTAGGAACAAATTTCATCGAGAAATATTAGCAGCAAAAGGGCTTATAATGCATACATTATTTTTTATTTGAAGTCTTAAAACCCTGGGTACCAGAACCTAGGAAACTGGAAGTAAAAATGCTCATAAATAAAACGGCGTTCATCTCCATTTCGGAGCATTTGCGTGTTCTTCAAAAATTAAAGCAGTAACACATGATTCCAAATGATTTTTTTCTAATCATTTTACCCAGAAAATATGGCCACCATTTATCAGAGGTTTTTAGAGTCCTTTTTCGATGAATCATCTATTTTAGGAAATGATGAGGAGCGATAATTTCTCTCTCTTTTCTCGTTAAAATTTTCCTTCCCAGCCAGTAGGTTCTGGTACCCAAGTTATTGTCTTTACTGCGGCACGATACATCTAATAGACCATGCAAATGATTTCAAGCTCTTATCATCTTCAAATCTTCCTTGCAGAGGTGTCAGTTTGTAGGCCCCTGTACCCCTACTGTACCAGCAGTCCAGTATCGTTGAGCAAAGCCTCAAATTGTTTGACAAAGCAGATTACGAAAGGCCTAGGTAAGTTTTTACAGTTGGTCTCAAGCTTTCAGCCATGCGTTCTCTTTTCATAATAGTTCATATTACTTCATTGTTGTTCAGGAATAGGTTAGCAAGCTCCCGCCAGTTTATTTATCTTGACGTTTTGACTTCATTTGTGACTGTTATAACAGGGACCGTGAAAGCTGGGTGTCTGGGAGCTTTAATTATTCCTAAATTGTACTTTAAAAAAACAAAAAGTATGTTTAAGCATTTAACAGGTTTAGCCTCCAAAATGTTCTAGCCCCATCCAAAACTTTTTAGCCCCCCCCCCCCTATCAATATCCAATAATTTCTGCGGTCTCAGTCTTATAAGAGACATATTTTGACAAAACAGCTGCTGCTCATCTAAATAAACATCTTGGTAAATTTCTATCACAGTTCTAAAATTTACTGGTGGTTTTGTATCTTTGGGATGGTTATAGCGAAGAGCCCTTGATAATTTGCGCGGTTTCAAAAGCTCCTTAGTTATGATCTTATACTAAAGTACTTGTAACTTCATTTATCTTTTAAAAGCTGATACCTTTTACTCTAGGAGATGACATTTCCTTTACTTGATAATAAGCAGACAAACTGCACAGTTTAGATTTTGCTTTCGTAAGCTCACTTCTTTCCACTAAGCGTGCCTCAACTACAGACTAAGCGTGTGAGATTGTTAGACTTTTTAAACTCTATTGCTACTATATTTGCTATAGGAATCCTTTTCACATAGATTTGTTTCCATAGATGTATTTTTTTCAACGTTTGATGATATATACAAAAATTATCATATTTCCACACCAATAAAGGATTCACATTGAAATCTTTTCATTCTCGATAGATTGGCACTGGGTGTACATAATTTCCATAACAGGAGCAACAATCCTCCTTGGCCAGTGGATTTTCATCATCTGCATGTGCTACAAAATGGAAAAGAAGGCTAAAACACCAAGGGAGAAAACCATTCATTTTGGAATAAATGCAAAAAAGAGGGAGTCTCTGCCTGGAAATGAGGCTGAGGATGTTCACATGATCAGCATAACTTCGACCGAACAGAAGCCTTCCTATGAAACCCAAGCTTCTGCGCAGTCATCAACATCAAGTTTTGAAGAGGTAATACCATTTAATTTTATTGGCCATAATGTCTAACAGTCATGCAGTTGAAATTATTGCAGAAAACTAGTTTTTCGCTGAAAGAAAAGTCGATAAAGTTGCAAGATTTTGCTCGTGACGTTAGCGTATGAAGCATTTCGAAAGTATGGGCGGCACCTGTAGACATTGGGGCAATACACCATTCAACTTACGGCCTCGTTTTGGAAATTACTCTAAACTTTACTGCACGTCTTTTTTATCTCGAATTTGGTTTTATCGCCATAATTTTAAGCCGAATACAATTTTTTATGAGAATTAATCGCTTAATTTGAGTTAATACCCGCGGGGAAAGTGCGCAGATCCCCCTTTTCCAGAATCGGGTGGTCCCGCATGTATATCCTTAGTAGGCTGTGGATATCAAGTTACCTAGCTAATTGCTAATCACCTTGTGGTGTTTTCTAGGTGGTCTTGCCCTAACATATTAAGTACAGTGATGCAGCTCGAGTCACGCCATATTTTGCAGCACGACTCACGCGTTGTTGTATGCGTTTTCCCCTCCCATCTTTGTCCCCTGGTACTCGTTTCTCCTTCTGCCTATACCCCCTTACATACTTCCTCCTGCCTTATCCTGTCTCACTTCTTCTCACACAGTCAATCGATTGACTGCAAAAATCACGGTCAAAATTTTTGTCTTTTGAGGCCATAAAATCTATATCGTGAGCAATAACGTAATGTAACCTTCAGGTAGACTGGAATTCTTCCTCTTAATTCGAAGCTGGGCTCAAAAATTTTGTACAAAATATTTGAAGAATGAAGCTGTAAGTTGAAATGGTGTATTAATTCCCGCAAACTTTTCTTCCCATGAATTTTCCTCTCTTTTAGAGTAGATAGAATAAATGAATGTATAATGGCAGTAGTTTGCTAAAATTGTATTTTTCCATCTTAGAAGTCATTTGCATCGTGTAGTGATGACAACCCGACAAGAGATGAACGCACCTACATAAACATAGATTACAACCAAAACAGCAAAGGCGGCAATGGAATACTGGGGAGAAGAAAGAACAACAAGGAACGAAATTCGAAACGATTATCAAAGTTATCGATTGATGTTTCGAAAATGCGCCATATGTTCAAGATACGAAAAAACTACACGCTGAATGACCTCGAAATGCTTAAAAGAATTTCCATAGAAAGACACCATTATGAAGAGCCTATAAGTCCATTATCAACCAGCTCGGCTCCTGGCAGTCAAAGATCAAGGCCTAAAGGTGAAAGCTCTGATTACATTGAACCAGATGCAAAGTGCACCCGAGGGCGAAGTGCGAGTGTACCCGCAAAGTTTACAAGCCAGGATACTCCTTACTTAAAGCCAGTCGTTAGCGAAAGAGACAGAAAGAAGAGTTCTGAAAGTAGTTGTATATCGTATGTCAATATCAAACCAGCATCGCCTTTAAGAAAAGAAAGAAACTTATATGACATGCCAGAAATGGCATTGATCGAGGATGATGCCGAAGACTGCCCTTTCCAGGTAGAGGCACATACTTACGTCAAAATTTTAGACTCGTAATTCAAATCAAATGCTTTAACTTTATGTCAAAGCAATATATTTGCCTTTATTGTGAATAATAGCTCGATCGTTGTAACTTCGTTAACTGTTGCTTTTTACGTTTTTATAGTTCCAATAGAGCATTCTTTTGAATTGAAAATGTATTTTAAAACTCTTTAAGAATTTTTCAAAACTGTAAAATAACTATCCTTGTGCTTCATTGCTGTTAATGCTTAAAGTAAATAATTTGAGCAAGGGGCTGTCCTTTGTTCCGCACTCGGTAATGTTTGGATGCAATGCATCTTTTTAGGGGCGTGGCTCATTTCACGCGATTCTAGAGAGTACTGTCAATTTTCGTATGAGTTGTGTACGTCTTTTGATTTCACATTTGAAAACATACTACATTGTTCTTTAGGCATGCAGCTAAGGTAACATAAAGATATATGATGTTCCATGTATCTGAGAACGGGCAAGTACAGGGACAGCGGGACATATCATATGTTAGGAGAAGGCTGAAAGTTTTTTAGGGCATAATATCCACGAAAGAAAGAGCAAGATGATTACTTGTATGATTTTCGGGACACTTTTGGGATTACCGGGGGAGAAGGGCTTTAGGGATTACCATTCCCACAGTCCCTGAGCAATTATTTGTTTGTCTTCAGGTAGACACCTAGAAAACAGTCTCAATTACCGGCTTAGCTTAATCATTTCGATTTAGTATCGCAGAACCTGAAAGTGGAGCGAAATCAGAATGGAATTCATGCTTGCAATAATATCCCGATATTTTATGTCAATTTTTTGTAGATACGTTCATAGATTGGTTTTATTTTTGTATTCGATTATTTGACACACATTTAGTAATTTGCATACCACTTTATTAAATCAAGTAGATCAATAATCCAATGTGACAGAGAATAATTCTTTTCTTGCTTTTACTTCTAACGATTGTATCATTTCAAATCCCATTTAGAAATATATATCTTCTGAAACAATATCAAAGCATTTAACAGTGATTGGTTTGCAGATTTTTGGGTACTTTATTAAGATAAAATTCTAAAACCTACGTTTTCTTTTGGAATTATACAACATCCAGATTATATTGAATTTGATATTATAATTGATATTGATACTGATATTGAGACTGATATTGATGCTGATAATGATGCTGATATTGATCTTGATACTGATATTAATACTGATATTGATACTGATACTGATAATGATGCTGACATTGATATTGAGAATGATATTGACGTTGATGTTGATATTGATACTGATGCTGATATTGATCTTGATACTGATATCGATGCTGACATTGATATTGAGAATGATATTGATGCTGACATTGATATTGAGAATGATATTGATGTTGGCATTGATATTGATACTGATACTGATATTGATGATAAGTTGTTATACTTCATTTGACCCAAGGCTTTGCGATGAAGCTCAAAGGCAGTAAATGATGTTGCGATTTCCAACAAATATCTCGTATTAAATTTTGATCTGCATCAGTGATGTCACACAATCATCCAGAATTCTATCGTTTCCAAAAACATTTATGTACACACTGGAAAAGGGGCCTACAGTTCCCCGAAAAAAATACAAATTTGTCAAAAAAGTATTCAACTTGACTACATCTGAATTTATATGGAAGATTTTGTCTTTAGCATCACCAAAAACGACTTAACTCACATTGTGCCCCTGCTTGCTTATATCACCGAGTCCACAGCATTGCTTGCTTTCTTGAGTCGGCTATTGATAACAGCTTCTTTGGTTTTCTCTGCTAAAAAAAACAGTTTTTAGACTTGAAAATTTCTATAAGAATGACGATTAAACTTTTCAAGAGGCATATGCCTTGGTTTGAGGAGAGCAAATGAAAGCAAACCTATAAACTTGTCCAAGGTGATGTATTTTTGTTAACATAAATCTAGATTTCTATACATTTTTTAGATGCATTCGTTACCATTGTGTCGAGTGTCTTCCTTTAACAGTTGTGATGCAATAGTGCCAGGTAGAAAGGGGTTAAACGTTAAACGTAACGGCCAACAAAGGAAGTTAAAGCTATCGATGGAAAGAGAAGAGTGAACACCGGATCAAATAGAGAAAACAGGAGAAGAAGAAATAATGTTTCTTTGTTTAGGCCGGGTTACACGATCACTTTTTACCATCACTTTTTTCGATATTGGACCAACATGCTGAAAAGTGATCGTGTAACATACTAAAATTTTCCGTTTTCGCTGCAGAATTTAATGCGCTTATCAGGTGTTAATCCTTCATCATTGGAAATTTTACTCTGAACGAAAGCAGAGTAAAATCGAGTTCATCACTTTTTTTCAAAGGCGCCGACAAATTCTTACGTCACATGATGTTTTGATGAGAAGGGAACGGCCTAGAGTATCGAGAAAAGAAGAAAAAGACGTGAATTGTGCTCAGAAACATAATTATTAGGATAAATAGAAAATGAACAATGATTTGAAGTAAATCGAGGAGCAGCCAAATACAGAAAAATAAATGCAGTTTAATAAAATACACTCATTTTTTATAAGAAACCGTCTATAAAAGCCAGTACTCGAAAATGAGAAAAGGTTAAGAAACTCCAATACTCGAGCAAGAAACTGCAAAACTGATATAGATTGAGAATAAGCAAAAATCAAGAATTTCTTGATTTTCTTTTGCTAATTTTGATTAAACTTACTTACACTACAAACTTAAAAAAAGAATAAAACTACACAGTGATTAGGAAACCAAATTTAAAGTATCGAGGCTCTTGTTTTTTGAGAATAACACAGAAGTATTCTAAAAACTCTTGAGCTCTAAAATTTTGTGAACCTTAAGGAACTGGGGTACTCCCTGTCGAGGATGGTTTCTTATAAAAAATGAGTGTATTTTATTAAACTGCATTTATTTTTCTGTATTTGGCTGCTCCTCGATTTACTTCAAATCATTGTTCATTTTCTATTTATCCTAATAATTATGTTTCTGAGCACAATTCACGTCTTTTTCTTCTTTTCTCGATACTCTAGGCCGTTCCCTTCTCATCAAAGCATCATGTGACGTAAGAATTTGTCGGCGCCTTTGAAAAAAAGTGATGAACTCGATTTTACTCTGCTTTCGTTCAGAGTAAAATTTCCAATGATGGAGGATTAACAGCAGATAAGCGCATTAAATTCTGCAGCAAAAATGGACAATTTTAGTATGTTACACGATCACTTTTCAGCATGTTGGTCCTATATCGAAAAAAGTGATGGTAAAATGTGATCGTGTAACCCGGCCTTTTCTCTCCCCTTCTTTTTTCTCTCTTTTCTCTATTTCATATAGTGATTCCAATCAAATTTTGAATGCTTTAACGGGAGCAAAATGCTACAATTTTATGAAGTGTCGGTATGATAGGAAAGTCGACCCAGGCTGAATGTTGACAGGATACTTGCTAATATATTGGGGTCTTAAGATTCCCTTGTCCCCTACAGCAACATTCAGGCTTTAAGAAAAGCTGCTACATTTGCCAATTTCAATGATGGAGGTTCACATACAGAAATTGTTATAGAACATGGGGGCATTGACCGTTAACTTTTTGTAAACAGTATAGGCCAAATGGAGGTATTTTTGGGGGAATTGAAGGTAATCTCTCATTCAGTTAACGAGTGAATGACTCCTTAAGTTTGATGTTTCCAAAATCGCTGCTGTGAAAAACTGGCTGCATATCAGTTCATTAAAGTCCCCCGTGGAAGTACCCCTAATATCGCATTTTTTCGATGGACCCTTGCAATGCAATTCAATCAAGTGCAGCCTCTCACATGTGTGCGCAAATTAACTGGGGAAGTTTGGGTGACTTTCGTGCATGGTGGTGTTGGATTGCAAAACATCCAAATAGATGCATCCATTTTCTGATGTCTTCTGAATAATGTCGGCAATTTTCCTGCCTGAAGATGTTTCTCAACTTCTTAAAGGCAAAACTGTCGTGTACATTGGCGACTCAGGTAAATTTTTAGGACGTAAAAACCACGTATCTCGACTCTACTAGACACCTTGTCTTCAACTGGCCTAATTTGGGATCGTTTACACCTTGTGAAGTCTGGCAGGCGACCTGACCTTCATTCGCGCTTTTCATCATAAACGTACCAAGCATAAATATAAAGATGAAATCTTCCTTCCTTACTGCCTGAAAATAATCCCTGCTGAATTTCTTTTGAATATATCTCCCCCTCCCTCTTTGTTTTGGTTGTGGGAGGGCCTGAGCAACTTGGGCTGTTCTTACCTTTAGCCTGTAGTTTGAAGGGCATTGCAAAGTGAAAAGCAATCCATATTCTCTTGTTTGATGTTGTATACATGAAGCTTAGGCCAATTCGTTGTGCCTTAAATTTTGAAACAATTAATTTTTTTCTCATATCTGTTCTTTTTTGTAATCCATAATGTAAGTTGTTGGCAACTTTTTGGTTTAGTAAGGTTGTTTTTTAAATAGTTGTAAAAGTAAAAAAACTTACTTATAAGGAAACAGCATCCATGTTTTCAAGAGATTTGCAGATAACCAGTATCATAAAAACAGGTGACAAATGCCTTTGTGTTTGAAGCCCATTTATAATCTAACAATATTTTAGCCACCACACAACTCACTGTGCAAATGTAAAAATCATTTTCCTATATTTTATAAATAAGTATTTCATCTTCCTAGATAGCACATTTTTGGGGATCAAAATTTACCTTACAATATTTGGGATCCATTCTGGTTGATTTAATTTGAGTAGTAACGCTTTGTAATGCTTGCCTATGAATTTTTTGCCACGCATTTTAGGATCAGAATACTTAAAAAGACCAATACTGTACTGCTCAGAAAGTATCAAATAATATGGTTATTTTTATTCTCAACCCCTTCTAAACACCTGCCTCCTTCTGAATCTTTGCATTGACATCTCAACCAGGCATAATCTTGTTTTCAGAATAAAATACATTTGTAGTGGTTGAGAAGAATTCATAAATTACCCAAACTAGGGCCATCCCACATGGCTATTAAACACATACTGCTCTGTATATTCCTGCTTCCTGTTTCATAGCTTGCTGTTCAGGTTCATGATCTGTGCACCTGAGTATGATTCAGTCAATCAATAAGATTTTGTCTGGAAAATAGAAAATTTTGTAAAATATTTCTTTTGTAACTCATAAAATTGTCCAGGCCCAGTTCACAACAGTATTTCAATTTTAAAGATTGTGTTCCAAAATTTTTAGCAAGCCAGAGTCATTATACCCAAATGTTTTTCTTAATAACTCAGGGATGTTTATGTAATTATATGTGAAGGCTATTTAGTACAAAATCAAAGTGTGCTGATGTTAGTAGGAACAGGCTCTCAGATACCTTGTTAGTTTAATTATATGTTGGTGATCTCATTGAGTATTTTGCTGTGTTATTGAATTTAGAGTTAAAAAAGTCACCATACTATAGCTCTTCAAATTGGACCCCCCTTCAAAAAAGTCCCCACCCTGGAAATGAAAATTAATATTTCAAGGAGAAAATTCATCCTTTAAAAATTTCTAGCATGCCAATCTCTTGTTAAAAGAATCCACCATGGGGTATTAAAAAAAAGATACAACAGAAATTTACACCATTTTAGTACATCATAATGCATAACCCATTTCATCTTTACATTTCATTATTGACATGTCTGTCAAAAAGATAAACTCTAAATTTGAATAAGGGGAGTGTAAGACGATGCACCAGATATTCATGCTACCTTGCCACAATTACATTTTTGGCAGCCGGCCCTGGTTGCCTTGACAAAAGGAATTGAATGAGCTATAACAGGCTCATTAAAGGCAGTCTGTCCCCTAATGTGCTTAATTTTATTTTTACAGGAGTGAAATTCACACCTCATTGATAATTAAACAATTTAACCCAATCAAAGACAACTTTGATTGTGCCCCCCTTGAAGTGAAGCTGTGGCTAGAAAAATTTGGTTCCCTGTTTGATTCCTGTGACAGATATGTCAACAGCGAAAGGAGAAGCTTCCATTATCATCATTCAATTCCAGAAAATAAATCTCCTTGCCATGCCTTCTTGCCCCATAGGTTTTTCCTTGCAGTTTCAAATGTCGTCCACTCCCACAGTTAGGCCAGCCGTAGCAAGCAGCGTAATCCATTAAGGCAGGAATACCTTTGATCATATTAGCCAAATATTTTTGCATTTTAATGCTACTTACTTAAGTTTGCTTTAACTGAAAGTCCTGAACATTCATTTCAAGGTAATTGGAGAGATGTTTAACTAGCATCCAGTCACAAAGGCACATTGTCACAGACAATGAAGCAGTAGTAAATTGTTTTATTAACATGTAGCACATAGTACAAAAATATAAATACAAAAGAAAGATTTACCTGTATCTCTCCCTTACCTGTAACCCCAAATCTGCTTCTAGTAATTGGCTAAATTAGGAGTGGAGTGGCAAAAATAAAGGGCCCTGGAGCCTTTTATAAAAGAGGCCCATGCTAATCCACCCCCTTTCTCTGAAATCTCAACTTACAAAATTCCTGTTTCCCAAAAGTAAATAAAAGGAAATAAATTGTAAACAGCATTTTATTTGACAAAACTAACTAAACTAACAGTCTTTTTACAGAGCATGTAATTCCAACATCCATTTGAATAATAAGAAGGGACCTTCCAACTCTACAGATCTGTATGTCAGGGTCACAGAATATAGTACTATATAGTTACCTAACTACACCATGGTTGCCACTGAAGGAAAGGAATATTTTCCAATTTTAGTGCTTCTAGTTTGCTGGAAACTCTTTATTTACTGAAGCAGTTCTCCAAATCGTACTGAAAATTCTTGTATTTTTGCAAACAGATTGCATAGCAGATAAAAAACTGGTACAATTTTGCCATGGTCTTGAAAATACAAAGTTTTTGTGCCACTTCTAAAACTGGCAGCGCAAAGTGTCAGTTTATTTATCTTCCTATCATGGAATTCCATTTTGCATGTGAAAGGGTCTGGAGCTCATCATGAATTTCAGTTAATGCTTCTTCAAAAAAACAATAGGGAAATTTGGCATAAGGTATAATTTTACCAACGGAGGGTCTTGTTTTTGAATTTAGCACCAACAAGAAATCTTGAAATCATTATTTTGGGGTGGGTGGCGGTTTCAACATTACGTTGTTTCCCAAAAGGATCAAATGGTGCAATGCATCTTGGTTCAATTAATTACTGCAACCGTTTGTAAAACATCACTGCAACCATGAAGGAATGAACAAATGAAGATGGTAATAAGGAGATGATGGAAATTGCTGAGGAAAACGATTAACCACATGTATAATTAATTGTTGTTTAGAAACCCGATTTTGCAGACCTCTTTGTACAAAGGTACACTGCCTGTCAGAAGACTTTGTATAGCTATTGCATCTTCCTCTTCCCCTATGAGCACCATATTTTGTGAAAGAAAGAAGAAAGAAAGAAAGAAAGAAAGAAAGAAAGAAAGAAAGAAAGAAAGAAAGAAAGAAAGAAAGAAAGAAAGAAAGAAAGAAAGAAAGAAAGAAAGAAAGAAAGAAAGAAAGAAAGAAAGGAAGAAAGGAAGAAAGAAAGAAAAAAGAAAGAAAGAAAGAAAGAAAGAAAGAAAGAAAGAAAGAAAGAAAGAAAGAAAGAAAGAAAGAAAGAAAGAAAGAAAGAAAGAAAGAAAGAAAGAAAGAAAGAAAGAAAGAAAAAAAGAAAGAAAAGAACGAAAGAAAGAAAGAAAGAAAGCTTATTTTTTATTTAGTTGCTTACACTCTTTTATATACGTGGAGTATATGGTAGCCTAAACCTAGACATTAGAAATAGAGAGGGTTTCTAGTTTTTAAACTGATTTGGACCATGAGAAGTAGGAATCATACCAAGTAGGGGTTTTGTAGTTTTCTTTGTGAAACCCCATATGCATAAATCTTCATACACAATTTATCATAAGAATCATAACAAAACATATATTGTCACAATCAAACAATTTCATATTCATGGTTCTGATTGATCCATTTACTGTTCATTTACCATTGTCATCCAGTGCTGGGGAACCCGTGGGACTAATGGGGTCATTTGTCCACACATTTTTTTCCAGCAACAAATTTTGTGGCATCTTTTTTTAAAAAAAGTGCCCCTTTTGGTTCTAAGAAATACCCCTTCTCATTGTATAAATGCAAGCTTTCTCGTAAAAAACCCCTTTTTGCCTACAAATGTGCCTGTTTTTTGCTGTACTCCACCATTTCTCAGCACGTTTGTTATTATGACATTTGTTTCTTATTCTATAACATTTGTTTTATTCTTTTTAGTTCAACGATCTATGTACAAAGATCTTGTGTTATTGTTTCAAGATAAACGTTACCTGACAGATCAAGAACTTCGTGCAAAGGTATGCAAAACAATGTAGTTGCATTATTCGTATTCCTCTTTTAAATCAATGTCGTTATTGTATAAGTTTCTCGATAATATACAATATGGCTCGATAATATCCTTGGGTAAAAAGCTCCTCTTTTACTAATAAATTGCCAATATTAGAGGTGGAATATCAGCTTTTTGGGTAAGGGGAAGGCACAGTGAATATTTCCAAGTTTGTTTTTTGAGCAGCCTATTATCTTTAGTTTCCTTTGTGAAAATATCCGATTTTGAGTTCAATTGCCGAATCTTTCCTCAATGCATTTGCCACAAACCTTGTCCTTGCTCCCGCATAATTTACACTGCTGGGATTTATTTATACTTCGGACCAAGGTATGAAAACCGACCCGACCATGCGGCGGGGTGGTCGCAGGAAATCCTTTCTGACAAAAGTTGTGCAGGAAATTTCTTAAAAATATATCCTTTTGCAAGAAGCACTTTTGTTTCTTTCATGTTTGTCAAAAGTAGAAACATGAAGACAAAGGCAGTTTATCTAATGTGTGTGTCTTATACAGGTTCAAATGGTTGCTCTATATGAAAACCCTTGAGAATGTTTTTAATAATTTTTATTTGATGAAAGTTAACAGTTCTGCTCTGGCTTAAGAACCTTTGTTATAAATTGTAGAATTCTTGAAGGTACTTACAAATCTTTGCCATGTTGATGCACCCAAGGCCCCTACTGTATATTGCATATCATGGTTATTTAACTGTTTAAAACAAATTTGCTTCAGACATTCATAAACATTACACACTGAATTTGTTTGTGATAGTAAAATAAATACCTAGCTAATGAAGAGAGAAATACTCACTGAGCCAGTCCAGTCCTGGATATATGATTCCATCAGGCAAGCGACAGGCTGTTTGAGAATAAAATAATATTGTTCACACATAGTAAATTGAATTTTTTGTTACTTTTACATAACAATGTTTGTCTGTTTGTCCCTCCTATGAACTGGTATTTGAAATGAAGCCGTACATAGATTAATGCAAAAAAATCGCATCATTATAAGTTCATTCAAATAATCGCATTGATTCCTCTCTTTCCCACTTATGAAGAAGGCCTAAGTCAAGCTGCCGAACAAATAACTGATGTAAGAATGCGAGGTGTTGTTTTTCAGGGAGAGCTATGTTTCCTTGGAGACGAGTTGATGGAAGGTGGGAAAAAGGGTGAGATGTCAAACTCGACCAAATACAGAGAGGTGCGCAAGTATCTGCATGACAGCCAAACGAAAGTTCTCTATTTTTTTATCACAGCTTGCTTTGGCGAGTACATTGAAATGCTCCTTAAAAAGTTGAGGAAACCAGATATTATTTTCATGAATTCATGTCTTTGGGATGTTCATAGGTACGGAACAAAAGGGTATGAAGGTTATGGGCCCAACTTGGTGAAACTTGTAAAACTTATTAAAGAGCTCCACCCTAGCATTCTCTTTGCTTGGACAACCACGCCTCCAGTTGACATTAGGTCCAAAGCCGGGTTTTTGGAGGATCGTAAAGACTTTGTAAAAATTAATGAAGTTTTGAGATGCAATGATATAGCTCGTGGTATTATGAGAAAGGAGGGCATACCAATTGCTGATTTCGCAGATGTGTTTCGTCATTTTACTCACCACAGAGCAAATGATGGTGTTCACTGGAATGAAAAGGCGCATCGTCGAATGACAAATATTCTGTTGGAGACTGTAGCTAGGCATTTAAAGAAGCCAATCCCACGCCCAATTAGTGATGATTTTGGCAGGATGGGAGACTTTGCTGACAGGCCACCTTTTCCACATAGCTTCTCGCAGCCGGCATTTCATCACAACAACAGCTGGGGCTCATTTGATGAGGAACGTTGGCACTGGGACTCGTACTCATATGAATATTACCCTGATGATTTCAGCCTAGGATTAGATCGCAGTTATGGAGGAGGCAACTACAGCTATTTTGAAAGTGATGATGACATGTCACCCAGATTTATGCCGCCACCAGGAAGACGAATGCCATTGGATGGTCATGGCCCACCTCCGATGAGGCCCCCACCCCCTCCTCCAGGGTATCGATTCGGCACTAACGATCCAGTCCAAATGCGTGAGGGCCGAAGACGTAAGGTTAGAGATGAAGAAATTGAAACCATGAACAAAAGGCCAAGATTGGAAAAGACCAGAAAACTATCCACTGGCTCAGAGAGAGGGATGTCATCGCCTTTGGTCGAAAATAGACCTTTGATGAGAGACGATGAAGATGATAAAGACACAGTAGATGGGAAGAAACCTGGCATGTGTCAGTTAGACACAAATGAAAACGCTATAGCAAGTGTTAATGGTGAAAAGCTTCAGAGTAATCCATCTGAAAAAGGAGAAAATAGGGTTCTTGAAGAGCGAGCTTCTCTTAACATTGAAGACTCATCAGCAGAGAATTATGATCGGTTTGAAAGCGGGAATAGAGCTACTGCCACCAGCAGTAATGTGGATGGTGACGTAGTGGTCTCAGAGATGGAAGAAAAACCTGGTATTATGGAAGTGTTGGAGGAAAGAGTATCAAATGATGGTACTCTTGAAGAGAACATGGCATTTAGTGAAACAGAGAGCTCAAAGGAAGCATGCGACAAGGGCACAGACCTATCAAAATCTATTACTGGCGGAGACAGGACTTCAAGCGAGTCATTGCAAGGGAGTGCAAGCAGCAAACCTGAGCTTATTTCTCAAGATGATACGAACCAGATAAAGGAAGGGTCTGCTTTGTCGAAATTTTCAGCCACAACCTTAAAGGTCTTAGGATATATTGGAAAATCTACAAGACAAATCAGCAGGTCATTGTCACTTCCACTGCAAAAGGCAGGAAAGAAAGAGGACAAAGGAAACATAAAAATCGAGTCAGCAACGAAGCCTGCTGAGAGTGATGGATCTCCAGCTGCTGAAAGTAGTGATCTTCAACTCAATAAATCGTCTGAAAATGTTGCTCTAGAGGAAAAACCTGCAACTGAAAGTTGCCCTGGAGTTGATGTTGAGGTTGCTTCAGATGCAAATGCTATTTCCTCACAACTCAGTCCGCAAGTTCTACACGGAGAAAAAGGTGACGGAGAAAAGAATGAAGTTGAGGAAAAAGATATCTGTTTTTATGATATAGAGGACGCTTTAGATGGTTTTGATATAGACATTTGTGATGGAAATATCAATATCTCAGACGAGGAGAAATTGCTGCTATCTGATGACGATGATATATTAATGACTGACAAAAAACCCGGAAACAATGATGTTAATGATGTTGAAGCTGCGAAGAGAAACTCATTGGCTGTTAAAACAGCCCTTGATAAGGAAGCCATGGAATTAGAAGGATATGTCGCTGAAGAAAAACCAACCAAGGTTTGCCAACAGGATTCTCACTATGTTCTGACAGTGAAAAGTGGCCTAAGCTCTCAACAAAATGATGTTCTTATGGAAGGAGAAGGCAAAAATGATGAAATGAACACTGGAAAAGTAGCTGTGGACCAAAAGAAAAGAGCTAGTAAAGCAGCAGAGTCTATTCCGAATGAAGCTTCAATCAAAAATGAGACGAGGGATACAACTTTGGTTGGTGTGTCTACAGTCTCTGTTGGAACTACAGAATCTGGATTTGCAGAATCTGTTAATAAAAGCTTATCTACAACGAGCCAGCGGCTACCTTCACTGGCAGACCCAGTGTCTACAACAAATGTTTGTGGAAAACAGAGCTTAAGTCCCACAGCTAAGTCGACAGCAACATCGACACCAATTGCCAACAAAACAACATCTAGCATACCTAAAAAATCTCCACCCTGTTCGTCTAGAAAGCCCAGTATTGTAAGTTCACCGGGGGTAAAAGCTACTACCTCTAGGGTAAATACCTCTCAGGTTGTTACACCCACTAAAACTTCTCCATCGTTAACGGAGTCTAAGTCTCCAACATTATCAGAGACCAAGGGTAAGCCAAAACTTCCCTGTTTCCCGAATCCTCCTTCACTAGACATGAAGTCGCCATTTTTCAAGCCTAAGGCATCGTTCACAACAAAATCTACTACTGTCGTCACCGTTACGACTTCATCACCAGTAGCAAAATCAGTAGCAAACCCAACGATTGTAAGTAGCTCTAAGGTGATCTCTCCAAATGTAAAAGCACATCTAGGGCCCGACGCGGATGAAAAATCGCCTGTCAAACTTGATGGCACGGAGACTAGGAAGAAGGGTTCTGTTAAGAAAAGAAAAATCAAGAAAGATGGGAAGAAGGTTGCAAAGAAAAGTAAAACTGTGAAGCCTGGTGAATCTAAACAAAAAGGCGAGAAAGAGTCTAAAAAAGCCAAAGACAAGTCTGGAAAAAAGAAGGTTAAAAAGAAGAAAAAAGCAGAACCGACAACAGAAAAGGCTGTAATAGAAAAATCCAATGTCCCGCAGACAATTGAAACTATTGCAGGAACTGATAGACCCAAAAATAAGCCACAACATACGGACCAATTGAATAGAAACAGGAAATTCCCCAATCAAACGAATACTCAAACCCGCCCGCCCATGCCCGCAGTGTATTTTAATCAAACACAGCAGTATCAACAGCCAGTCATAGGATCTCAATACTTATCAAACTATGTAATGCCTAATGCGCAAACGCAGATTGTCCCGCAGAATGTCGCTATGCAGCCCTTCCAGTATGGACAGCAGATGTACGCTCCGCAAGTGAATCAGCTCGCGTATACGCCGCAGTACACACCATCTGCTGTCAGCCCTCTTTACCCCGCTCAAAGACCCGCTACCGGGTTCCAGCCTACTTATTATGTTGATCAGACAATGGCCAGTCAAACGAACAATGTAAACAACGAGCTATCGTTAACAAACGTAGGCCAGTCGAAAGAATACGCACATCTTGCTTGGTTGTAGATGATGTAAATATTTGAAAATGAAAATATGTACATAAATTTATTGTCAGTAAAGATACTAGCTGTGTCCTTATCACGTGCGTCTATCGTTCGATATTTGTTTTATTTTCATTAGAATTGGAGGCGGGAGTGTCTAAAGTAACTGGCTAAACATGATTTTTTTGTTTACAGACTTTCATATGATTGGTCATGCTAAAAATGTTTGTTTTTGTAGGGACACAGGCTAGATCTTCGCTGTAATTCCTGTTGGTTATTAGTATTTCAAATTGTTTCATTAGAGTTTGTAGATTTTGTATAAGTAGCATTCCAATAGTGCATTTCAACTGACCTTTAAGAAATCTTATTAATTACATTATTGGAAATTGAAACACGTTTTGCTATGACGTTTTTCCGTTGCGAATAAGAGAAGCAGAAACCTGCCTTCACGTGATATATGCATGACTGTCAGTTAGAAAATCCTGACCCTGTTTTATTGTCTACCGTCATCTTAACGATCCAAATACTAAAAAGATTTCTAGTTAGTAACGGCTTAAAGGACCAAATAGTCTTTAGAATTCAAGCGAGCTTTACACTCTGCAACTTAAAAGTACAAAAAGAGACAAGGGAAAGATGTAGAAAGCTCCTCTTGTTAGGAAAATAGCAAAACCAGTATATGTGGACAGTATAAAAAACGTATAAATCAGAATTGATACACCCCAAATATTTCTAAGCTTTTCTTCACAATTTTCCAGTTTATCACACAGTAGTCATGTGAAAACCAACTTTCTTTCAGTTCAGAAGCTATTTTTCTTCACTAAAGATAATCATCGCATCTAAGTCTATGGTTAATTATATTTGGTGCCCCCCCCACCCCCTATTTAGTATTGTGTAAAAGTCACTTTCGCCAGACGTATCAATTTTCATTTGCATCACCCACTACTAGATACATACTGATACAATTCGACCTCCATTTACTCATTCAAGCAAAGCTTTCAGGTCCATTGAAAAACTCCTAACAGTAACCACTATAATATGAACTTCTATAATTCCAACTTCGAACATTTTGACGATCCCCTAATCAGTTCTAATTACACAGACTTGACTGTATGTTTTGTTATAACGAGATTGGCTTCCTTGAATGCGTTATTTGGCCAATCAGTGTTCCATAATATTTTTGATTTGGTTACCAAAAATAGTAAATAAGTCATAGAATTTAGAGTCAAGTCCATATCTGAAAATGTGTTTTGTTACTTTGTTTAGTTGCCAATAGGCCTATCGTTTCTTGAAACTGCTGTTGAATGTTTGCTTCGCTAACCATGGAGAATTTTTCGAATAAACCTTAGATGTAGACATACTGCTACAAAAAAGCTTTGAATTTTTTTTTGTTCTGTTGAGTTGAGATTGACTTTTATCAACTATTGGAGATATTATCGAATGATAATTCGAAAACATTATCTGAGAGTATTTTTGTGTGCTGATCTCTGGAAGAGGCGGAAAGGCGTTAGCTGCAGCCATTTTTCGACTTTGAGCTTTATCCAAACTTACCCTTCTATTTCTATTCTGAATAAACGCAGCTGTCCTAATGGAATTATTTCTAATTTTCTGAATAAAGAGCATTTTTCCTTTCCTTTTCCTTTGACATTGGAGAGAGGGGGGGGGGGGGGGTAACAGCGGGCTTTGTTAAAGTGTACAGTGTATAGAAAAGAAAAAATTGTTTTTTATATATATACTGCAACAAAAGTTTTACAAAGACATATTACAAAAAACTTTACCTACAGGAAATTAGTCTACGACACTATTAGGACGATTTCCCTGAGAGCAACGTACTATGTCTACCCCGGAGCAATTAAACGTGAGAAAAAAGAACGGTTTCGTGAAACTTATGCATACATCTAACTACATCAGATGTACTAAAAATATATAAAATATGAGGAAGTGGCATGTGGCAAGATCAGGGGTAATCTTAAACATGTCGACCAGTTTTGCGGATTAACTGCAACTTTAATTGTAATATATTTCTATTAAGTTCATTAGGTAAGTCTTTACCACCGTACAGTAATAGCTCAATTGAAATATTGCTTGAAGGGTTGGTACATCCATATGGTCGCAGTAGTGCAAATATTCCAACGAGAAGATCACTTCGTTCCTCGTCAAAAAAGGGGAAGCGCAAGAAATATGCTCAGTATCCTCAACGCCATCATTTGCGGGGTATATTGGGTTAATGATATCCCTAAAATTGTGTTTGAATTGGTGAAAGCTCAATCTGCTGTGGCCAACCCTAAGTTGTGGAATATAAGATATTCCTAGTGGGTCGTAGATGCCAAAAACGGATTTTACAGAAGGACGTTTTAAGAATAGCAGCTTTAAAGCAGTATCATGTGGTGCATGTCTAATTTCTGGATCAAGCTTATTCCATTCTGATAAGTAATGTGGATAGAAAATAGACTGAAATTGTTCAGTCCTTGCGCCCATTTACGTCCCGCCTGCAAAAAGAGTATAGCGACTGATGAACTGATGGGATTGGTTCGCTAATATAAAAGGTGCAGAAACATTTAGAAATCTATGCAATAAGGTGAGGCATTGACTCCACCTCCGAAGATCTAGCGATTCCAAGCTTACCTCCGCGTCTAACTTTCCACTCTCCATTCTCCTGACACCGCAAGTGCAGCAGAATATTGAACAGACTCATTTTTCCATTAAATTTCGTAACGAAATATTCCGACTAAATTAGCATATTTTTGCAGGTTTATTGGTAAATCACATCCCCATGTTCGCACATAAAGTGTAACGGAGTGTCCGACTTGGCGAGAATAACACAAAAAAACCTCGTGAATTCTCCTCAACATTCCCTTCAATTTCTCAAACGCCTTTTCTTCTACTCAACTTTACTCTGAATCCTTTAACTATCATCCGGTACGTCTTAATCTTCTTTTTCTCTTACAACCTCGTTTACAATATTAGATCACAATACAATATCTTCACATAAAGTTTGTATAATTCGTTCAAGGTATGCCTGGGCAGGTAGCTGGAGAGATATTTCAGCTTACCTGTGTTATTTCTTGTTTTTGAATTGGCTGCTTGGATATGAGCAAAAAAAGGCAATTTGGTGTCGATGACAATTCCTAAATATTTATGTTCATCTACTTTCATCACCGTTGAGTTATTAAAAAATGTCTGGATGTTTAATTTTAGTATTTTTCTTGGAGAAGATCAATTCAACTGTTTGCTTGTGATGATCAGGATTAAATGACATTCTCCAATCATGCCTCTTATCAATCCCAGATTATGGTTCATAATATTTGGAGATGTATTTGTATCTTCTACCGATGAATAACGATATATCATCAGCAAATAGCTTTAAATTGCATTTTAAACCAGTTGTTAGATCATTTGTATAGACTAGATAAAGTAAAGAGCCTAGAATAGACCCCTGGGGCACGCCGGAAGAAATATCTTCCCAGGTACATTCAGAACTGTACGCTGTTTTTTATCTTTAAGAAAATTTCGAAGAAGATCAAGAAGTTTACCTTAAACCAGTGCTGAGGAGGGGGGTGTCAGATGGGTGACTGACCCGGGGGCCCATGGAAATAGGGGCCCATGGAAATAGGGGCCCATAAATAATAACTCGATTAAAAAACTTGTAAGTAATAAATCTGCCTCTCCGTTATCACAGCCTGTTATTAATAGTAATAATGATAAGGTCTTTAAATGAATGAAGAAAAGAAAACAGTAATAACCCTATTGTGTTATCTCGCTGAAACAGAGCCTGTAGCTTTAGGTAATTTTCTAGTTTTCTAGGAAAACTTTTCAACAAAACTCGAAACCACCATGTGCCTATTGGATTACACTCACAGACAGAAATCAATTTTGATAATTTATTTTGATCTTCGATTTTTTTGGAACAGTTGAATTTCATTGTTTTGCTAAAAGGTTCGCAATGTCTTGCTACTCAGGATTGATTGTGGTTTGTCTTAGCTGCAATACTATTATTCTAATGCAATACTTTTATTCAACTTGCTTCAAAAATTTAAATCCTTTTGTAATCAATATTATTGCTTTCAACGACTTTAAGTATTTTGAAAAGGTAGGAATGTTCGTTTTTGACTCTGCAGAGATATCACGTTTTTGCACTCCACCTATTGCTTTAAGAACAGAAGGTGAAGGTGACTTAACGTCACACAAAAAAACTGGGGCACCTACATCTGTTTGCAACGGTGGATCTGATTTGCTTGAATTTATTAAGTGGAATAAAATTAAAATATAAAGAATTGTCAAAAAGCTTGTTGGTGCCGAAAAACTTGAGTTGCTTAAATATGCCATGTTTCCGGTAGTTAGTGTAATCATAAACAATTTCATATCTTATGGTTAAGATGCTTTTTTTTAATTATGGCATCTATGTAAATTATATCAAAAAAGCCAACAGAAGTAAAAACCGCCTGCGTCATTTCGCCACGCTAACAATTTACACAAGAATTGTCTTCAAACTTTGTTGGAGGAGCATTCCCCGTACACCCAGGAAAAGTCCGCCTCGGGCTTGTCTTGCTATTAATCTTTCGTCCTGACCCGGGGCCCATATATCCTCTCCGTGGCCCTGCCTGAAACACCACATCGTTTGAGATTATCAATTAGACCATAATGCCATACCCGGTCAAATGCTTTTGAAATATAAAGATATACAAAACAAACATTGAGAGGAATTGTTTGGTACCAAGAGTGCTAGATTGTCCCCATTAGTATCTGAATACAGTTTTGTTTGCTAGGAACACTCTTTTTTTAAGAACCAATAACCTTTAGCAATGCTTGATTTCTTTATTTGAATAACCAAAGGCTCAGTCGTTCCTATCATTTTTCTAGTTTCAACTTTTTTTTCTATTCTATGAATCGTTTCTAGACCGCTAGATAACAGTTTTTTATAATGTTTTTAGTAGCACAGTTGATCGGCTCGGCTGGTAAAGTCTGTTCTGTTTTTTAAAAATGAGGGAAAATTTTCAAAAATATTATTGTTTCTCCAAAAATGTCATCTGAGGCTGGGTATGTTTTTAGGTTATTTTTATATCTGGCAAATCATTCTTAAAAAAGCGTTTTCTAAAAAAAGAGTGTAATTTGTTGGCGTCTTTGAATTTATCATAGGTATACAAGCAAAAACTCTAAATCTCATTTTTTTCAAATGTCAAGTAACAATTTATTAAAGAAACAGAGAACTAGAAAAGCCAGGCTGCTATTTATAAAGTTGTTCTTGAATATTTCTGTGTTCTTTGGTCAATTTTGCTTCCATTTGGTAAAAATCAGTTTTTGATAGTCAGTGGTAATAAAACAAGGCAAAGATTTTGCATTTTTTATTTTAGCTGCTTTACCTTAAAGTTAAAAACCGAATTTTGAAAATGGGTGTTTCCACTATTTTCCATTGACTAGAAGGGTGTGACACCAAAATTCAACTCTTTTTTGGGCTCAATGCCATTTTATCCACTCAACAAAACTATAAAAAGTAATCCTGCAAAAACAATTAAGTATTGAATTTCAATGGTTTTTCTTTTAAATGCAGCTGATTTTGACCCAATGTATTAGAAGCAAGTTGTATCAGAACTTGCAAATTTCTCACATCAAAATTTGATTCTTTGATTTCCTGTCCAGGGCTGCCGGTGCATACAAAATTTGATTCTTTGATTTCCTGTCCAGGGCTGCCGGTGCATACAGTATTATAATATTCTTAAAACCTACAACCACTGCCAAAAAATTCCCTGTTTGTTTTACTGAATACTACTTCTTCTGCCCCCCCCCTCTCTTTCCCCACAGAACAATATTGACAGTTCAGACAATTTACATTTTTTATTTGTTTATCATAAGGAAAAGATGTGGAAAGTGACCTTCAACAACATTGAAGATGCAACATTTTTCTGGCAGAAAGGAGCTCCAGTTATAAATCTGCATTGTTCAAAGCTTTGTTTTTGGTCTATCCCTACATACAACAGGTTTCAACATACCTGTTTAAAAAATAATCAATCTGCCAGTGAATAAAAGTTTGTTCTTTCAAAATTATCAGATCCAACATATAAGTTAATGGTATGGCTGGACCAAGTACATTTTAGCATCCCTTACCAGATTAAGGCAGTGGCATCAGTAGCTTTTTTGCACAAGGGAGGACTGTGGTTGTGTGAAGTCTGAAATTTTGCTAAAGAAGCCCCTTCCCCTGCATGGCAAAACCCCATGTTTTGGCAGCAGAATTTTTTGTCCACTAAGATAAACCAATGATGAGACATTAAACAATATTTTTTAAAAGAAATTTCTATTGATTACAAAAAAACTTCATGAACATCTAACTTTATCAATGGTAGGTGATTTATTTTATTAGTAAAGCTGGCTATTCTCCAGTAACATGGTAACGGTATAGAACAGTAGCATACACAAGTACAACTAACAAAATAATTATATCGTCCACAAATCCAAGCACTCCAGTTATGGCTTCAGGGATAAGATCTAATGGTGAAATGATGTAGATTACGGTAAGAGACATGTAAAGCAGGATCCTTATTCGGAACATTGTCATCAAACCATCAACAGAAAACAATTCCCACATGAGATGCCTAAAAAGCACTGGGAAATCTTGGATGTACTGAAATAAGGTTCTAGGTTCCCCAGAGAATCGAAGATTGTAAGCACGTATCCGTGAAAGGCTTTGTTGTGCGCTCTCAGACAAGGGTTCTTCGTGTAGATTCGTTGTCAACAAGAGGGACACCTCTTGTCTGCAAATCGGACAGTTCATACCACGTAACCACGAACCAGCCTCCCAATAGGCTACAATACAGGCCGCGCAGAATAAATGACCGCAGTTAGTCTCTGTAGGTATTGCGATTTGGTCTAAGCATATTGGACATTGCTCAAATCTCACATCGTTTGGTATCTGACGTCTTTGTTGCTGGGTTTCACTATCGCCGTTGTTGACATGGTGCTGGCTCCTCTCTGAGGCAGCTCTGTGCTCCCTAGCTTCCAGTACTGTTGCTCTTTGCTCTGGATGAACCATATGGTCCGTATTACCGGCTCTTGTCCAGAAGTATGTCGCCATCGTGGGTAAAAGAATCAATGCAATTAGAAATAATAAGGCTTCATTACTAAAACCTTCCAAGAACTGCGCCTCCATCTTGGAAGAATCTTCGGCCTCGATTTGAATTCAATTTCCTCACCCCCAAAACCCCAGTGATAAACTTCTTATTACACGAGAATAACGCGGTACACCAAATAACATGGAAAATAACTTGGAGAAAATTAATGCGATCACAAATTAACGCGAACAGAGAGACTGGATTCCAAAATGTGTGGTAAATTCAAATATTCAAATGGTTTTTAAATAACGTGAACTGTTAATGTCAGCAAAAAAATTTTAAGTAAAATAACTTCAAATTCAGTAGGGGAAAAACAGGAAAATTACATAAAAACTTCAAGTCAAGGTGGATTAGAGGTATCAGTCACGTGGGATGAGCCTGAAAACTTGGTCGAGCATCCCCTGACGGGAGATTTGATGACGCGAAAAGTACTCGCGTCGTAAAATCTAGAAGGTTTAAAATGCTGACGAAGATATGAAATTCAGGCGGAAACAGTTGATTATGAGAACATTCAAATGTTATAAAAAATATTATTTATTTCTCTTGTACCTTGATTAAAACTAGGAAATGATGTTTTATATTTCATTTAACTTATGAATAGAGTTGGTAGATTCTTTTGGGACTTCAAGCCAAATCAATGTTGGAAAAAGCCAAATTCACTGATCTCTATAAAAGACTTTTATAGAGATCAGTGAATTTGGCTTTATAGAAAGTCTTTTATGGAGATCAGTGGCAAAATCACGCCAAAATGTAAACGTGGAAGCATCACAATAGACAATTTCCAGCTGTAAACGATGCTAGAGATACACGTTTTATTTTCAATCCATATGGTGCTTGACCCCCTTTAACCCTTACATATTTCTCTACCCACGACTTAAGTCTTCGACTCTGATGGAACACATTTTGATTGTGTTCATAGAATTATAAGACATGATGTTCATGTAAGGGCACACATTTTCAGTAAAATTAAAACAAAGCAACAGGGGAGCAAACAAAAAATTTTAAGCTTAGCCGTTTTTGCTATCGGAATATTTTCCCATCCCCCAACATTTTTTCATCGGATTTTGATGAAGTACAAAATCAGTCCATACGACACAATCCCCCCCAAGTTACCCCCCCCCCCCCCTCATCGCATCGCGGCCATTAAACCCTGCTTCAACAGGCAGAAAGAATGAAGAACAAAGGGAAAACCAAGTAACAATATTGGATCAGATGGATTAATTCGCAGATGCTCAACAAAGTGTCTTGCTTTTTCTTAAATTTTCTGATAAATGCAGTCTTCCAGCAGGGGTAGAGCCCATACCACGAATTTCAAAGTGGAGGGGCCAAGTGCTTTTAATCGAACTTGAATTTAGTGCTTCAAAACAGGGCCTCATTGAAAGTATTTTTGCTTAACAAAAAGTGGGGGCATGGCCCCTCCAGCCCCCCTTTCCCCCGGTGGTGTGGGCCCTGAGGGTTGAGACTTGGACTTGAAAAGAAAGAAGAATTTGGTTTAAGTAATTGATATTCTTCACACTTTTGGAACACGATTTTGGGGGTGTGTTTTGATATATGAATGAGTGCACATGTGATCAGTCTCGTTTTCATGCAGATAGAATTGACCTACACGTTTCATCATTTTGCGAGGAGTTATACTTCCTTTCTGTTTTGATTTGTTTGGGTCGCAAAGTCATGATGTTGTCAAGGTATGCAAAAGCAGCATTTCGTTTGCCAAAAATTTCTCGAAGTTTGAGTGCTTTAGCTGGACCTTCTGCAAAGTCGAAAGCTGTATTTGATCTAGAAGATAAATATGGTGCTCATAACTATGGGCCTATCCCAGTCGCTCTTGCCCGAGGCCAAGGAGTCTTTGTTTGGGATGTTGACGGCAAGCGATACTACGATTTTCTCAGTGCCTACTCAGCTGTTAACCAGGGGCATTGTCATCCAAAGATTGTTGGTGCTTTGAAAGAACAAGCCGACGTCCTGACACTTACTTCACGTGCATTTTACAACGACCAGTTGGGACAGTATGAAAAATACGTCACAGACATGTTCGGGTACGATAAAGTACTGCCAATGAACACTGGTGTTGAGGGTGGGGAAACAGCAGTTAAGCTTGCAAGAAAATGGGCCTATTTAGTTAAAGGTGTTCCTGACTGTCAAGCTAAAGTTGTCTTTGCGGAAAATAATTTCTGGGGAAGGACGTTAGCTGCCTGCTCAAGTTCTAGTGATCCGTCATGTTTTCAGGATTACGGCCCGTACATGCCAGGCTTTCAGTTGGTCCCCTACAACGATTTGGCTGCTGTAGAGGTATCAATCAGCTCAGTATATTTGTACCTATACACACTAACTTTGTACCTAATTGCTACTTCAAATTAATCGATATAATATAGGGTATGTTTTCATTTTGTTGTTGTTTTTAATTAGATAAGGTTTTTTATATTCTCATTATATTTATATTTATGATAAGATAAATGTAGGCTTATAAACACGTCTTGTGTTGTAGGAAGCTATCAAAGACCCAAACACTGCTGCATTCATGGTTGAACCAATTCAAGGAGAAGCTGGGGTATTTGTACCTGATGATGGTTACCTGCAAGGGGTTCGTGACCTTTGTACCAAGTATAATGTGAGTACCAAGTATATCATTTGGGAGATTGGGTTTGTTGTTTCTTTGGCAGCAAAATATACAGAGCCATGAAAGGCTCAGGGTTTAACAAAATCAAAATCAAGTTATATATCACCAAACAACTCGCTTTAGGTACCAAGTTATTTTCCTGAGCTGTTTTTTCTTGTAGTAATCCCATCTTGCATTTGTCAAACATGACAAGGACCACTTTTTGTTTGTCAACAGTGTAAGTACGGCAAGTTCCTTTCCTTGCTGTACTTTGTGGTTTCAGTTTCTGAACACAAAGTGAGCATTCAAAACTGCATCAGCTGCTCTTATGAGACCTTGTTTCGGTATGACCTCCTGCAAAAGTATTGTTAAGCTTTCTCATAGGCCAGAATACAAATTTTCTTCCAATTTGGATGAATTGATTGGTAGCTAGTATGTATAGGATGAGACACAGCATGTAGCTGTGAGAAGTAAATGTAAAAATGAAGGAAATCTTCAATAATAGAAGTCATGCAACCACAAGATAATTAAAGCCTTGAGAAGATTCTAGCTGTACAGTTAGGAAGTTGTCCTAGTTACAAATTTGATAAGGGTATTTAGTTGTTGATAATAGACATAAGCTTTTAAGTCATTACAATCTATTAATTCCCAAGAAAAGTTAGTGTGATGTTTCACATATCCTGCTGATGATATGAGATAATGAACTGTGAGTTCCCTGATGAATAGTATTGTGCTTCTAGCAGAGAGAGATAATACGACATAATTTCAGTCTTAGAGTCTCAAACAAGCTTCTAAGAGGCAAGCAGATAAATATTTTTTATTTAAGGTAACACAAGAGTTTGGCAAAATGATCTAAGGCTTTGTGCAACCACATTTCGAGTCAACTGTGATGGTGACTGCAGCATTGCTTACCTGTCAACTGTTGCCGATCATATGCTCAACGTAGAAACTAACAGTAGATTATTAAGCTAGGGGATGTTCATATTTTTATATGTTGTTTAAACTTCAGTCATCTGTAAAAGCAACAGTTATCTTTGAAAAATTTGTCTTTATAAGATGCATTCAGAGAGGCAGAAAATGCTTTTGGGGCCATAGCTGAAAACTGGAATCTGTTAGCAAATTTGGAATAAATTTTGATTCTGTTGGAATCTAGCATTGGCTGCATCATTTTCTACCTGGAATGTTTGAGGGCTTTAAGTTTTGAGGGCTTTAAGTTGGCCTTGAAGCACATAAGCTAGCAACAGCTCTGACTTTTGATTTATAAATATTTGCTCAGCAAGAGCCTCAATATAATTTTTTCTGCTTTGAAGGTACTGTTTATTGCTGATGAGGTTCAAACAGGAATTGCACGAACAGGAAAGTATGTAAAAACTTTTTAATATCCTTGTAGAATAGACACCTTACAGTTCAATGAAATTATCTTATTTTTATTTGAATTAACAGGAGATCTACCACCTCTAGAAGGGCTTTTTACCCTTTGCCTTGTGTAACAGGCAGCTTATCTTTAAATGGACCATATAAGCATTATATAAAGTTGAAAAAGAATAAGGCAAATTTTTTATGTTTTCCATTGAATTTATAGTTTTAATCTTTATTTAATGACTTTTATTTGTTTAGGCTTCTTTGTTGTGATCATGAAAATGTTAGGCCTGACGTTGTCATTCTTGGCAAAGCCCTGTCAGGAGGTGTTTATCCAGTAAGTGCTGAAGATATTTTTCCTTTGCATAATTGGAAAACATTTTTAGTTATTAATATTCAGAGTTTTTTTTCAATATTGATAACAATGAATAGATATCAAGTCCCGTTATTAGCAATTTCTAGAATAGGTAAAAATGGATGAGATCCTACTTTCATTTGCTATGATCCAGACCTGTCAACTCTTCCGGTTTTGCTGGGAGACTCCAGGTTTTGCTTCATTTCACCCGGTCTCCCGGTTTTTTAAGATTTTTTCCCAGTTTTTCCTTGTCTTTCAGCAAAGGTTTTCTTAGAACAAAAATGACTTTCTTCGCAACAAGTTTTTTGTCAGTGTTTTCAAATTAACAAAAACGTTAAAAACCATTAGGAAGACGCTACCCATGATAATTGTTGTCATTAACTGTTATTCCAAAATGACTTCTTTTGACAGGTATGTTGTCTATAAATTCAACAAATTCCAGGCATCTTCCTGTTTTTTTGCCAAAATTCCGTTTTTCTCAACAAAAAATCTTAAATCTCCAGGTTTTGAAAATTTTAGGTTGACAGGTCTGATGATCCTACAAACTAAGCAGGAGTTTAGTTTGTAGCAAAGCAAATCGATCGCACGCGCACGCATCGGCACACGCATGGCACTGATAATGCGAGTGATTGATCGCACGCATGAGTTGTATATTTGACCGTCGTTTTTGACCTGAATAAAATTGTTTTCATCAACGAAACATTGGAAGTTTTGGTTTTTATAAGCTGAGCAACATCGGCTAATTCTTTAAATAGTGCCTATTTTGCTCTCTATCGTGGCTTATCGCTTTGCTTTGTTCAAATTCTCCCGGAAACATGGCGTTTGCCACGTAGTGTCCAAAACTTTTACCTTCCCTTTTTCGCCATTATCGGGGTAAATATCGATAAAATTGCTCAAAAGAAAATGGGCTTTTTTATCATAGATGCGAGAGGCAGGCGACGAATAGACCCGCAAAAAGAAGATCTTCCGACAATCAAGGTTAATATCAATCTAGTGATGTAGATAGGAAAATTCATAAAAGGGGCGAGAAATTTAGATTTTCCGACGAAAATTTTATAAGAGCTTTTATTTTTTTCAAAATTTTGTACATTACTTCACGTAAGTCACGTGTCATAAATCATACTACTCGAAGATTTTTCTTGTCTTTTTTCTGAAAAAAGGCATTTTTAAGTTCTATACCTTATTGAAAGAGATTGCCAATCTGATTCAGAACAACAAAAGAGATCGCCATATTCAGCTTTAAAATATTTTCTCTCAAAATGTAACATTTGGATTTAAATAGACAAACCATGTAAATTTCCGATCAGATCAGAAGTTTTCCGACAAAACAGAAGTTGAGCTGTACTGGGGGGGGGTTGCCCCGCCCCTTGACCCCCCTTTATCGACGCCACTGTATCAATCAATATTTCTCTATAGTTGCCCTGTAACGTAGAATGTTCTCGGAATGAACACAGCAGAAACACTCAAGCTCTATGCAAATTGCCCGTAAAGTGATGTATTCTGTTTTGAAATAAAATTGGTTAAAAGTAACAAAATTATGCTCATAAACAGTAAAACATTTTAAACGAATGAACGAATTTAAGCTAGTTTAAAGGGCGTGGTTTGAAGGTTTAAAGGAGCCTACTTCTCCGCTTTGGCCCCAGGGCCTCCAGTTCTCTAGGCAGCCCTGCGTGCAAGTCTGGAACCGTGACAAAACGGTCGTGGTTTGCCCTTTCGTTTACGCTGGCACTCTGGAACCGAGCTAATTTTTCTCTGCCATCCGGAATGGTTTTGACTTTGTTACGAAAGAGAACGAATTTTGTATCGTCGCCGTTCCGTTTTTAAACAGGACTGTGTAAACAGGGTCCGAAATAGCCTGATTTTTAAGAGTGTGAATCGCGCGCATGAAAGAAATAATGCATGTGGTTTGTCACATGCCTGGTGATTTCCTTATGACGAGGACTGGGAGCCATTGATGTAGTGTTTTTTTTAATTTTGCAGTCTCAATGTTCAATCTATTCTGGCCCTATATTATTGGTTTTCATTTTCTTAAAAGGTTTCAGCCATACTTGCAGATGATGAAGTCATGTTAACAATCAAACCAGGAGAGGTTAGTAGTAGTTTGCTAAACAAAGGCATGCCAGTGACACTGAAACCTTGTAAAAATATATTTATACAACTTTTTGAATATATTTGCTTAAAGTGCGCCACTTAGCTAGAACAACGTAACTTAGACACTCCGTTGGAGAAAGAGGAGAGACAAATGAAACAGGGAAGTGCCCTGATTTATCGTAACAACACGCTTTTTGTAAGTAAGCCTAACAATTCTAGACTCAAACTAGGGCCACCGCGAGGGATGCAAACTCATCTTAAAATATGATGCATAAAAACATGGTAATTACAAATAACATCTGTATTTGGGAAGTTTGACAATGGTTTACGAATGTGAATAAAAAGTTAATAAAGAAAATGTTATCCATTTTAAATCCATATTAAGCGCATTTTAGGTTTATTTCTTTGGTTAGAAAAGGTCCCAAGCATTGTACCTGCCCAGGTTCGAACAAACGAATCGTGGTTTTTTTTATTCACGACGGAAATCTCATATTCCAGTTGTGGTTTTTTTTTCAAAAAGTTTAATTTCACAAGTCATTAAAACACATCTAAAATAATTTTTCTCACTTTAAAGAGTCGCAAACTTGTAACATGTCATAAAGTGTTTTGACGTATTTCTGAACATTTAATTCAAACCCCGCTGAATTGGCAAGACCTGTTACTCTTCTCGACTTTATCCTGCATAATTAAGTTATTTTCTGACTCTGATTATGTGGTTTGTTGGTTGTTAAGGTTATAATGGTTTCTTAGACTTAAAAGTTTACTGCAGTTTCTTTACAAAAAACTAATGAATGTTAGGCAAATCTCATCACAGAACTTAAGATTTTCATTTGATTATCGAGGGGATCTATCTTAGTGCCCCTTTTCAGCTACTGTCTGTCTCCCATACATTTAAAATTTTCACTCACTTTTTAACGTGGCTTATAATGTATGCACTGAATGTTGGAATAAACAATATGTTTTAGTCTAGCCTAGCCTTTCGGTGTATTTAATCATTTATTAAACATTGCCAACCATATCATTACAGCATGGCTCAACATTTGGTGGAAATCCAATTGCTTGCAAAGTTGCAATGGCTGCACTTGACGTAAGTGACTTCAACGTACTTACAACGTTTTACAGCAATAGATTCGTATAATTCTAACTTCGAGAATGTACAATGGTTTAGCTTGATAACAAATGAAAGCCGCTCTTGAATAGAAGCTGCATGTTCAAATTAGATAAAAGACGCTGTTTTATATTTTGAAAAGAAGTTGGCACGGCTAAGCTTGTCTGACTATCTGTGTGTTGTCTATGTTCTGGTGATACACTCTATAGAAGTCTTTTTAGCTGTTGAGATTTACCCTCGTCGCATAAATATTTTCATGGCACTGTGCATCTCTCCATGGGAATTATCAGCAATTAATTGAATCGTCCTACGACACCATGCCAAAATGGAAAAAAATTGTCACATGCGTGACAATGTCATATGAAATGTTTGACAATCGTTAAAGAAATGATAAATTCTAGATCGATTCTGTCGTGTGACATGGTGACCATCCAAGGAAGCGTGCATTATTTCTGAGACACAAATATCATATGGCAGTGTTCGATATTTAGCCAACAACTTTTTGTTTCGTATGTTGTTCAACACAAACGATGAAACATTATTATATGTTACATGACATTGTTGACACACGAAAGAAAATGTTTTTACATTAGTTTTGTGAATTGAAATTGCCATGGGCTTGCAGTAATTATTTGCGACATGCTCGAAGATCATTAAACATTTTGATAAATTTTTTCATATCACATGGTAAACAAACCTTGGAAACTTTCTGGGCTATACTCGAAAGCACGAATGTCATATGACAATATTCGATAGTCTGTTTCCGGGCTCTGTGATTTATGACTCTGGAACAAGCTTTTCTTCAGAACCGTATTACCATCTTTAGTCATGCAGTTATTTTAACACTTAAAACATATTTGCAAATTCCTTCCTCCAACGAAAAGTATCGCCGATTGTAGAACATTTTTTGCTATTTTAAACTTGGCTTTTGATGCAATACTTTGTTGATATATTGTTGCTCATTCAAGATCTGCTGCTTTTGTCTGCAGAGATTTTTCTTGCTTTCCTTAGGTGAATTATGATGAAAATAGTTGTTACTCCTTTAGTATATTTTTTGGTTGATATAAAAAATCAATTTCCAAAATTTCCAAGAATCCCATTAGAAATTATAAAATGATTTTTCTTTTACAGGTGGTGAAAGAAGAGAAACTTGCTGAAAATGCAGAGCGCCTTGGCAACATCTTGCGTGCTGAGCTTGGCAAACTGCCGAAAGATGTTGTAACCGACGTAAGAGGGAAGGGTCTGCTAAATGCCATTGTGATCAAGGACACACCTGGTAAGCATGCAAAGAATTTTATAATAATATTAGATATTAGAGGCAGTGAATCTTGTGCTTCAGGCTGGAGCATGTTGCTATATCTAGTTTTTAGGAGAGGATGGTGGCAACCAACAATTTTTTCTTGAACTTTTTTAGATGCATTGATGCACCCATTACTTTAAAGGGAAATTTTTTATAAGAAAAGTAGTATTTGGACAGGCAAAAACATGTCGTTTCTCATACTGGATGAAAAACTACGAAGGAATGTGAAAAATTAAAGTTCTTTCATATTTATTTGATCACAAAGATCAAGTTTTGATACTCTGATCCTTTCCATGTATAAAAAGTTCAAACAACACTTTTCATCATTTGTTTCAAATTGTTCTTTGTTAATCATCTTCTGGCATCTTTATAACTCTATGCACTTGCTCCAAGTAATTCAAAGAAACGACACGAAGAAAGAATTAAGAAATTGCTAAGGAATTTTCCGTACTCAAGTTAGGCCGTCAGTTTTGGAATTTCCAGTGCTGAGCCTAAGCCGAAATTCTCTATGAAATTGACTGTATCGAAGATGTTATCCATTTAAATTTTACAGAGAGTCAAAGATTTTCAAGATTCAAGGAAATATGTAATTTCCATCGATCATCGTTTCATATAGCTCTTTTGGAATTTGTTTAAATCGCCTGTTTAGATTAGCTCAGAAGATCCCAACATGTCTACACCCAAATAGTTCGTTTACTCTCCACGATTCTTCAATTGAATGTGAGAAGTTGGTTGTGGCTGGTCGGCCAAAGAAATTGGCCAATCAAATGCTCCAATCTTCCCTTCGGGTTACTTCCAACCTGCACCTGGATGTTTATTCCGGATTACTTTTTCCGGCGCGTTACCTTTCTGTTTTCTATCTTTTTCTGTTTCTGTAATGATGTGCCTCTGCTTTTGCCTTCGAATCCAGAGTTAGGAAATTCTAACTAAAGAAATTACTTTCGCTCATCTTTTTTCCAATATTTGGGATATTATTCAGCGAGTTTGACCGGTTTTTGTTTTTCTGTTCTGAAAGGGAGGAATATATCCATTTCAATAATTGTAAACTGTCGTTCGGTTAATGGAGTTTTGGTTAAATAAGGTACAGATTATCAAGAAAGTGTAACAATAAGCCTTTGGTACTTAAAGTTGAAAATTGCACGGAAAAGCGGAAACGTGACACACTTAGGTACTTTTCGCCCGATATATGCTCTAAGAATTTTCGTATTAAAGGTACTTTGGTATGATATTTTTCCGATTTTTGGTGCTGTTTTTAAATTTTTCGGCTACTAAGAAAGCCTGTACATAAATCTTAATAGGCCTGTGTTTTTATGGATTGTGCTTACATCATCACCCATTTTACTTATCGCAGTTACGACGTGTAAAAGGTGTGCTAGTTCCAAACCTCCTTTCACATTGTTGATTACGCCGAAATCTTTTTCAGATTATGATGCTTGGAAAATATGCTTACAATTCCGCGATAATGGGTTGTTAGCCAAACCTACGCATGGAGATAAGATCAGATTTGCACCACCTCTCACCATCACAGAAGAGCAGCTTAGAGAGTGTATTGGCATCATATCTGAAACCATTATGTCCTTCAATTAGAGATGTCTTACAATGTTAATGACCTCTATTTATTAACGTTTTAGTGGATTTAGTTGCACTAGGCAAAAAAATTGGCCCTTTTTTTGAGAATCATTAAAAGAAAATTTAAAATTTTGAGAATCCTTTAGCTGACCATACATTCAACAAGGCGTAAAATGAGGTATTGTTTAAATTCTTCATACAAATTAAACTATACAAATAAACATTGAAAAGCTAGGAATATATTTATTAATGCATTTGTAGCTTTAATAAATTTGTCTCTTCTAGTATCTTTTGAACGAAAGATGAAATAGGTTCTTGGCTATTGTTAGACGAAGAAATGTTAAGGATATTGTATCTGGTAAAACTTGAAAATTCATTAACATGTGTATTTATGGCAATTGCATTGTGTTTTGAAATTGGAAAATCGATATTACTGTAACCTGTACCATTGTCGCTCTTTTAAGTTAAAAGTTTTTCATGAGAAATGAGAAATGCTTTGTTGGAGGAAAATAATTTGTATTTTTTGCATCCTTTTAATAGAGTCTTTTCGACTTAAAATAAAGCTTATTGTTTTCAGATGCATCTTTGCATGCCAAATTAGATTTGTAAAAACGGAATTTGGAAATTCATTTTATGCATTAGTAATTAACGATAGGTTCTTATACCTATTATCGCTTGTTGAAAATTGCAATATTTTCTAAAATATAATTGCACAAAACAATGTTTGGAAGGGGGGTCTGCGGCGTAGGCTAAAAACAATGGAGACACGGACTGTTTTCGATGGGGATACGAACAAAAGAAGAGAAAAAAGCAATCTTAAATGAGAGTGAAAATGAGACTCCCAAAATAAGAATCGTCCTAACGCAATTTAATAACGCAAAATATTGTTTGCTACAATTCAAAGAGATCAGTCATAAACTATTTTTTCTTAAATTAAATGTGATTTAAGGTAGTATGATCAGCCACATTTAACTTCAGCGCCTTCAGGTTACTCTGGTGCAAATAACGTTAATACTTTCTTTCTTGCTTTAACCTTTCTTAAAGCCTCTTACCCTATGTCGAATAAATCTGAAAACATTAGGCCATTCTTGGTATTTCACTTTGTCCCCTTTTCATTTGGTGGGTGGGCAAAGTGAAATTCCTGCTTTCACGCGTGACACTTGTCTCTTGGGACCCCAACACCTGAGTCGAAAAGCATTTTACTTTTCGCACTGATGTTGTTAAGATTCTTTCGTTCGCTTTCTGCGGATACTCAAGTTATTCTGAGATTATTTTGGAGAATTCTTGTTGAACCGTGTTGGAATATTCACAAAGATGTTTCTCTTGATGGTCCTACAGAGTTCACCCGGAATTCCAAGGTAAGGCGAGTTTGTTCACAATTTCTTTTCACGATTCTGCTCTTTTAAATTTGCTTCAATTGCCAGCCAAACGAAACTATGGCCTACTTGCCTTTCTCAAAATTTTATTGGAATAAAGTTTCTTTGAAATGGAATCTAAACCAAATGAACTATGTTTTCGCCTTTAAGCTTTGTCTGTCAAAAAAAAAGAAAATTCAAAAACAACAGTATATTTCTCCCACTTTATAATTTCTTTTCAAGTTGACCTTCCTCAAAACTAGTTGACCATCAGCCATGGAACCGTAATATTTTCTGGACACTGCGTTTGAAAGTGAAATACACCCGTCGAGACGCTTGTATTTGCATTGTTTCTAGTATATTCTTTGCACTTAAATCGATAAATAGGGTACTGCAAAGGGTCAGTGGATAACGGGGGAACTGCTGGTTACAAGGGTTTCTAATGATGTCTTTTTCTTAAGATTTCAGTAGGGCAAGACCCTTTTCCCCCTGGAACCAACCACACCTTTTGTGATGCCAGAGAGCTTGCTGGAAACAATGGGATGTCAACTGTCTCAATCTCTAGGGTACTGTGCATATTCCCCATGAGCAAAGTATAAGTCTTGTGGGAATAATCGTCAATTGTTCTTAAAAATCTTAGATATGAAACCTCAAAGTTTGCTCTCAAATCTTCTTTTATTACCTTGAAATGCCGTATCTCGTGAATCCTTTTACTTTTTAAATAAGGGTCAGTTTTATAATAAGATTCACGAAGATCACATTTCCAGTATCGAACTCAACGTCAAAAAGGTAAATTGAAATGTTGCAGATTTCACGAAGAGTTTTTCGTTGATATTTCCGTAATTTAAGGCGAAAATTTTGGCTTTACCCTTACGTTCCACAACATATTTCTTCCGAAAAAGCAATATTTGGTGTTCTACTCATCTTTAAAGCTGTTCTGTAGTGCTTTTTCGGGTTGCATGGTCTAAATTTGAAAATTTAAAAAAACATTCTGCATAACTTCTTCACTAAATCATTCTGTTTGTATTGGTGGTGATTAAGAATATCTACGTTCCATTTTTCTCGGTACTTATAAGCGAATAAAACAAACAGAATTATTTCTTTATACATATTTCTTAGCGTAGAGTTTTCGATCTATGTTCTGACGTTTTAAACTCTGAAGAGTGTCAGACGAAAAGCTTTAGTTTACTAAATGTTTGCTTTTTTCAAAGCCATTTACAAATTATTTCTTTCCAAGAGTTAAATTTCAATTCCAATAGAAATTAGCTTGGGTATAAACTTATCATGTCTTTACTCTGATATCTTTAAGACAACCCTCGACATAAGGATAAAATGAGTAGACAAAGAAGATGCTATGCGACAGGGTTGAGGCAAAGGTCAATAGATATTCTAAATTTTGATAAAATTAACAACGCCGCAATTCAAACGTGCTAATTGAAATCTCCAAGCTTTTTATTTTAGAACTCATTCCAAGAAATTACTTCATACCTTGAATGTTATTAATATCTCATAACAGTTCTCATTCAGATTTGGAGATATCGATGTTATTTTGAATTTGTAAAAACCATGACAGTCCTTTTTAGGCAGAAAACCAAACTCATCCTTCGTTTATCAACAATAATGTTAAGATCTGTTTCTAATGATTTCGTCTTGGCAACCTGTAAATGAGAAAAAGCAAATTGAAAATGAACACGAACGTAGATGTGTAAGTCAATGAAAGAATAACAGGAATAAAATTAAGCAAAAAACTGTTTTCCTTTAAAAATCAGGAACTTTTAAACTAAGGCAGGTATGCTCCGACTTTTAGTCCAGAGGGTCCTCATCTACAAAGGATTGCGTTGTTTTCAGGAGAGCCACGGGGAGGCGCGTTGGGCCCGGGTGAGGCCCAGTGCTTGGACCCCTTCCTACCCAAATTAAAACCTTAAATGCGTTTAAAATGGATTTAAAATGCATATAATTTTTTTTTATTTGCTTTAAGTTTGTGTTCCAAAAGCATTGTTAAACTTTTCCAGTGCAGATATTTGTCTTAAAATTACTATGTCATTAAATTTTGTTATTATGTTTGCTCACTGGCCATAAGGCATCTACTCCTTGCCCCCTCCCAGTGTGCCAGGGTGTCAGGGCAGTAGTTTATATTGTGCTTCAAAAAATAGAAAATCCTTTATTTTCTATGAGCACTCCTTTTTTGTTCCCATTTTTCTCATCAAAATTTCCCAATAACTCTATCTTTTCATTTGCCCTGGTTGATGTACATGTAAAGGGTCCCTCCTTTCTAAGAACTAACCTTTGTATTTCACAATGATGTATCACAGCATGTTACAGCATCATGAATCGCCTCGACAATGTAATCACAATTAGCAGGGTTAATACAAGACATGTTGATCCGCCCGTTCTTCAAAAGGTAGATGTGGAACTTGCGAGAAAGATGGTCCACCTGTTTCGCTGTTCAAAGAAAGACATGTGGTGTCAAAAAAATCTAAGTTAAGAAACTAGAGTACTCAACGTCGATATTTGTTTCATATGAAAAAGGGCGGATACAGCTTTAAGATACCCCCTTTTATCAAAGTTTATCTTACTTGAGGCATCACAGTTACTCTTCCTTTGATGAAGAATATTGAAAAGGTTAGTTTCATTCCTCCCTCTAAGATGGCCCAAAGACCAATAAATTAAGCTTTCTGTGCTTTTAAAGTTTCCTGCCGGTAGTTGAGTTACTTAGACCCCGTTTACACTGTCCCGGGACAATTTTGTACCGTTACGGTTCGCAAGTGTTTACACTGTCGCGGTTCCAAATTGTTCCGTTTAGCCGTTACGTTTACACTGTACCGGTACGACCTTAATTTAATGGTAGAACATTGTTTAGAAGAAGCTGTATTTTTTCAACCAAGGCTTTTATTTTGCCGCCGAAGTCAACAATCGAATTTTTATTAAGAGATAAAATGGAGAAGAAGGCCGATAAAAACTTCCCTTGGACGAACGAAAAGGTGGCTTTAATTTTCAGTGTTATTTTAGACTACAAAACTGCAAAGTCCAATCAAGGCTTGAACTTGGAAACAATACAAGCCTTTTCTGTGGTCGTCTTTTCTTCAGAATTTGACAACGTAGTTACGCCACAATCAAAGCCTCGATTACCTGAAACAGCCATACAAAAGACCTCTTTGTGAATCCTTGACAAAATCGTCTCGGATAGGTGTTTACACTGTCCCGTTCAAAAACGGAACCGTGACGGTACAAAATTCGTTCGCTTTCAAAGCAGGGTCAAAACTGTTCCGGATAGCAGAGCAAAATCGTCACGGTTCCACAGTGCTAGTGTAAACGGAAGGGCGAACCGCGACAGTTTTGTCACGGTTCCAAACTTGCACGGGACAGTGTAAACGGGGTCTTAGTCGCAAAATAGAAAATGTGTAATGTGTGAAAAAGCTAAACCAGCTAAGACAACGAGAAACATACGATTGAGCCCTGATAAAGTAAACATGCCATTCTGTGCTATGATGTGCTGCCAATCTCCAGGGGTACCAAGTGCTTTAAGTTTCTCATACAAGAGCTTGCGACTCTTCTTAATATGATCGGACATTCCTTTAAGTTGATCCTTCCTGTCAATGAAAAAAAACAATTAAAATGAAATTGTGTATTACTTCATATTGGAAGTTTTAGCATACAGGTTAAATTTTGTATAAAGGATAGCGGATTACAAAATTCTTGGAAAATTGAATCTTTTGTTGCGATATGTTTGAGTTGGGGGTTTAGCATCACTATCAGAAATCAACACGGAAATTGGAAGAGATATTCCGAATATGGTACAAATAAACCACCATTGAAGAGCTTACTTGAAGTCTGAATGACAAAATGGCGGCTGTGTGTAACTTTGGGTATTTTGTTAAACATCAGCTATTTATTCTAACAGTAAGACCAAACTTTCGTCAAACTCTAAGCCTCGTATTTCAATGGAAGCCTGTTTTCTAGTATGCAAGATTACAACGATGACTGGCTCTTTAAAAGTCTGCAGAGAGTAATGCCCGAATATTGTGCAGATTGAACAATGCTGTTACAAAACAAGATCAAAAGGTTAGACTGTATTTTGTTTTACTAAGAGTTTCAAGTTGAACTGGCCTTTTTATGACACACAATTCTTGATAATTACCTTATTGAGTTGACTTGGTCAGCTGCTTAAGGAATAAAGCCATCAGTAACTGCCCATCTATAGATTTTATGTTGATGATTATTCGCGAACCAAAGAATGTAAAACATATTTTCTGTTAGCAAATTTAGTGAAAAGTAATTAAGGTATTCCATCAAATTTAGCACCAATTAGCACTATTTTGAGAATCAGTAACCCACTAATCACTATAGTGTCAATATGAGGAGTCATGAGGAGAAACATACCACTCAGCAGTTAGTGCAGGGTTGTTCAAAATGGTTGCAACAATTCTTGCACCGTGATTGGGCGGGTTGCCATACATTGGCTTGAGTATTGCCGTTATGTGCGCCTGAAAAGCGGCAGCCACGCTGCTCTCTTTGCACACAAGGAACAGGTTTCCAACACGCTCGTCTGCAAAACGGAAAGAACAAAAGTAGCTTGAAAATTTGAAATAGAAAAAGAACTTACATGCTTTATTTGTCTGTCTTTTTTTATACAGAAACGAAAATCGAGGATGGGAGAAGTGTTTGATTTTCCTAAATATTTGAGTCTCCAATTCAATCAGATAGGGTTGACAATAAATCATGGAAATCTTGTGCGCAAAAAATCGATATGATATTAAAAAGTTTAGGAAGCAATAATTTTTTCATAAGAAACAAACATCGAAGTTGAGCGCTCAAGTTTCTTAACGCTTTAAAGGGCCTCTCCAGCCAAATTTTGCACTTGCATTTTATTGGCTAATCTAAAGGAGTTGAACCTGCTGATCACGAATTCGTTATTTGTTTTTCGATTTTTTTTACAGTTTGTGAGACATAAGCTCTTGCATTTAGATAATTGAATTGAATTAACCGACAAAAAATGTTCGGTTTGGTGACACTGTGACGCAATTTTGACGTCACAGTGTATTTCGTTAGTCTCGCCTCAAACCGAATCGAACGACGGCGATTCGCAAATTGAACACTGCAAGTGATGGTACCCTCAGTTCTGTTCCACCGGCTTTTAGTTTGAGCATTTCAAATGTCAATTCTGGAGCCTTTAGTTGTTCATCGTTTCTGGAGAACAACTGAAGTGTCAATTTCGATTAATTATACGCGAGGGAAGAGCTAGAACAGGAAGCCGTAGCTTTGTGGGCCTACACAGGTGATCAAAACAAAGTCGTGACAAAGCATGGACAAATTCCGACCCGCAAACTTAGAATGATTGTAAACATTTTATATTTTCGATCCTAAAAAGCTCCTGCTCTAGATTTAGATGCCGTTATCAACGCGTGACCATGACTCCTTCACGATTCGGTGGAAAATATACGAAACTCATGGCGAGCGAGGGCCGCACATTGTGACGTCAGAATGTCACAAAACTGATTCGGCTTTTGTCGTTTTTTTCTCGGAAAGGTGCAACTTTGAAGCCTTATAACTTCTAAACTAATTGGAATTTTGCAAAAACAACGACTTTGCCATAATACATGCACTAGATGCTAACTTTTTAGTCAATAAAAATTTATTTTTTTTGGCTGGAGAGGCCCTTTAAGAAATTCCCATACTCGTTGCTTCTTTTGAGTATGTTAAATATGACATCATGTTTTTTAATATTTGGTCCAGCCTTTGATTTTTCACACTAATAAATTTCCCAACAAAACCTTGTTGCGGTGGGTTTTCGTCGATGCAAACAGTGAGACTCGTCAGTATTTTTATTCGGGAAATTTCTCTCAAGAAATTTCGCTTCTGTTCTAATGCTGTATCCGGATGAGGGAAGAGTATTTTCATTCTTTTTGTCCGAAAGTTTACACCAACCAGCCAATCACATTGATGAAATTTCATGAATTTTAAGAGTTTTTGGTTTCTTGTCAACTTCAATTGTTTCCTAATATTATGATTCGAGTACTGAAGTTTCTTAATTCTATTATTCGACAATTTCTCATAGAGAATTCCTTATAAAAAGATGAGGGTGATCAAGGAAGACTGTAATCTCCTAAAACAGTCCATATTTCTAGAAAGTGGTGTTTGCAACACAGACTTGGTATTGTGTCTACCTCACTTCCCTTTTCTCCTATAACGTATTTCTTTCCACCCCTGAGTATCATCGGGTACCTAAACTGTAGTTATGGACACTGTCTCTGGGTGCACCTTGCAATATGCTCCTAGGTCAGTAAAGTTCCTAGAGTAGAATTTTGCTAAATAACAGACCATAAAGAGCCACCTCTTTTTTCTATCACTTTTTTCTCTTTAATTCTGGAAACTCCAGCCGAATGCCAAAAACTTTGCTACTTTAATGAATTTAAATTAGTATTTGGGCTCTTACTGTAAAGGCCAAATGTTTTGGCAAAGGATTGTCCACAAAGGAACTCCAAGCCCCTTTCAGCAAAACGCCTTACCGCTGCAGCATCAGTATCTAAATCTCCAGTAGCGAATCCTTGGTAGGCCATGTCAAAAATTGTGAAGTGATTCTTTTCCTGGTTACACAAAGTACGTGTTAAGATAAATGCTACACCTAAAAACAGGATGCATTGGCTGTTGCCTTGTTGCAATTTTGAGAGGTAATGAAATAGGGTTACCACTTCTTCTTGGCCGTATACCTCGCTGTTAAACAAATTTTAGCTAATTCCTTTTGTAGTATCGTCACATGGACATGGTTAAAAGCAAGGATTCAATTCACACATGTTATTAAATAATTTTTTAAAATTTTGTTTTCCATTATTAGTTTTTTTAGTTTATCATTGTATTTAGGTTTCTGATGGGATATCGTGTTGAAATAAGAATTTAATAAATGAATAAATAAAAGGGTTCTTTTCTTCTCCAGCTGAAAAGGCCAGTACTTGGCAACTCAATTCAATATTCAATTTTGTTCATAAAAATTCTAATATAAGGTTTCAGTAAATACATGTAATCTATGTGACCAAGAAGAAGCAAAGCTTTTAGTTGCAATTTACAAAACAGAGTAGCAATACATAAAGGATAGAAATACAGAACATTTAACCTGGATCACATTTGCAATCTGTTGCCACTCATCTTTACTGGGATCAACTCCTGTGGGGTTATGTGCACAGGCATGCAGCACGATAACAGATCCGTTAGGGGCATTCTGAAAAAGCAATATGAATACCGATGCCAAAAAACTCAGCTAGATTTTTAATACTGCAGTAAAATCATTTGATATAAACTTCAAGTACTAGAATAACTTAAGGTTATGTATGGATATAGTGGACCAATTTTGTATGAAAAATATGACTTATGAATATAATTTACAATGAAATTATAATTCACGAGCAATGGTAGCATGTATCGTGTTCTTTCTTACAATTTAATGAAAATAGCAGCACAAAACGAATGAATTAACAATCTACCGAAACAACTATATTCTATGGATTAATATCAACCTTTGGTGAGGGTTAGGGCATTTGTAAGCATTTATTTCAATCTGTTTTCATATTCTGTTAAACTGCTTCTGTCTGGTAGAGTTTGTTTCAAAATAATCGCGAATTCATTTATTCTTACCCTCAAGTCCTCAATCATCCCCTCGACATTCAAGCCATTATTTTTGGGGTTGTAGTACCTATAGGTTCTTATGTCTTCATACCCAGCTCCAGTTAAGATTTTTTCGTGGGTTCCTACAGCATGCAACACAAAAATGAAATGGCAATGTTTTTTAATCTGCTCTTTTAAATAATGTTTTTTACAACGAAGGGACTTCATTGGAATTGCTATTACATGTGATAAGATATAAGATACAAGCTTGTCGTTTACACTTTTCTTGTGCAAACTTTAGCAATAAATCAAGCCATTCATTTGAAAGGCTAAAGCAAGCCAAAGGCTAAACATCTTGGAAATATTCAACATGAGCATTGTTTTGCTTCCTCAACGATGATGCCGCGTTAATTTAACTGCTACATTTCCCGCCTTTTCGCATACAACGCGCAGAACGGTAATGCACAGGCAAATACAGCCGAGCTGGCCCGCTTGCCGAGACGACACTTTTCACATAAATACCAACGTAAATTCCGTCTCTGTAATGAGCCAGCCCGCTTACCGGGCCAGCCTGCTTCCATATAATAAGGCCCTTATGCATTTTTGTCAATTTTTAGACAAATTATGTGGATCATGTTCAGATAAAAAAGAGGGGATAATTACCCCTTATACCACACCTTGGCGCCACCACTAATTGACGTTGCTGTCATTTCTTGGTGCAAAGTAATAAGGTGCTCGATGCCAACTACTGTTCAAATCCACTGCTTTTTCAAATGCTTTCAAATATCACAGTTTAGCTTTATCAAAATTAACAAGTTTTGTGTAGGGTTTGTTACGGAAACATCGCGGATCTTGGATTTGCGACAGAAATTTCATTTTATGTTATGTAATAACTTTCGCCTCCACCGGGGCCTTCATCGCTTTCTTCTCCTTTAATGGCTACTGGAAACGCTCGTACGGGTGAATTAGCAAAGTGACATCGTAAAAATCTATTTTTAGAATTTTAGAATTCTGACCCCATACCCGGAAAAAAAGACTATGTAGTAACCCTAAAGTTGCAAAATAAGTTAAATGTGTTGCAAATCGATTGAGATTTTGTCACAAAGGCATAGGCTCTTTCCCCATCAAACCACTTTAAATTAGCCCTGGTTCTTAAACGTGTGAAATAATATCTTTTTCGCGCCTTCAAGGGTAGTCGTTACTCTTTTGCACCAGGGAGGCAATCACAATTTTAACTGTACCAAATTGCTTAATCTTTTATTATTAGTTGATAGTTCTTCTGTTAATATTTCAGTGTTAATGTATTTTATCAAACCGTGTTTAGTTCATTTTTCTCCCCATCTAATAGAATTAAAATCTAAAAAAAGTTAATTATGAGCTATATTATAAAGGTTATTCTAAAACTTAGCAGTACCTTTCCTATTTCAAATTACCATTACCGAGAGGCAATTCACTCTTGCAAATAGCGTACGAGATTTTTCCCTAAAACAAAAGGATTTCCAGGGATTTTCATATAAAACAATAGGATTTTCGCAAAAGGTGTACGAGATTTTCTTGGAGTGATTTACCTCTCGAACATTACAATCGTGCTACAATAAGCGCACCCTGGGTACTAGATTCACTATACATAAAATAATATCTATAAAGATTCTATTTTATTTTATATACAGTGAGTCTGGTACCCAGGGTACAATATTTGAATTTTTCACTATTTGCTTTTATTTAATTTCATTTATAATGACGCTAATTTGATGAGGATTCGTAAAAGCCTCTGTTAAAAATGAGGCCACCAACAGCGTTTTTGTTGGAGTAGTATGAATACCTACCGTATTCAAAGCGTATTCATCTGAAAACGGATAAGTGTGAATGGACAGCGTTTTCATCAAGCGAAACGAATACAGAGCAGTGTGAATGTAGCGTGACTTTGAATATTTAGAGGTACTCTGTGGTGTTATGGAATATGGAAGGTTTTGTAATTTGTACTGTTCTTTCAGATTATCAGAATTCTAAAAAAATCAGATTTTATCAGATTTTTTGATGACGTCACTTTGCCATTCTATTCCCAAAATCCAGTCGTGATATTAATTTTCATAAGTACTGGACTGGTGTCTTCGGTTGCAAAATGCTCTTTTTCAAATAACAGATTCTAAATTCTAAATTTCTAAATTTCTTTGCCTCTCGTTCCTATCTACGCCAATGCCAGATTGGTTTTGAATGAGTCACACTTACTCCATGTTGGGTTCGATACATAAGCTGTCTTTGCTGGATGAAATTTCTTCAAGAACATGGCTGCAAGACAAATTGCACCAGTTCCAGACAAGGACTGGACAGCACTGACCTGCATCAAGGTACATAGAAAAAAAAATTTAAAAATTCTTAAACCAGCCTGAATACTGAATTCTTAATTATTGATAACTTGTAGTTCAAAAATGACTATTGCTAACCTGCTTCTCACAGCATTAAACAAACTCCTTGTAAGAATTGATCTTGTACTTTAAGTTATAAATATAGCAATGTTTCTTAACCTTTATTTTAAATTGAAGGATCAGTTTTAAGAAATAAAGCTTAAAGACCAAATGCAGAGCAGAGCAAATATTCTTGAGAGTCAAACTGTATGCCTATATACATTTTCTGTAAATAAACTCACTCTGTTCTGTGTTATGGCAGTACTTTCGTTCCCTAATGCCAATCTTGTTGCAGCATTACAAAGATCTTTTAAACCAGTGAATGGCAGCAAATCATGATCCAGTGTTTTGTCTTCAGCCATTGCCTTCTCAACACTGGTTACAACAGGTAGCAAATACGGCTTTCCATTTTCATTACGGTATACTAAGAGAAATAAAAACACAGCTCATTATGCACCAGGTCCAGATTTAGCCCAGGCTAACACACTAATATGGAAAGAGCCTCCTGTATGTCATCTGCTGATAAAACCCAGGAAGCTCATTTTCATAGGGAAAATTTCCTTCAATTTTCATCAAAATTTTCCACAAACAAAACAAAATATATTTCATGTCTCTTTTTAGCTGCATGCCCCGTTTTAACCCATTGCCCCAAATGCCGCAACCGTTACTGTTCCTATTTAAATGAAATGAGATTGTCAAATTAATATCTTGCTTTTGTAAGAGTCGTACATCATTGTAATACAGGCTTTGCGGTATCTAGCGCGCTGGGCTCGATGCCTCCCAGTGTCCAAGGCACCTTTCAAATGTTAAATCTTTTATTATCTGAACTGCATCAATTACTTTTATACGAACACTATTCATATACTCTTTTTTAAATAGTTGCAGAAAGAAAATGAATTTTTATTGCAAAAAATTAAATAAACAGAGCTTTGGGGAATGACCTGACGTATCACTTACCAATATATAAATTTTTGGCATCCTCATACCTCATAGAACATTTCGGCTGTGGACAACCACCTGAGTTGCTGTTGAAATTATTTCTTAATTTTAAAAATTTTATATATTGGCTCGCAGCTTGCATCTTTCATGTATCTGCTCGCAGCCCCTACCTTGTCAGGTAAAGCCGCTCGCAGCTACGGGCAGGCGAACTCCTACATGCTTTCCAATCTGGCAACTGGTAACCCAAAAAACAGAATAATGACATTGGATATTTAATGCGTTCAAAATCGACGAGAAAACGCGAAAATATTTTGTGCAGACCAGTTGCTGACAATATCGTGTTTTTAGATGTTAGGATTTTTGAACGTTGGAAGATAACGCCATTTAGGTGCTAACAGCCTGCACAAAATATTTACCGAGTATGTTAATTGTTCGCTTATATGGTGCTACTATCCCTTTCCTTTTTTAATTTCTGCAGCCCCTAAACCTGTTTTTAACCTAACATTCATGTCGATACTTACTTTGATGGTCCTTTCGGCTTGTTGTTAGCTAGTCTTGGGTCCTTTAGGGTGGTTTAATGGTTGGTTTTGGGTCGTTTTGGATGGCTTTAGGTGGTTTTGCTGGCTGGTTAGGCTGGTTTTGGGTCGCTTCTGGTCGTTTTGGGTGGTTTTGGGTCGTTCAAGTTTTTATTAAGTACGGGAAATTGTAACCGTGTTTCAATGATAGTCTATATATAAGGACCACTGGGCAAAGGTAGATTTAAGATAATGATGGGCCTATTTTTGTAAAGAACAAGCATTTCTTTACATTGCACATGACCTTTGGCCTTGCAGAGATCAAGAGACATGAATCATCAAAGTTCAAACTTACAGAAGGTTAAACAACGTCATCAACACAATAGCAAGGAAAAACAGGCTCCAAGGAACGCTAATGCCAAAAAGTCAGGTCTTTCCAACCAACATATTCCTCTCTTTTTCACGGCTGCAAATTTGTCCATCACCTCATCATGATCGATTTCAGTGTTTCTGCATCGTTTGTCATCGGATTTGACAAACAATCATTTTCCATGGAAATTTAGTATGCCTAAGGAGGTGTCAACAATAATTTTTTGTCAAGTTAACAGAATCAGGCCAATAATCTCTGAATCACTCTCTTCAATCTTCAAGAGAAATGTTGTTTTTTTGGGAAGATGATTTGTTGAAAATCTTTGTTTTGATTTTGATTAGGATTACAAATTTTAGGTGATAACAATTATTTTTTGATAATTTGCTGGTCAGCATGCATTCTGACTTTTTGGATGAGGATGTGCCATTTTGAAAAATGAAAACATACCGTAATAAATATAAGTTTTCCAAAAACCCTACCGCAAAATTTAGATACAGTATGAAATATATCCTGCAAAAATCCAAAAACTCAATCGAGTAAATTAAAGCGTATAACCTTTCTTTAAAAATTGATACCCAAAATTTAAGTTCATGTCAGCAATCAAGCTAATAATTTGTGAGAATATTTGTTTTTACCGAAATTGATACCCAAAAATTTAATTACTGCTTAAAGAAAGGTACCTCAAAGAATGACACACCCCTTACCAGGGTATGTGGAAGTTACCCTCCCCCCCCCCCCACCCCAGGTATTGAATACGAAATTTGGTTATTTCAATTTTGGTCCAAAAGGCCACATGCACAGTTTTAAGGGATTCCTGCTTAACACCCTTTACATTTAGGCATTAACCTGGGATATAATGCTAGGGGGGTTAAGAGATCTAGAATGCAGTGTTGTTATTTGCAACGTTTTCCGCAATAGCCCCCCCACCTGTTTTTTTTGATAGCACTACACCTCTGGCATTCACCGGCACGAAAATTGTTTGTCAATGTGACCCCTTAAAATCCTACAGATAAATTAATAGCAGAAGTTTTCGTGGCAAGATGTAATAAAACTATGCTAGAACAGGGCCCACGCCACAGTGGGGGCCAGGGGGGCTATGGTCTCCCATTTTTTGCTAGATAAAAGATTAAGCACAGTTTTAGCCAAAATTATTTAGCCAATATCTACAAGTCAACAAGCATCAGCAAAGTGTTTGACACAATTGATGCAAGAGGGGGTAAGAGGAGACTTTCTTTACATTGCTGGTCTCTCCAGTTTAAGATCAACCTTGCGCTGAACCAGGGGCGGATCCAGAGCAAACTTGAAGGAGGGGCAGTTTGTTGTGGGGGCGCTGAAAAATTTTCAAAAATCGATGACGAGAGAACGCTGTATACAACAATTTCAGATCCATATTCGGAATAAACAACATAATTTTGAAGTAATCCTTGAAGCAAATTAACCTATTGGTCTCAGAAACTTTTTCACCTGATTCTCATTCTTCAAAAAAGAAGCACAATTTCCAAAAAAGGGGCGCCATACTTGCCTCAACTCGTCGAGGGAGGGGCAACTGCCCCTAGTTGCCCCCCCCCCCCACCTCAAATCCGCCAGCAAGAAATTTTAATTACGAATGACGATGAGTAGACCCTGGAACTCATTTGCTTTGTCAATGCCTCACCTCCTATCTCGAGAATTGTTTTCTTCGGGTGTGTATCCTCCTGAAAACTTTGCTGAAGGGCATAGAAAGCGTCAACAGGAGCTATGTTAAGGCCGTGGAAAACTGATGTTTCAAACGAGCACATTCTTTCCTGATACACAAAATGCCTGGGAAGGGTCCGGCCGGTCCGTCCAATCTTCTAGAAGCGCGAACATTCGCATCATCACAGAATCATGCTGCGTTCTTCCTGGCCAACTTCTGCCGAGCGGAAGTTAGCTAGTAAATCAACGGCGTCGTGGCCGGGGGGGGCAGGAGGGCAGGAGGGGCCGTGGCCTCCTCTGCTTTCAAAATTTGACGGTTTTTCAGAAAAACATTGTTTTTTCGGAAAATTCTCAGACTTGAGCTGCGGATAATTTTCAAACTTTTAGCAACATAAATTACTTGCACCAAAGTACTACCGAGAAATTTCGAGGGGCAATTCACTTGTGTAAAGAGAAAATACCATATTTTCAAAAATCAAAATGATTTCTCAGAATTTCTCAGGATATAAAATGCTTCTTTTTGAGTAAAATAAATCAAAGAAATTTTTTCGGAAAATTTTTCTTTCTTGCCCCCTCTAGAATTCATTCGCCACGACGCCCCTGTAAGTAAATGCACCTTCAATAGCGCTAAAGCTAGAAGGTAACTGACAGATTTGTCACACTCAAATTAGGGGGGGGGTTGCTTTGCATTTCTCCTCTAACATTATTATTAATTTTCTCACCCCAACAAATAATATTTTCTCTCCCCAATTAAAGTCCTCTCCATCGTCATCAAAACGCAAGCATTAATCTTCAATGATTATTATTATATCAAGGGTTTCGATAAAGGTTGGTAAGTGGGGGGGGGGGGCAAGGGACATTTTAACAATCATAAAGAAAGATTTTGAAAAAAGCTCTATATACAGCAAACACGCAGCCTTTATTATCTCCACTTTACTCGTAAGATTCCAAAGGTACACCGACAAGCCAAAAGTTTGTAATTGAAGATCTTTTTTGTGTAAAGGGCGGGCGTACTTTGCTAATCGGTCCCCAAGGTAAATAATAGTTCTATTCTATCATTTAGTGAGCGCCTTTTCATGTTTCATGGCAATGTGTTTGTAGGTCTGACAACATGTACATTAGGAACATTTCGTCAGATAGATTTTCGGCGGATAAACTTCGTCGAAAAAAATTTCGGATAACTTTTCAGAATTTCTTTGTGACAAAATTTCGTCGATAATTCTTAACATATAGGCAAAACCATACAGGCCGCTTAATATTCAATACCAGAGGTACAGACTTCGTGGAAACTTGGGGGCTTGAGCACCAGTTCGGAAACTGTCCCAGCCCCCCAGTCAGCTTTTTCGAACAGAACATCATGCAAGAAAACCAAATTAAAGCGGTGTATGCAAAGGTGGTGTAAAAAGCGATGCCTTCAAGCGTTAAATTTCTATTCCAAAAAATTTAGCTTGGGTTTAAACTCCACAACTTTTGCATTATCGAATCACGCAATGATTTCGTCACAAAATAATTTTATTTCCAATATTAATCTTCTAATACAAGACGCACGAGTTTAAGAACAAAAGAACAACCAATGAATACAAGAGTACCATGAAAAGGAAAATAACAAATTAATAAATCAATGATATAGGAATCGGTGTAATTTTGAACATGTCAAAAACAATGAAATTCATTTCAAACTTTTCCGCGGGTTAAGTTAAGCCAGTTCGTTCAAAATAAATATTTTTTATTCGATTAATCGATCTTTCGTAGCAATTGGTAAATTGCGACAACCAATATCAATTGATTTTAAAAGCATTTCGACCTAATATTATTTCGACAAGACTTTAAATGGAGCGCTTACTCAATATTGTACTATATTGCTACTCTGCATTGGTAGTATTTGTGTCAAATATTATACTACTATCATGACGACTTTCTCATGTCAAATATTATACTATTATCGTGATGACTTTGTTATGTCGCCGTACGTGTTATAGCTGCGTTTCCCAAAGTCAGAATCTAGCAAATTTTTCATAATTGCAAGGTTCCGACAAAACATGTAAATGGTCAAAGTGCCTACGCAATGAAAAGGAGGCCCTGGCTTTACTTCTTTGCTAGCAAAAGAAAGAAAATAAATAATCTTAATTTGTTTTTAAGTTGGTAGTTGGAGATGCCATCAGTGGGATATTGGTAATGTAAGGTATTCTGCTTAACAAAGTATTTGAAAAAGGAGCAAAGACATGAACAGCTGGAGGGAGTTCTCCTTGTTACATGTAATAACAATTTTTGAGAGCTATAACTAAACAAAGAAATGGAATATTTGGCAATTTTTACTTCACACATATTCTGATATCATAGAAAAAGGAGAAGACACCATAGGAAAGCATTGACGTAGATGGCCATTATCAAACGTGAAGAAATCAACAAAGCCAAAATTCAAATGTAGTATTTCGTTGATCGTGCACACATTTTGACCTTAAACACATTCAACCAATTTTATTAGATTCTCATAAAAATTCCTCATTATTTTTTTATATATTGTATGCTCTAGAGTAAATTCTTAATCAATTTTGATTTTGAAAATATCCACGCATCTTCTAATTTGTAAAAACCACGCCTTTGTCAGGTAGAAAATCACACATATCACTTGTTTATGTAGCAAAAATGTTAAAAACTGTCTTCAAAGATTCCGTCATGGCAACCTGGAAACGAGGAAAAGAAAATTAGAAATGAATGCGAACATTGCTTTAAAAGCCAAAAAAAGATACTAGGCCAAAAATATTTAAATATTGAAAGTTTCAGAAAAGAAATCAGGCTCTTATAGACTTAGTTAGGAATAGCGTTGTGCTCCCATCGTAGTTCAGATGTGCTCATCTCTAAAGGGTGGCGTTGGTGTAAGGGCTGTAGCTGCTATTGTTCTTGAGGCGGGCCTAAAAAACCCCAGCCTAAATATAAAAAATCCTTTGTTTCCTATGAGCAGTCCCTTTTGCTTTTTTTTCCTTAGTGCCCCCAACCCCCCCCCCCAATCTTTCGCAATTGTTGTTGTACTCGCTCCTTTCTAAAAACTAACCTTTGTATTTCACAATGATGCATCACAGCAAGTTACAGCATCATGAATCGCCTCGACAATGTAGTCACAATTAGCTGGGTTAATACCACACATGTTGATCCGCCCGTTCTTCAAAAGGTAGATGTGGAACTTGCGAATAAGATGGTCCACCTGTTTTGCTGTTCAAAGAAAGACGTACAGGGTCATATAAGTAGAACAATTGAGATATTATCTCAGAATAAGAAATGGTTACGTTTGGTGTGGATTCATATTGCTCGGAACTATTCTCATTTCCACTGATTTTTTCAATAAAAAGCTTGCAATAAGAAACGAGTACTGGACAATCAGAAAAATACTTCGCTACGCGAAGGAATAGAGTTACGATACAACTAAATTTGGCAAAGAACCCAGAACTCTGAAACTTAAAAAAATTCAATCAAGGTGATTTTCTTGTTGGCATAAGATTTTAGACAGACAGAAAATTACCACCTCTCCTCTGTAAGCAGTATAAAGTACAGCATTAGAAAGGAAGCGAATCTCTCGACAGAAATGTCACAACAGAAACATTGCCTGCAGCTGCAAAAACCCTCCAAAAAATTGCTTGCATGAAAAATTTAATAATCCTCGAATTGCCCCCCCCCCCTCGAATAAGCCCCCACCCTAGAACTACAAATTGTCAATAAGCCCCCCTCGAATAAGCCCCTACTGCTACCGTATATTCTCGAATTGGACCCCTCAATTTGACGGTTTTTGCCATCTGAGGTTGCCTATGGCGTTTTATTGAATTACCACGACAAATTCGTACTTTTGGTACTAATTAATTGAATGCTTCTACTAAAATAAAAAAATAAAATAATAAAAAAATTCCTACTAAAATAAAACAAGGTATTTTAATAATGTCTTCTTATTGTCTATAATAATTTTATAAGCCCTGCCTTGTATAAGCCCCCCCTCCAATAAGCCCCCACCCAAAAATATCAAAAATAAATAAGCCCCTAGGGGGCTAATTCGAGGATTTAGGGTAGGGCGCAAAGGACAGAATTAATGATATCATTATTAGCAGACCCTTTAAGAAAATTGAGGATTCAAATTTCCTCGAGCGTTTTAAGAAAATTGAGTCTTAAAAATTGAATTTTGTTTGTTATGAAATAGAATGTGTGTACATAGCATGATACTTCTCTTAAGCTCGCTTGAGGCAATTTTTGACACCATAGATGGAATATTGAAAATGATGAGTTGGTTAGTTTAAATTATTTCACTTAATTCGCCTAAAAGAGCAGTTAGGCCTTCTTCACTTTTCAAACTTTGTTAAAGATAACTGAGTGATTGGAAGTGGATGGGAAAAATCAAACTGAGACAATCAGAAACTTACGGTTGAGGCCAGTAAAAGTAAACATGCCATTCTGTGTTATGATGTGCTGCCAATCTCCAGGGGTACCAAGTGCTTTAAGTTTCTCATACAAGAGCTTACGACTCCTCTGAATACGATCGGACATTCCTTTTAGTTGATCCCTCCTTTCAATGAAAAAACATAAATGAAATCAATAGCAAATATGCTAGACGAAATGATGTATTACTTAATAATGGAAGCTTCTTATAGAGCCTAAACATTTTGACAAAGAGGTAACAGCTTAGAAAATTCTTCTGCCAAACACTCATAGACAGTTTTTTCCAATAGCTTAAGTAAACTTCATAATACTCTTTAAATGTTGACAGTCATGACTAGCCTTCTCACCAATATAAACCCTTACAAAGTTTCGAAAAGATTCACCCAAATGAACTCTAGAAAATTGCATCTTTAATTGTGATATGCTTGAGCGGGAGGTTTTTATCCAGGAGTAGATTAGTTTTGCAAATTTGACGAGATATCATGAATAAAGTGCAAATAAACCACCATTGACGAGCTTACTTAAATATGAATGACAAAATGGCAGCTGTGTGTTTTGGCAAGAGGGAGAATAATTATGGATAAGTAAACTTTAAATAAAAAACTATTTAACAGAAATGCAATCATCTGTCGTACGTTGATCTAAGCCTCTAGTTCAATAGAGGATTGTTTTTCAGTGTGCAAGAGGACATTAATCACTGCTGCTTGAAAGTAAGCCGCGTAATGTGAAATCAAAATATTGTGCAGATTTTGAAATGCTATTACAAAACAGGGTTGAGTTGTGAGACTGTGATACCTGTCAACATCTTCAAATTGAAACAGCTTTTTCACAACACAGAATTCTTCAGAATAACAGTAAAGATAACTTGATCAGCTGCTTTTGGGGAATGCAGCCACAGTTTTTTTATGACTATCTGTGATTAAGAAATGTAAAACATGCATTTTGTTTGCAAAAAATCAAATTTTTAATAAAAAAGAATAAGTTATATCAAGCTGTGCTTCCCTGACATAAATTAAGCTGTGCTTCCCTGACAACATGATCACAAGGTTCTTTAGCCAGATAATGACTGCACTTATCACTAACCCACTAATCACTGTTTTTTAATTAAAGAATCACAAGGAAGGACATACCACTCAGCAGTTAATGCAGGATTATTTAAAATGGTTGCAACAATTCTTGCACCATGATTAGGTGGATTGGAGTACATTGGTCTGATTATTGCTGCCATCTGAGATTGGAAAGCAGCAGCCACACTGCTCTCTTTGCACACAAGAAACAGGTTTCCAATTCGCTCATCTGCAAAACAATATTATTACAAGAAGCCTTAAAACTTGAAAAGAGGAAAGAGCTCACATACTACTTTTGTTTGGCTAGAAACAAAAAATTAGAAAGACTCCAGTTAAATCAGTTAGGCTTGACAATAAATCATAAAAATTCATTATTGTTTATAAAGAATTTAGGATCATCATGAATGAAGAAGGAAAATATTTCTGAAAACTGCTGCTAGTGACACAGACTTGGTATAGCCTACCCTACTTCCCTTTGTTCCTTTAACATATTTCTTTCCAGCCTTGAGTATTATTGAATACCTGATCTGTAGTTATTGTGTAATCATTTGTCTTACTTTTAATTTTATGTGTGCTGAATCACATGTTCAGTAATGATGTACCCTTTTGATGTGATTTGTAACTTTGGGAGCAATTATGTTGCAAATAAATACGTAGCTTTGATTAATGTTCGTATATTGGCCAACTATGGAACATCTGGTTAAATGCCAATAATGTTGAAACTTTAATGAATTTAGATTTAATAGTTGGGCTCTTACTGTAAAGGCCAAATATTTTGGCAAAGGATTGTCCACAAAGGAACTCCAAGCCCCTTTCGGCAAAATACCTTACTGCTCTAGCATCAGTATCAGGATCTCCAGTAGCAAATCCTTGGTAGGCCATGTCAAAAATTGTGAAGTGATTCTTTTCCTGGTTAAACAAAGGAAGTCTTATGAAAAAATGATACAGCTAAATGCAGGGATGTATGAAATATATGCAATGCTGCAATTTTGAGAGGTAATCAATTAGAAATATAATTTTTCCTTGGCTATATATATTATAGCTGAAAAACAAAATTTAGTGCTAGAAAAAGAATGCTAATTTGTTCTTAGCATCATCATTAAAACAAGGTAAAAGGCAAAGCTCCTTTTCTTTCACATCTGGAAAGACTAAAACTAGCTAATTCAATGGGCATATTAAACTCAATATTCAACTTTTTCAAAGAAGTACCTACACCTAGATTAATACAAAGTTTCAGTAAATATATGTAATCTATGTGACCAAGGAGAAGCAAAGCTTTTAGTTGAAATTAACAAAACAGAATAGCAATACATAAAGGTCTGAAACAAAGAAACATTTTCTTTTAACCTGGATGACATTTGCAATCTGTTGCCACTCATCTTTACTGGGATCAACTCCGGTGGGGTTATGTGCACAAGCATGCAGCACAATAACAGAGCCATTGGGGGCATTCTGAAAGCCAAAAAATACTGATGTCATAAAGGCAGCTTAATGTTTAATACTGCAGTAAAATCATTTGATGTTTTCTTCCAGTGAGTTTTATAACAGAAGGTAATGCTTTGATTTAGGTTAACCAAACAAGCAACACTATAATACATATGAACAATAATTATAATGGACAATAAAATCATATTTAATGAACAATGGAGCAGGCCACATGCTATTTATGCAATTCAGTGAAAATAGCAGCCTAACAGAAGCAGTAAAAAATTCACAAAAAAACTTTTAGCTGTGAAAAAGCATTTAAATCTGTTTTCTTATTCTTTTTAATTTGTTCTGTCTTGTAGATTTTGTGTTAGAAAAATTCATAAAATCCATTTATTCTTACCCTCAAGTCCTCTATCATCCCCTCGATATCCAAGCCATTATTTTTGGGGTTAAAGTACCTATAGGATCTTATGTCTTCATACCCAACTTGAGCAAAGATTTTGTTGTGGTTGCCTACAATATACAACACAAAAGTGAAGTAGCAAATTGTTTTGAATCTGGCTTTTTAAAAAACATTGGAATTGACAAAGAGGACTAAATCCTGGTCCCAACCAACAAACAATTACCACACTATAATTTCATTGTGAGAGTAGAGGTAAGAAATTAAGCTTTTAAAAAAAGCTGTCAATTTTTATCAAAAGATCTGAACTTATCAAACAAATATAGGAACCAATTGAAATTTGGTAAAATGAAGGCAAAAACAGGCACCTCAATGAGCTGCAAAAAGGTACTGTAGCTCTGTTTTCTGAAAAGGGAGAGGTTCTATGCCCCTAGCTTCTTAGTCAATGTTTCAGTATTCATTTACTGTCAAAGTACCAAATGGCTTTCAATTAGTCATACTCACCCCATGTTGGGCTGGATACATAAGCTGTCTTTGATGGATAAAATTTCTTCAAGAACATGGCTGCAAGAGAAATTGCACCAGTTCCAGACAAGGACTGGACAGCACTGACCTGCATCAAGGTACATAGAAAATGAAAATTAAAAAATTCTTAAACCAGCCTACATACTGAATTCCTAAATATTGATAACATGTAGCTTAAAATTGACTATTGCTAACCTACTTCTCACAGCATTAAAAAACTCCTAAGAAGAGGTCTTGTACCATAAGTTATAAATATAGCAATGTTTCTTCTTTTAAATTGAAGGATAACTTTTAGAAAAAATGCTTAAGAAACCAAATGTAGAGCAAATATTCTTGAGAGTCAAACTGTATGCCTATATACATTTTCTCTAAATAAACTCACTCTGTTCTGTGTTATGGCAGTGCTTTCGTTCCCTAATGCCAATCTTGTTGCAGCATCACAAGCATCCTTTAAGCCAGTGATTGGCAGGTAATCATGAGTCAGTGTTTTGTCTTCAGCCATTGCCTTCTCAACACTGGTTACAACAGGTAGCAAATACGGCTTTCCATTTTCATCACGGTATACTAAGAGAAACAAGAACACAGTATAAAGTCACGTCCCGTCTCAAATGCACAGCCAAATTTTTTGACACATATTGGGTTCACAGAAAACACTCTCTACATACTCGCCATGCAGTTTTATGCTTTGGTTGAAAATTTATGTTTTGGTTTTGATTAGGATTTAGGGCAATAATAAGGTTCTGGAGAAAAATTTTGGGCAATAAAGAGTGCTATAGATTCTAGTCAAAATTTCCCAGAAAAATGGCTTGCCAATATAACTGACCAGTGTGTGCAGACCATGGCAATGGTGCACATGTCATGCAGACATGGTAGCTCTGGCGGTGCACCTAAAACTATATTTATTAAGTTTTATACTAGTAAAGTTGCTAGTGCTGGGGCAACTGGAATTTTAAGGCTTACTTTGAGCACTGGCACCCGAAGTGCAGGCTGTTGGCACATCCAAACTCCATGAAAACTGGAGAACTATTGCATCAATTTTCAAATAAACAATGGCTCACCTTAAAACTGTTACTAAAACAAGCACACAGCATTAAAACCGAAAATCCTAATTTTTGCTAGTGTCCTTGGCCAAATAATTTATTGTTTAATACACTGTTCAAACAACTTGAAAATTTTCACACTAGTGCTTAACTTCACAATTTTTAATACATCAGTCTGATAATGTAGAATACGAAAATTAGTTATTTCAACTTTTGTCCCAATGCCTAACGCACAATTTCATGGACTTCCTGCGGACCCCCCTTCCAACGAGATAGAAAAGTTTGTAATTTGCACGGCGTAGTCGCAATAACTAAGTTCGATATGCGCAGCTATGTCTTAAGTTTACAGCTAAATATATATGTTGATGAATATACATACATAGACCTAGTGTATGTTTAAATTGCACGGCAACGAGGAACATTGGCAACATTGGCAACATTGAATCACGAATTACCGTTAGAAGTATCATGTAGCTAGCTCACCTCCTATACCAAGATTTGCTTTTTTCGGGTTTGAATCCTCCAGAAAATTTCGCTGAAGAGCAAAGATAGCATCAAGTGGAGCAATGGCAAGATCATGGAAAACTGATGTTTCAGATGAGCCCATCCTTTCCAAGTTTTAGGTACACAAAATGGGACACGTCGCAACAAAGTATTTATGCAGTGAAGAGTACGGGACCTGTTCGTTGAGCCTCGTAATCAACTCCATCGAATGAGCTGCTCTTTTGACTTTTCACGGGTTCAAAACATCAAAATTCCAGCTCAGTTTTTACCAATTCGTAAAATTCATGAAATAAAGCTAACATTTCTAACAGAATTGCACTAAAAAAAGTTAATGCTTCAGAACAAAAACCCTAATTAAAGTTTCATTTTAATTTGAAAATAAGCTGTTAATGTGAACGCAGCCTCAGGCACAACAAAATCAGAACATTAGCTGTTAATGTGAACCCAGCCTCAGGCAAGGCAGAAAACCTCAGGCACAACGAAAGTCAATTGAGCCAGGGGACGGCGGTACTGGGTGATGTCCACTCCACTTTTCTAAGATAGACTTTCTAATTCTTCTGAAACTGGATTAAAAACATTAGGGGGATGTTGGTTTTCTCCTCTGAGATCAGAGGTGGGGCCAGAAATCTTCCGACAGAGGGGCTGGAGCTTCCGACAGGGGGGCTAAAACGACTAAAATAAGCAGTTTTCGTACGTTATTTTGTCAAATTTGCTCCGACAATAAACTAATATTTCCTCCGATGGGGGGGGGGGCTAGATGCTTCCGACGGAGGGGCTGTAGCCCCCCCCTAGCCCTCCCCTGGCGCCACCACTGTCTGAGTTTGGAACTTTTTCCATTTTGAGGGTCAGTTACGGTTCTTTTCAGATCTTAGCTGACATAGATGGTCAGTTACGGTTCTTTTAAGATCTTAGTTCCGCAAATAGTGAGAAACTAAAATGAAGATGATCTATAAAACACAGCTTGATCGTGCAAAACAGTTGATTTTTAGAGTGTGATATTTGCCTTCCTACCTTGTTAAAGGTTTTTGGCAATAATTAACTTTAAAACTTGCACCAACACTTTTTTAAGCTGTAAGGATAGTATAGTTGCAGCCCCACCTGTTACAGCTGCATCACCTTTGAGCCTCAATGTCTGGCGAAAGGTTGGAAAACCTTGTTCAAATTAGCACCAATCAAGATATGGCACATAAAATAGACAAAAGAGTCTCGTTAACAGGGCTGGAAAATGTCCGGCAGCGCCGGTAGCGGTACATCTAGTTTGCTAGTACTGATATGAAATTTAATCAAAGAATAAAGATTTTCAGATCTACTTTCTTTAACCTTGAAAACAAACTACGAGTATCGTGCTTGATCACGTTCTCTTTGATCATCTAATATAGTATAAACAAAATGATTCCTGTTCGAATAGCTATGATCAAGACTGCAGGACCAACAATTAGTTCTTTTTAGTGTGACAGTTTGTTTTTAGGACAAATTTTTAAACAAATCAAGCAATTTGAAATATCAATTTCAGTGGCTGGAAACTTCCTCGAAGCTTCGCAGGAAATCTTGAATTTTTTATTTTGCTGCCAGGAAGAAATTTTTTTTTTCAAGGCCTGCTCGTTAATAAGTTTGAAACCATTGATTGCTAAAACATACCACTCTGAAATTAGCTTTTATGTTATTAGCTTTTATGTGTGTAAACCTTTGCCTATGAAATTTAACTCTGCTATCGAGGGTTTCAAAATATGTCAAAGTTGATTCAATAACGAGTGTGATTTCTCGTACGGTGCTGCACCGATTTCTCACTCAGACTCCTTTATCAGCTCTACCCCTTCATTGTCCACCCCTTTATTTTGGGGCTGGCGCCGCCCCTGAATTGAGCACACATAAAAATCATATTTCAAGATTCTCACTATAGTCTGATACATTAAGATGCTCATCTTGTCTAGGTATTCATCCTGACTGCTTAGAAAAGTCCCATTAAGGCCTGACAGTGAGTCCAGTCGATTTGAGGGCCTTACCAAATGGCTACCATATGGTCCAGTTTCGATAATAACACAACAGCTTGGTTTACCTTGCGATTTATTATAGAAAATGAACAAGGTTTTATATTACCCGAATCAACAACAGTCAATGGCGAAGAAATTTGTCAGTTTTCTTTCAGTTGTTTGCGTCAGCATAATTTAGCCCGACCCGGTCCCCCTGTGAAAAAATAATGAAATTGAGCTGAATTACGGTAATATTTGAACATGGATTAAGATGTTCCAAGAGAAGAACAGATAAGAAATATGCATTCGTCTTGGGGATTCACATCCTAAGGTTAGCATACCGAGATGGAAACAATAAAAAAACTAAGGAAATCACCGAATCCTCGGGAAACGGCGCCGTTCCTTTCCAAGCTGACATTTTGGTAAGTTAAAAGATCAAAACATGTGAGCAGTCGACTGCTCGGCAAAGCTCAGTTGTGACAGAATGTTCTTCGTCAGTTTGTTTTCATTGCTTCTATAGAATGCTTTAGCTTTTATTTGTATTCATGGTTTCCAAGGATCGTGTTATGCTGTCCTAAAATCTCTAGTCACTTCCTTGTCGGAAATCAGTAATGACCAGGTTGCTTGTGGTCGACCTTTGCTTGTCAGGAAACGTGTGTCCATGGGGACGGAAAACTGTCAAACAGACTCAATTGCGAAGCACCACCAAAGAACTTCAAGCATGCCCTAATGTCAGCGTAGGCCAGCATTACCAAAAGTTAGGAACAAGATAGCATGCCAAGCATCAGCTGAAAAATTAGTAATAAAAAACAATTTGTTTTTGAAAATGTTTCAGGTTAACAAAAATAACAGACTCAATCTCTTAATCAACCTTACTGAAACTGAGACTCACTCTAGGTTCTAAAAGTATTTTAAAGGATTGGCCCCAGTAATGTTTAAATTTAGGGGTTGGCAAAAAATCTTGTTGATACAAAAATCTTTAAGGGAAATACATAAAATATATTTCTAAATCAGTTGAGAGCACTTGCCTCTGTGGTCCCCACAGATAAATTGATGACCCTTTGAAGATGTCCTTCTGAAATTGAAATTAGTGGCTGGCCTGACGTATCCATTTACACTAAAAGTATGGAAACAACAATGGCAGCTCATAGAAGCCAAGGTCTGAGCCAAGAGGTTTTTAAAAACATTTGCAATAAAATATTTTGGTAATGAATGTCATTGGTACAAAAGTGTTTGCGTTATACCAATAGCTTTTGAATGATAATAAATTTGAAAGATTATCTTACTATTTTGTGGAAAAAAATCATGGAATGGCTAGGCCAGTGCTTCAGAAAAGCTCTGGAAAATGTTTACGAAAGGTTCATAAAAATTGCCTTAAAATACAGGCAAAACTTGAGAAGCAAAGGATAATTCAATCAAACTTGAATCTTTAATACATGAATCTTTGTTCTGACTTTTAATATATTACCGAGAAGATCAAATTTGGCTGAGATGTCAAGATTAAAAATGATGTGAACAATTTCTAAAGCTCTAATTTAGTGATAAAAAATAGCTGGCTTTCTAAATAACATAGAAAGTTTGGGTGTAGTCAATTAATTTCAATAACTTTAAAGGCATAATAAACATAAAACGCTTTGATTTAATTTTTTGAATTTCTTGTGCTTAGATAATGAGTAAATCAGAATTCAAGATAAACAAGCATTTAAAATCAAATGTAGAGCAATGACCTTGTGTCAGCAATGAAACTTTAAAATTAAAGTGCACTGTTATAATTACTTTTTTAGTTATAATTTCATCATCAAAAGAAGCTTTGAGCTGTTTGCTTGAAATTCTAACATTTTTGGCTCATTTTTCTTCAAAAAAGTAACACTTTGTGGTCATCTTCCATGAATACTTAGAAAATATTTTATAGAATTGTTTTGAAGCAGTCCTTGAAAGTTCCCCTGAAGTTTTTCCCCCAAAACATTAAACCAATGATTAAATCTTCTTTTGCTGAAAGTTGCAGATATGGCAAATGTATTTTCCTGCCACAAACTATCCTTTCCAAGCCCTTCATCTTGTCAGCTTAGGCCCGTGGCCACTGTGAGCTGCCATTTTGACCTACCGTTTCCATACTTTTGCCACCCCAGTGTAATTTTAAAGAACATGTTGTCTCGTTCAAAGTACAATGGTGATGGCTATGGTAAATAGGGGAGCAAAATTTGTCTTTTGATACGCCAGTTTTTATTCATTGAAAATTTTTTTGGATCCTGAAAACAATAGGCGTGCAGCCAACAGTTCTGCCATTGTCTATCAAGGACTGTTGACCATGCTTTTTTGTCTATATATAAATGGTTGTTAAGTGCTAAGCTATGGATAGTTTTCAGCCCCCTGAAGTAAGTACGTTCTGGTACATATAAATTAACTTATGATCGTATTGCATGCCCATAAAAGCATCAGCAAAGTAAGTGAATTGATTGGCAATAGAAAGTGGTATGGCAGGGGATCTTTTAGCATACAAACTAGTGGGGAATTACCCCACTAGGCCCTATTAAGTTTTCCACTAGTTTGTCCATGATTCCCCACTAGCAGGTGCCCTTTTGTTGAAAATTGTTTTAGAAACCATTACTGCTTGCTATGTCTTTGTCCTTTTATATATGAGTCAAATCAGGCACCGCGCAGCCATCGGGTTAGCAAATACTAAAATTTAACAAATTTCTATACCGTTTAGAATAGACAGTTCAATGATTTTCAGAAAATCATTGATTAATGATTTTTAGGAAAATTTCAGGAGGGGAGGATTCATGCGTTGGGAAAAGAAAGAAAGGGTGATCTTTGGTTCAGAGTGCACATCGATGTGGATAACAAGAAGCTGTTATATTTGATTGCAAGGGTGCATTCCATGTTATTAGGTCCAAAGGTCTTCGGTGTTCACTCAGGTTTTTTTGGCATTCTAAGTGCCAACTAATAAAAAAAGTTTGGCATATATAAAATTTTCATTAGTTGGCGTCCTAAACATGAAGCCATGTACATAGTTAACATGTATTAGTATTTTCTAAAAGAGGCGTTTTCCAGCTTTTTTGAGGGCGTGGCCTAAAACAATTCGGCCGTGCCCTTGTTAGCCCTCCCACCTTTAGACTGGTGCAAATTTTGTGTTATTTTTTTTGTTTCATCGTCAATGTAAATCTCTGACTCTGTTTGGTTCTCTTACACAACACCAAAGTGAGGTAATGAAATTCGCAGGAAAATTCATTTTCCTGCAAACATGGCTGAAATTGTCTTCTTGTCCTGCAAACATGCCGAAACTGAAAGCTTGTTATTTTGTCTGGTTTATATGTAACTTTTCGCTGTTTTAGGAGTAAGGGCTGATGTGCAAGACCTTGAAGCCTTACATACTTTACATACACATCCCTTTGCTTTTGTTTCTGCCGTCAGTTGTGTCACATTAAGAAAAATGCCCTTTTGTGTCAATTCCCCACCAGTGAAAATTTCTTAAAAGATCCCCATGTGAACTGGTGAGCATTCCCTGCAGAATTTTGTTGCACCACACACTTCAAAATGATCTGTATCATCTTGTCTTCAAAATTCCTTCTTAAAGCTGAAAATGAAGAAACTTGTCTCAGAGTAATATAGGAATGGACATTGTTAAAACTACATAGTTTGATATTGTGAAATTTTGAGACTCATTTGGATAATTTTAACATAATGTGTAGAAGAATGATTCTTCTCCTTTGCTATTGTAGCTGTATGAATCTTTTTATCTGTTGAAAAGGAAGGGAAGGGGCCACAACCCAACAACCAATAAAGTTATAGTTTTATTCAAGCATTGGTTAACTCACCATCCTGCTGCTTAGATCATGGCCTTTTCTTGATTTAGCTCATCAATCTTGGCTGAAGTCTCATCCCAACCACTCTTTTTGTTTCACAATACATAGTTGTTTAACAAGCAAAAGTTTTATTCATACAGGAAGTTTTATCCTTTACCCTTTCTTAGAAATTGTTGTAAAGTGAAGGAATTTAAGATTTTTTTAAAGTTTTTTATAAAATTATCCATTCAGGTATTTGAATCCACTATTCAGAAAAGGATGGAAGACACCATTGGAGTCTTCAGATTTGCACGAAACATTGAAAGAATATTCTTCAAAGCAGCTTGGAAGCGACTTAAAAAGGTATGATAAGTGTTATACTCTTTTTCAAATTGAAATAAAAATCAGCCACTTTTAACGATTGAATGCCTTTGCTCAACATTGATTATTGAAAATTTGTCTTTAGGTTTTGTTTGCTCTTTTTAGCAACTATTTTAAAAATAGTGTGATTTAGTAAAGTATAGATTTAGTTACAAATAACTAAGAAAACTTGGTAAGCTGCCCAGAAAGTACAATAAGAAAATGATGTGAGAATGATTCATTTCATGGAATATTCTGTATTGAATTCTGTTTTCTCAGTGAATGGAACAAAGAGCTGGAGAAAAAAAAGACAGGGAAAAAAGCAAGTCTTCTGCATTCACTGACGAAAACACACAAATCGACCATCTTGAAACAAGGCTTGCTACTTTTCACTGAGGTAGATGTCCAGATTTACTTTGTAGAATCATTTTTATCTGAAATGATAAATTTATCTTAAATACCTTATTTTGCCATGTATAAAACGCATCTTTGCAAAAGACGCACTCTTAATTCCATGTTTGAATTATGAAAAAATAGTTATATATATTTAAGTGAAAGAATAAACTTAATAATACTATAGACACTTTTTCTCAGGGGAAAATTCTTTCAAACTGCATTGTTTAGAATACCATGTTCTGTTAAACTGTTATGTTTAAGATCATCAAGTAGAAAGTTTATCATCATAAAATAAGCAAAGTCATCATTAATGTTTACAGGTTTTAAAATCCATAAAATTCTTGTTGTCATCCCTTTCATTCACAACATTCACAACGATGAAGCAAATGCAGGGTGTACAACCCTTCCGTTTGGTAGTAAAAAGCTTTTGTCACATATTTTGCTATCGTGGCTAAATTTTTTGCTAAATTTCCTGCCAAAGTGTGATTATTCGAATTAAGAAAACAGGTGCTCAAATTATCATAATATTTTGTCTAAAAAAGGAAATTTTGCCTTCAAAAGGAAATGATGGGATAGTCAATGTTTTTATGCATGAGACACGCCCTATAACAAATGCCAATAATAATTCGAGAGAGGGTGCGTCTTATACACGGATAAATACATTAAACATACTTTTATTTCATAAATGATATCATAAGGATAAGGATATCACAAAGGACATCTTGGTAGTCTTTAGTCATTCCTAGCCAAAATATCTTCTGGGACGCTGAAGATCATTGTCACCCAAGGCAATCAAATAGACTCTTTTCATTACTTAAACCTTGTCCATAACTTGCAAGTTTTAACAAGGATGTTTTAAAAGGTGTAGTGTACAGTAAAAACACTTTAGAATAGCATAGGAAGGAAACAGGACTGGAGTTCATTATTTCCCATTAAGTGCAGTGGTGTGGTGGCCAGGGGGCTGGGGGACACGTTCCCCACCAGCAACCAGGAAGAAGGGGTTGCTGAAGATGAGGCAACTCTGCAAAGGGGGCGCCAAAATCCCGTGGAAAACAAATGTGAACGAAGAAGGCCACTTAACATAGCAGCGCTCCAAAGAAACGCATATATCAATACGGGGAAGTCTTTCTCTCGTCTCTTTCTCTTTTCCTTTGCACTTCAACCTCACTCCACCTTCTCCGCAACCCAGGGTAGGGGTAGCATCCCAGCATCCCTTGGCTGTCCACCATAACGGTCCATGAGTAGTCCACTAATTTGCTTCGCCCTAAGGAGGTTGGAGATGAACCATAAATGCCATGGGAAATTTTAACGACCAGATACCTCAAATTAAAATAATACCTCAAATTTACAAAGATACTTAGCCTGGTATTTTCAATGGTAAATTGCGGTACCTTTACCGCACTCATGTCGCGGTCTTGTCAAATGCAAAATAGACAAAACTACGGGGTGTAATGATAAATATAAGCTTATGAATATTTGCTAGATCTATGTACATGGTAGATATTTTGGATGCTATTTCGAGGCATCCTAAGGAAGTTATACTTTCAATTTTTTTCTTACTACCAACCGTGGTGGCGGCTTACACTTAAAACCCTCTACACTAATGAGGTTTTGGCATAATGATACAGAAAAACTCGTGATCATTTCCTTTGATCTTCCTACTTTCTAAACCTATGTTGTAAAAATTTTAATTGAGATTTCAGCTGTCATAATCCTAAAATTTTTCTTGCCCCCCACCATCGTGGCGGCACTTAGTAAGCCCCTTTACAACCTTGAGATTTTGGTGTAATGATAAGGGGAATTTCTGAATATTTCCTTTGATCTTCTTCCAATCTAAACCGATGTTGATAATATTTTCGATGCAGTAAGCCACCGCGCGCTAGAATGTTGTAAGGGCAAATTTTTTTTGCCTCCAACCATTGTGGTGCCCTTCAAGAAACCCCTGAAACTGTGTTTATACTGCCCCCTCAACTTTCAATCATGTTTCGCTGGCCCTGATAGGGTTGTATCTTGGGCATATACTCTCTAGGGGGCGCCGAGAATGATTGGTGCCCCCTAGAGAATTTTGAGCCACCACGCCATTGACGAAGTTATTGTTGTGTTGATTGTAAGCATTTCAGGCTGTTAAGATCGTGCCTTTCTATGCTCTTACAATGCAATTTATATCCCCTATGAATGCTACTGATGTTTATATATTTTGTTTCTCCCTATTTTACTACTTCTTTATTACCTTCTTAAATTCAATAATTTGAAAGAATAGAAAAAACAGTTCAGACCATTTAAACGCCTCTTATTCTTAAATAGATATTAACTTTGTTCTTCAACAGGCTTGTCTGCAGGTAGCCTCTCCATTTCTGGTTGGATTTCTTGTTGAAATCTTTGGTTCAAGTAATGCGCAAAATAGAAATGCGGCCTACATGTATGCTGGAGGAATCTTGCTCATATTCACTTTGTCTCTGATTTGCCGGCATGCGGCGCTTTTCATTTTGGAACGCCTCGGACTGAAGATGAGAACTGCATTGACTGAACTTGTGTATCAAAAGGTACTCGCATATTGATTGTATATCAAATCTAGACAAAGTGAATTCTTAAGGTAACATATTATAGACACCAACCAAACAGAGAACGAATGATTGTAATCCTCAACTTCTTTCCAAAATTATAATTATGTCCTTTCAAAAACTACTTTTAAATGTGATACAACATATAAATATTCCTATCTTTTTTCATTGCAAATAACTTAGATTTGGCTGTAACTATTCTTTTTAAGGAAAGTATATTACATGGTATCAAATACTTTGAGTCTAAGCATATAGTGCGAGCTCGATTTTGGTTCCCTAATTTTTTCATAAACTCTTGCAGGCACTCACACTAAATCAAAGTGCATTTTCACAAACCTCATCAGGACAGATTGTCAATTTCGCATCGAGTGATGCCCAGAAACTGCTAGTTGTAAGTTCACTTTGATTGCTAAAACACTTTCAGTCAATTTCGCATCGAGTGATGCCCAGAAACTGCTAGTTGTAAGTTCACTTTGATTGCTAAAACACTTTCACTTTCCTTCGATTGTTGAAAGTCAACATTGGTCTGCCAAGAGCGAGATTGTCTTGACTCGAAATTTTAGAAGAATAAAATGAGTTTTCATAGTCATCTTTATCACAAGAAGTGCTCAATGAAAATAAATCTTGAAATTTATTAAATTTTTAAAATTTTCTAAACTAACCCATTATAATAATGGACCGACTACAAAGGATTTTTAGAGGTATCTCAACATTTTTCTCCATGTCACCCTCTGTGTTCGCAAATGTCTTCAAAACAGAAAGTAATACTTATTCCTTGAATGCTCTTTCAGATATCAAGTAGAATTGAAACGCGTGTTGGCAAAATTTAACACTTATGTTTTAGCGATAACATCATGTTTTTTGTATTCTTGAATTTTGGACAGGGTTCTTTCAAAAAAATATGTCAAGAATCTTTTCTTGACAATTAGTTTAGATTTTGAGCAGTAGCGGACACCTGGGAGGGGGGGGGGTGGCCGCACCCGAATATTATGGAGGACAATGACCTTTTGTTCTATAATAATAGGAAAATGGTACGTCATTATCTCAAAACAATAGGCTTGCACCCCCCCCCCCCAATATTTGACCAAGTGTCTGCCCCTGAATTTTAGTGAAAGCTTTTACAGTTACAAATCACCCGAATTAATTGACTTTGCTATTTTTTGCAGGGACTGCTCTTTGTGAATTCGTTTTGGATAGCGCCATTCCAGCTCCTTGTCATCTCTGTTCTTATTTATACCCAAATTGGCATCGCTGTGTTTCCCGGCGTTGGCCTAATGCTACTCTTTATTCCATACCAAATTGGGCTGGGGAAGCTTTTTGCATATCTAAGGTAAATCTGAACCTGCTTTTTTGGATTTTTCTAGAGTCTTTTTCGGTGGTTTCTTTTGAATTCTTGAGTATAGTATGCTTGAATCAGTAACAGCATATTGTTTTCAAGGTTTATAAATCCTTCCCCAAATTGCAGCATCCTACAACATTTAACTTACATATACGCTTATTTTATTGGTCCTCCGTAAGAATCTTCGGTAAGAATGGTGACAACGCCTTCAACAGCCGCACTTTTTGTTTGTTCTGTTTTCACTGATTTGAATGTGATGTTGATGTCCGTTGATACTGTTCTGCCTGTATAACACTGAATTATATGTATCTGTTATAGGCGCAAAGTTGCAGCTCTTACAGATCAGAGAGTGAACATCATGAGTGAGGTGATCAAGGGAATGCGTGCAATTAAGATGTACTCTTGGGAGGAGCCTTTTACGAATATCGTCAACGCGATTCGACGGTACGAGACTTTCTTTAATTTCTTCTATGGATTTGTTTTCATAAACTTCTGAACACACTTCTCTTGTACTAATGCCAGTTTTCTCTGATGTACATACTTGTTACCATACCCCATCCAAGCAACATTAGCGTACTGCAGAGGGAAACATGTCGAGTAAGCAGAACCTCATTTTTGAAGGTACAACAAAATATTGGCTTAAGTATCAATTCCTTTGTCTACGTTTATTCCAGCTGAGACATTCTATCATTGACCTCGATATAGCTTGGGCTGAAAACCCTTTTAAGATAAAATTGCCTCTAAAGGAGACTTATAACACAATTTGAACCTTGTGTAAGAAGTGGGTGTTTGCCAGAGAAGGTAAGGTCGACAAGAGGTTATTGTTGGAAATTTGGGTAGATATTTTACGATAGTAGCGTTCCTGTATTTTTCCGACACAGGTCACATTATACTATACTTTTCAAGAGAAAACTTATTTTCTTGTTTTTTTGTTTGTGAAGGAAAGAGATTGGTCGTATTAAACAAACAGTCATGGTACGGGCCCTGAACTCGACAGTTTTTACTTCAATGCCATACTTATGTGGGCTTCTGATGTTTACAACTCATTATCTCCTTGGCGAAACATTAACTCAAAAGAAAGTCTTCAGCATTATTGCCCTGTTACAAGTTCTGAGGTTCCATTTGAATCTTTTCCTTCCGATCGCTGTTCAATGCGGCGCAGAGATGGTTGTCGCCTGTTCTCGTGTACAGGTTTGTTGCTAATTTTCTTCATTTTTCCATATCGGAAATGCTTCATTGCAACCTTCAATTTATCTCTTTGTTCACACCAAGGCGTTTTATTTGAATAAGGTTCACATATGTAGAAGCTGGGTGGGAGGGGGTCAGTGCTCCCAAAAATGACGTCTTGTGAAAAGTTGTCTCTGTCGTGAGAAAATTTTAGGCAAAAAGAGATGTTCATTTTTGACAATGCCCGCTTTTGTCAGAAAAGTACTCTTCTTAAAGATTATTTGCCGTTTTCTTTAAAAGAGGACTTTTTCGGCTGAAAGATCTTGTACAGCAAAGAACACTATAACGGCCAAATAAAGAAGAGAATACAACAACCTCCTGCTTCTATGTCCATGTAAGGAAAAATAGGCAACCCAACTCCTTCCAGGGGAATTGTCAGGCCGCAAAGCTAATTTTTAGCCTTTACTGTCCCTATATTCTTACCTGCTTTCTATTTCGCTGTAAGTGGATACTAGATACATTTCTTGTATTATAGTCTCATTTTCAGTACAGAAAGGATCTGACTACGGTTAATATTGCCATTTTTTCGACATATTTCCTGTACTATTAGAAACAAAAGCAGTAAAATGATTACGTTTGGTTTTTTGTAGGAATTTCTGGAACTGGATGAAATGAAATCGGAGAATGTTGTGTCTAGCACTTTGTCTCAAGAAGACCCAATTCCCTACGTCGTTGCCAAAAGCTTAAAAGCTTCTTGGAGCAAGGTAAGCAACCTATATCTTTAAGCTTTTAACGTTGCCATTTTTGTCTCAGCTGTAAAGAGCATCCCTTGTGTTTCTTTGTTGGGATATGTATCTCAATCTCTTGGTGATACTCCTTCCTGCATTTCCACCTAAGAATAATTAATCATGGAACATTTTCATCTAAGAATATTCCGACCTATAATTTTGGGTGGGAGCGTTGTGACCTTAGGGAGAGGGATAGGAATGGTCAATTGGAGACGTTTTTTTTTGCAAACTTCAAGAATAAACTTTACTGCCACGGCACTTATCTACTCTATTTTTTTCACCACCAATAAACTTGATCATCATTTCCCCTGACTAACTTTACATTTTACCTGGTTCCTCATTTAGTCCTTTCGGGGTCTCCTCTTCCCCCTAATATTTTGAAATCTTTCTTCTTTAGAAGCTCGCTTTCTTATGCATTTAGATCAAGAAATCCACCTTTTTTAAGAACAGTAATTGAAACGCTCCTACTTTCCTGATTTGCAGTCAGAAGATGATCTCAGTCTCAATGGTATTCACTTTGATCTCACTGCGGAGGTAAGGAATCTGATTTCCTATTGTAGTGATGCAGATTAACTTCCCTATAAAAGGCAGTATGTATAATAATATGTCTGGTTTAACAAGTGACGATAAAAAAACGAGATTTTAAACGAGATTCTCTAGACACATGTTTGGAATTTCATAGGTTAGGTGGGTGAGCAAAACTTAAGGGTTTACAACAACTAAAAAGTCATTTTTTTAAAAGGGTCGCCTACTAAACGGAAATATCACTATCAGAAAAGTAGATGGCATACCGCTGGTAATTGTCACCTCTTTTACTAAGAACCAGCCTGGTTTCTGGTGATGTCAACGATAACAAGAGGGTAAAATGAGGTTGATTTGAATGGTCCTGTCATGGTTCTTTTAAGATGCAACCGTGAAACACGGTTTTCAATTTTTCTTTTGGTCCAGCACCAAGGACAGAATGTGTAATTTTACAATTAGACGAAAGTGAATGAGGTTGATTTTTAGGGGGAGGGGGGGTGGGGGGATTTGACATTTATGATGTCAAAAACGTCACTAACGTCTGCCAATAATGAGAAACTAATCAAAAATATATCATAAGTCTCTAAATATATTGAACTAAATCTTGCTGATCAAATTATTCATTTTGATTTCATAATTTTTTTATTTTCGTAGAAGCCTTTACTAATGATTGCTGGACCTGTTGGGGCTGGAAAGGTGAGCCCAAAGTTTCTCTACAAAAAAGGCATGCCTTTAGTTGAATGTAAGCTATTTAGTTGGCAAAAAGCCAGACAACAGCTGCAGGCATTTTGAACAAAATGAAGATCTTTTTTGCTAAGCCGCATTTTTCTCAGATATATATGTATAATTTATTTTCTTTTAATGGCAAATGCTAATTTTCTTCAGAATTACATGTTAAACACTTTAAATGAACAAATGGTCTGTTTTCAAGTGGCAAGGTTGATATTTGTAACTGAATTGAGTAGCAAAGTAAAAAAGATAGTTTAAACCCTAACCGCCCTCCCCCCTCTGACACCCCCACCAACATTGTATACCTTCATACTTATACAGTAAACTACTGTACACTTGTGGTGAAACTGAAACTTCAAAATATGAATCTATAATCTCTTGTTGAAAATGTCGATTTTCCTTGAAATTTTCTTAACCTTTTCCTTCCAGAGCTCAGTCTTAATGGCTTTGTGTGGTGAGCTTCCTATCATAGAAGGCCAAGTACAAATCAATGGTTCTATCGCTTATGTTTCGCAACAGCCGTGGATCTTTTCAGGGACTGTCCGACAAAATATTCTTTTTGGACAGCCATATGTGGCAGGGAGGTACAAAGAAGTGATTAACGCATGCGCTCTCGCAGAGGTCAGTGGGTAGCCTACGCTCCCTATTTTTCATGTTTTCTGCCTTGAAATACTTTGGTTGACGAGCATTTTTTATACCTAGCTTGAAGGTAAAATTCATAAGCATTTAATGAACTGCCCAACTTGTTTTATTTCCATTGAATCCCTAAGCAAATCAATGATGAAAATTCAGGTTACGATAACAAACATTTTATTGCTGTATCGTTATACCTCGTCCTCTTTTACTAATTTTGTTCTGGTCAGGATTTGAGTCATTTTCCGGAATCTGATCACACGATCGTTGGAGAGAGAGGAGTCTGCATCAGTGGAGGTCAGAAAGCACGGATCAGTTTGGCAAGGTTTGTACAAGAACTACGTCTATTGCTCCTCTTTCATGAACTTGAAAGCAGTAACTCTTAAGATATTAAATGCTTAAAAACGTTGTTTCAAAAGCTTAAAAAAACAAGAGTGTTTCTTGGTGAAAGTTACAAGATTCAAAACACGACTCTTAGACTGATTCACTAAAGTAAGAATATGATATGATCCTAATGATTCAAACATTTTACTTTTACAGGGCTGTTTATCGAAACGCTGACATCTATCTGATGGATGATCCATTAAGCGCTGTTGACACAAAAGTTGGGCGCCACGTGTTTGAAGAGTTGAGTAACAGTGATTTTGATCGTTTTTTTATAGCGTTAGACCTTAGTCTTTTTGTATTTGCCTTTTGGCTATCAGGGAATCAATTACATTGAGTCTCTGCAAAGAAAAACATTATTTTCACGAGTTCCACTGTTTTTGATTCTTATTTTGATGTACATATTGTCATTTCAAAATCAAAGGGACCTTATCGAAATGGGGGTAAATTCCACGCATTTGGAAAAGAAAAAAGCCAAAATACCTTCAAATATATAAGGAATGCAAAAATAGAAAAATATTTAATTCATTATTTTCTCCGAGGCACAAAATATGAAATAGTAACAAAATTAGAATTTGGTGGCTTGGAGGAAGGGGATTTCGCCAGTTCAAGGTTTCCAACTCACTGATTACAATTACAAATGCTCCTTGGTCAACATTGCGAATTTTAACGGAGACGTATTTTATCTTTCAAAGCTTTGTGCATTTCTCGGTCTGAAAATGATTTTTTTTAGTTCTTAGCTTCTTTATGTCTGAGATTTACTGTATGTCTGAAAAGTATGAAAAGACGAAATGAAGAGATTTATGCCCAGCAAAAAGTTTTCTACTCTCAAGGATTTTGCCTTGTTGCAGCCAAATGATATGCTATAAGCTTATCTTTTGTCTAAAAGGTTTTGATTTTCTTCATTTGTTGGAAGAGTTATCTTATATCGCAGACGATGACGGTGCACGGCCACTGTTTGTAGAAAAGGCGACAAATTCGAAAGATTGTGGTCCGCGTCTTTCGCTAGAAAGCTCTTTCTGCTCCAGATCACATTTCTGTTTGATTTATTGTTTGTTCATTGAATGACCCATTGACATACACATTTCTGGAAACAGAAGCTTTTTGGTTTCGTTTAAGTGCAAAAAGTAATTTTCAACTCTCAGTTGCTCTTAGCTCCAACTCTCAGTTAATGAATAATTGCTCTTAGTTTGAAGCCATAAAAATCAATTACCGTAGTTTTGCTTAATGTAAAATTTTACCAGACAACAGTAAAATAAATCTTTCAAGTTTCACATTTTAGCGATTCGATTCGTCTTATAGATGCATTAACGGAATATTGAAGACGAAAATCAGGATTTTGTGCACGCATCAAGCCCAGTACTTTAAATACGCTGATAAAATACTCGGCCTTCGAGAGGTAACAATGTATTATTTCATTGATGTAGTTTTTGATTTTGTATTTTATGAATGCTGTATCATTCAAGTTCTTTAAAAAAAAACCAGAATGTCTAAGAAACATCGCCTACTTGATTTGTAAGACTGTTTCTTAAATTTTTGAACAGGGCGAAAGCTGGTCTAGGCTTGAACGCTATTTGCAATCGAGCTATTTGTATGTTATCATAAATTGTATAAATTTTTATTCTGCGATTATTCTGCGATTTGTCCATTGATTGGTCGCGTTGACTGATTTAATTGATTGATCGCATTGACTGATTGCATTGATTGATCGCATTGACTGATTGCATTGATTGATCGCATTGACTGATTGCATTGATTGATCGCATTGGTTCAGCCATTGTTTAATCGCATTGATTTATCGTAGGGCAAGCAGATTACCCTTGCTTCTCTTGATGAGCTCATTGAAATGAGGTTCGACGTGAACTCTCTGACGTCAGAAGAATCCTTTGAGAAAGAATGGGACAGAGACAGTGCTGTAGACTTCGAAGAAGTTAGGGTACACGTGAAACAGCCCCGGGTCCGCTCAAACTCCACCACCTCGTCTCATTCTCATAGCTCTAGTATCAAAGTAGCTTCTCGTGTCAACCTCAGCTACGTTTCTGAAGAGTCCCTTACCGATGCTGTGGTAGGCTATACTTTTTTATCCTTATTTTATGCTGAATAATATATTTCAAGACCCCTTTGTTCACTTTTCAAGACCCCTTTGCTCACTTTTCAAGACCCCTTTACCTTTTTGCATGCCTTGTTTTTCTACCTTTGCCTCAAGGCTATTCTTTAGTGTAATCATGGATTTCGATACATTTCTTTATGTGATGTAATACCACTATTGATAGAGAAATTTGAAATATTTGTTTAAATATATTCAAATGACATATTTTTCATCCATATATTTCATTCATCAGTTATAGATGTATGCATCCAATAGCATGATATAGTAACCTGTATTTATCATTGTGATTAAAACAGCATAATATGATTGCCTTTGTTTACGATTTTGTTGAAAAAGGATAACATAGAAGCAATAACTTGCTTGGAGGACATTATAGCAGTAACACACGGTATAGTGGGTCACGGAACCAATCGTTAACAAATCACACAAATAGAGTACAAAAAGTCCTTTAATTTTGTTGAAGAAATTTAGTTTCCAGATTTATTCAAAATATATATATTTGAAGTTTTATTGTCAATTTCTTATATCCAACCAACTCCTTTCAAAAGGAATTTAGGTTTTTGACAAAATATATAATTTAATTGGTAAGAAATTTCATTTTGCCTCAGCTGCTCTTATCTATCATTTACTGTTTGTTTTTCGTGCAGGATTTAGCTGAAGGCAACAGTGACGAAGAAACGAAAATGACGGGAACCATACCAGTACGACTGTACGTCAAATTTTTCAGATCTGGTGGCGGAATCATTTTATCCGTGTTCGTTTTACTCCTGTGTCTCATTAGTCAGGTGAGATAATGATTTAAGGACGCAGTCATTGGGTCTTTTTATGACATCATGAATGTTTCATTTCCTTTCATATGCGTATACTGTTCATAAGGTTTTGGGCCTATATTCTTGATAGAATCTGTATTTGCTTGCTGCTGTTTCATAGAACTTCCAAACATTTCAGTGAATTGTGATTTTACGGTTTTTTTCAGCAATGCATACCCTGCGACATTTTCCACGCTATCACTTTATCTACATATATTTCATTAAAAAAGGCAAAGCTTCTAAATTGCACCCCTTAAATAGGCTCTTTTCAAGATCCCTTGAGCGGAGAACAGGGATCAATAATGTCTCATACTACCGAGCTGAAATGCTGCACTTGTGTTTTTGGGCAAAGTGCTAGGCAAAATGCATATGTTTTTGTCAAGCCTTATTCTTAAGATAATCATAATCACTTTGGAGATATATCACAGCTCTGGCTTTTTATTTCAGCTTTCCAGAACTGGGGTAGATTGGTGGATCGGAAATTGGTATGTTTAGTAACTTACTTGTGTGAATAAACATTCCTAGAGCCAATGCAAAGTCCAATTAAATTACCTTATATTGTATTTAAATTCCCTCTTTCCACATTTCTTCTTTGTTTGCTCGCTTTATCGATTCAGTTTTTAAAGTTTGCTCGATTTGTTATTTACTCTATCGTTTTCGTAATTGTAAATACTTTGCAGCGTAGACTTGACAGCAATGTTATTAATAAGGCTGATTGACGTAGTCAATATTTTCATATTGACCAAACTTCCTAGGCCATCATATGTAAAATTTAAAAACCATAGATGACAGACGAAAGTTTGTGTGACAAGCCTTTCCTGTATGCCGCCACCACTTGTGTGCAAAGATTCTTTGGTTTTCATACTAAAAACTAGAGTCTAGAAGGCGATTCAGATCGCAGAAATTTTAAATAAAGGGACTTCTGTTTTTATATTTGAGATGACTCTTTGTTTTACTTTGCCAATTCCAATCTATTCTCTTATTTATAGTAATATATTTGTCCTCAGTCAAAGTATTCTTTTAGCTATCGTACTTGGTTAACCAAAACGGAGAATTGATTTAAGATATGCATTTAGCTTATCTTCTTTGTGTCTTTTGCATTTCTTATCTTATCCTGTATTTTTTGTCTTTCTTAACCTCTCTGCAGTATCATTTGCAATAATTTTATATTTTTATTATTTTTGTGCAGGTCTGACGGCGAGGAAATGTCAGCCGCGAACAAGACATTAATCAACTTGAAATATTACTTCAAAACTGACAAGGACAATAATTTGTACATGTTTGTTGGATTGACACTACTGTCATTTGTCTTGTCACTGTGCAACTCCCTGCTATTCTTCAACTTAGCAGTGGATGCAAGCAAGAAATTGCACGAGAATATGATGTCCGCTATAATGAAAACCTCACTCTACTTTTTCGACACAATTCCTGTTGGTGAGGTTTCTATGAGTTTATTAGTATCCTTTCAGAATAACGTTCTGTACAGGGCCTTAAGATTTCTTTGAAAATAACAGCCTACAGCGCTTGAATAACTTTCCTCAACAGGATCAATAAAATTCTTATCTATCTTAAAAATGAGATGAAGAGAAGAAAAAACACAGAGACCGGAGAAGTGTCCATCTTGCCAATATCCTTTAAGCCCTGAAAACCATAAAAACAAAGCGGGGGCTAGGTATGATTTCACCTCCGCGGTCATTGACAGTGTGACAGGAAAATCTTTTGGTCAGTGAGAAAATCTGTAAAAGTATCAAGGGCGAAGTGTTTGTGGATGACGAGACTCTTGCTGGAGCAGAAGGCCGTCAAAAATTCTGTTTAATTTTTATGCAGTTCAATCCTCTAGGTTTCACAATAGCCTCTTGTTAATTCGTTTCAATCCCCCCCCCCCCTGTTAAACCGGTTATACATCCAATTTTGTCGCAGATGTTTGGTATTTTTCTTAAGCTTCACGTATTTATTTCTCTTCCAGGTCGAATCCTGAATCGTTTTTCAAAAGACACATATTTCCTTGACGAGGAAATGCCATGGGTATTTTTTGACGTGTCTTTGGTATGCTCTATTTTTTAACTTTGTTTTTGTTCAGAGCATTAATTAAACCTAGATATAGCCTCCATTCGTGTCCCAATTTTTGTATTGGTGGAAGTTATTCAGCCAAAATTTGATTGGTAAAACAAAGTTAGTCAAGTGCATCTTACTGTTCGTTAGTTGGTGTTTGAACACTTCTTTTGTAACTCTGGTCTCAGTTTGTATTCGAACAACTCATTTAGCATGGTTTCTCTAATATCTCTTTTTCTGTATTAAAACTATAACGGGGACTTTCCACTTTTAAGTGGAGTAGAACCTGCAAAGCATTTGCTTTTAGCCGGTTCTGTATCGAAGTAGAAAAGAACGTGCACTTATTGTCTTTTTTGTCAATTAGCCTCTTTTGAAGCAGTGCAATTAATGGCAGGGGTGTAGTGCTATGAAAAAACAAGGGGCCCATCGTCTTGAGCCACTTTTGAGAAAAATTTCTCCAAAAACGATAACGTGAAAAAATTCCTCCAAAAAGTGGAAAGTGGCTATCTTTCGGCATTAAGGGGATTCAACCCATTGAGCCCTCAGCTCTAAACACCTGATTTAGAGGATTATTTGCTATCTAAAAGAGATAAATGTCCACATTTCTCGTTACTACAGTACACTTTTGTGGAAACTTTATGTCATCATATTGGAGTTTCAAATTTTACTTTAGGGTGTCTCGTAGGCCATTGGCTCCAGTTAAGGGTTTGTTGGTTTGTTACGCTTGGGCTAACAGCAAACATATGTTCAAACTCAAGACTTATTTCTACCATGAACCTTTAAATAGATTGAAAAAGTCCAACAGAAATATTTGGATTTGATGAAATTAACGGAAACTACTAACAACGATTTTCTGACAATACAGACCATCTCTAAAGGCAAGCGACAGATACTGAAATGGCTTAAGTTATCTGTCAGTCAATATTAGCCAATTAAAAGATATGCGAGTCGTATGAAGTTCACTGATTGGTCAATTGCTGATTGACGGATTACTGTAAGCCACTTTGACGATTAGCCAATCAACGATGACTTCACTTTCTGAGCGTATACGTGATATGGGGATATTTAAAAGTTTGCGATAATTTTTTGAATCAATCATTATATGTTGTGATGTAAGACACACCTTTGATTAAAATGCTTTCCTTTGTAGTATGGGTTGTTCACGATAAATGCCTTGGTTATTAGTGCTGTTAGTGTTCCATACATAATCATCATCATGATCCCGTTGGCCATTGCCTTTTTCCTGCTGCGAAGATATTACTTGCAAACGGCAAGAGATATAAAACGACTGGAAGGGATTTGTAAGTTTTAGGACGATCTGTGTCTTATTATTGTAAGCTGTTATCTTTGTTTTTGAAAACCTCGGTGGCTGTCTTGTAAAAGGGGCTTTCAAGTTCAGCGAAAGGCAGCAATATTTGAATTTTGATATGGTTAAGCAACTTCGCTTGATATTTCAATGATCAGCTAGACTGGATGGCTGAGAGCAGCTTCTCTGGCTCAACTTACCTATCAAAGGAGGGCCAAGGGGAGGGCGTTAGAACAAAACATACTCAACATGTTGTTTGGAAAATTATTAAAACTGAGCATAATGAAAGTAACTGTTTACTTGTCTGTCATAAAGTGCTTTATGCCGTATTGGTACAGCTGTACACGCTATTTGATGTAAAGAACGGGACAGTTCTAAGTTGCTACTCCAAGTTTCATGCTTATGCGATCATTAGGCAAGAAACTGAACTGATAATAACAATTTCCAATGAAATGTTACTGACATTGAACTTCCACGCATCTGTTGAAAGCCATCTTTTTACCATTATTTGATCCGAGATTGAAAGTTGAAGAGGATATCAACAAAGGGAGGAGATGATTCCAACAAGGGGAGGCGAGATTTTACTTCAGCATTGCAAAATGGAAGCTTTGTATGGCTTAATTTGAGTTGTTGATTAAGCACAAACTGTTTTTTTCAGCGAGAAGCCCGATGTTCGCGCATTTATCAGCCACTCTTGAAGGTCTAACGACGATCAGGTCATCAGGTTCTGTTGATAAAGTGACTGAAGAGTTTTTAGAGTGTCAAGATCATCAATCGGATGGTTGGTTTCTCTTCATCAGTAGCTCAAGGTGGTTCTCCATTCGTCTTGAAGCGATTCTTCTATTGTTCATTGGCTTTACTGTCTTCGCTCCAATGATAATACAGCATTTTGCAAGTAAGTGTATAGCGTGGCATATAGTATAGTATAGCTAGTACAATATAGCATGGCAGTGATGACTGCATTAAAATATGCTTACGAATTTTCGAATTTCGACCACATGAGCAGAAAGTACCCGGTGGAATTAATGTGGAACACAAGTTTAAATCGTTACAAATTTCCTGTGATAAAACCAATGGCAGATTTGATGTTTGTTAGTGGCTTGCTTTTACTTTGGCTTGGTTTATCACTGTTATAACCAGGGCCATATTACAATGTTTTGATGGGGGAAATTCTGATATCTCACGTGGCAATATCTCAGATCTAACTGGTTTTGCGCATTTGCAAGTATTTCGCCATTTTGTTCAGGTATATGTCCAGAACTCATATTCTAAAAAAGGTTTCTATGGCGTCATCACTTTGCTACTCTATTTATTGGTGTTGTTGATTTCCGATGGTAATGTTTGGTTTTAGAATTTTTGAGCGCACAAATTTTAAAGGTTGTGATTGTAGGTGTTTTTGGGCAGCACGTTATAAGATAACGTCAGCAATTCTCGGTATGCCACACATCCCTTCATTACAATTCCATGGTAAAAATTGTGTCTTTTGTTATGGAAAATTTTTGAACCAAGTTTTTTCGACGTTGTTAGACAAATAGAGAATATTTGCTCCTGAATGCTTTTTGCTAGCATATTCTACCCAGCCCCCATTTCGCAGCACGGGAAACAAGGCCCCAATCTCGAATTGTGTAAAGACCTATTTGAAGGGAAGACTCACATCGCAAAACAAACAGCTGCAATGTGTGAACTTTCCACGCCCAAAAAGTTGTGAATTTGAGAAATCAGGTGTAGGTACAAATTAAGCGGGTGAAGTAATAAGAAGTCTTACTCATATAGGCTTAAACTATGATGGTTCTGGATATTTGCGAGGCCCTAGATACATGTGCATTGTAAATGTTTTTAGTCATGGTGACGTAAAATATTAGTCATGTAAACAATGGAAATGGATATTGTCAACGAACCTCAATGCTCAAGTACAAAATCTCTCATGACAATGTGTGATCTTCCACTTCCGTGTGAATTTCTTTCTTTTATTTAACGTAGCCTTCTTGTCTTCAAGAATAATCATAAAGCTTTGTAGCGTTGTAATAAGCCCCGCGAGAATAGGAATTTAATCAGAAGGTGATAAGGACCAAACTGTTTCCTTCAACTTTGCTCGTCAGACATGTAAGGTGCCGTATTTATAACCTATAATGTTTCCTTATAATCCTATATAAAAGTTCGCCTGTAGCCTTGTCGTATTATTACATTTTCACTACGTAAGACCGAATTATTAATAACATGCTTTAATTTCTATTTAGCTGTCGATGCAACTCTTGTTGGCCTAACTTTGATTTACTGTTTACAACTTGGTGGCCTATTTCAATGGTGCGTTAGACAAACTGCTCAAGTCGAAAGTCTGGTAAGAAGTTTTTTTATATTGCACACATTTCTTTTTCATTATTTCCTGACACTCCTTAGATGGGGTACATTGGCAGGGGACTTAAAGGGCCTCTCCAGCCAAAAAAAAATTTTTTTTTTATTGACTAAAAAGTTAGCATTTGGTGCGTGTATTATGGCAAAATCGTTGTTTTTGCAAAATTCCAATTAGTTTAGAAGTTATAAGGCTTTAAAGTTGCGCCTTTCCGAGAAAAAAACGACAAAAGCCGAATCAGCTTTGTGACATTCTGACGTCACAATGTGCGGCTCTCGTTCGCCATGAATTTCGTATATCTTCCACCGAATCGTGAAGAAGTCATGGTCACGCGTTGATAACGGCATCTAAATCTAGAGCAGGAGCTTTTTAGGATCGAAACATATTTAATGTTTACAATCATTCTAAGTTTGCGGGTCGGAACGTGTCCATGCTTTGTCACGACTTTGTTTTGATCACCTGTGTAGGCCCACAAAGCTACGGCTTCCTGTTCCAGCTCTTCCCTCGCGTATAATTAATCTAAATTGACACTTCAGTTGTTCTCCAGAAACGATGAACAACTAAAGGCTTCAGAATTGATATCTGAAATGCTCAAATTAAAAGCCGGTGGAACAGAACTGAGAGTACCATCACTGGCAGTGTTCAATTTGCGAATCGCCGTCGTTCGATTCGGTTTGAGGCGAGACTAACGAAATACACTGTGACGTCAAAATTGCGTCACAGTGTCACCAAACCGAAAAAATTTTGTCGGTTAATTCAATTCAATTATCGAAATGCAAGAACTTATATCTCACAAACTGTAAAAAATATCGAAAAACAAATAACGAATTCGTGATCAGCAGGTTCAACTCCTTTAGATTAGGCAATAAAATGCAAGTGCAAAATTTGGCTCGAGAGGCCCTTTAAGGCTTTAGCCCCCAAAAGCCCCGGATGCAGCAGAAGATTTTGGAAATTGGCTAATTTGCAGGAAATTGTAGTAACATTCTATTTTTTCGAGCTTCTTCTCGCCCCTAAGTTGATTATTTCGTGGCGATTGGCCTTTTTATCATTTTGTAATATGTTCTTATATTCTTTATACTGAACATAACCGATACACGCTCGACCAATTTTTTATTTTTAGTTTCAACCGATTATCTTGATCTATTCGATTTCGAAATAAACTTTGTAACTGGAGATAGAAGGCACAAAAAGCAGATAGAAAGAATCGAGAATTATATACATATGCATGGTTTTTTTGCTTCTCAAATAAAAACCAAGTGCACATCTATGAACTGTATACTATTATAATAATTATTATTATGATTTGCCTTTGATAAAACCCTCGTTTTTCACAGATGACGTCAACTGAGCGAATCGTTGAGTACTGTAACCTCGATCCTGAACCAGAGATCGATACCAAAACAGTTTTGTCTAAAGGCTGGCCCAAGTATGGGATTATCACAGCAGAAGGGGCCTCTTTTGCCCACCACAAGTCTTTGCCCTATGTGTTGAAGACCATGTTCTTCTGTATTCGGGCAAGCGAAAAAGTAAGAGACTTTGCAAAAATAAAATAAATCTTTTTGAGGGCATCTGTTTCTGTGTGAGCTGAGACCAAGATGAAATAAGAAAGCTAAACCTTTTCTTATATTGCTTTCCGCATATGCAGTTGCAGTAATGGCGGAGGAGCAGGGCCTAGCTGTGAGTCTATCCAATCCCTATAAAATCGTTAGGTATTAGGGATTAAGGAATCCAGAATACACGCATACTTAATGTGTTTGGGAAATAAGGTGGTAGTCATTTGTACACGGGGCAGCTTGAAGCTTAAAGTGGCCGCAGCCCGCAGAGAGACGCATAGAAGAAAAAACTTACCTATAGAACAATGACATAATCATTGCTACTTAAGAATTTTCACTTTGTTGATATTTTGAGCTGTTGCTGTGTTTGCAGGTAGGTGTGATTGGCCGAACTGGTGCAGGAAAGTCGTCTTTAATTGCCGCAATGTTTCGAACTGGGAAATTGATGGGGACAATTCGTATAGACGGTGTTGCTACCTCAGACATTCCACTCAAGACACTACGCAGCAGCATGTCTGTCATTCCCCAGGTAATTTTATTCAAAACTTTCTGTTTAAAGAGGTTTCATTAACATCAGCCCTGTTTTCCCGGAGCCTGTGGTTTTAAGGATATGAATATACTATACTTGCCAAAAACAGTTTGCATACAATATTCACGTGTCAACGTTGCTGTGTACCCCCCTTCCTTACCCAGAGGAGGGTTGTGACCTTCATAAGGTTATATCCATTTGTGTTTAAAGCCCTGAACTCCTAGCAAACTTTTTTCTTCAGCAGAATAAATTTCGTTAATAGTACAATAAAGCTCTAAAATATATTATTATATTCTCCTTTAATATGTACCTAATCTACCTCAATTTCTTAAGAAGTTTTTCGCATAAATGATGTCAATATATATTTTGTCAGTGTAAATCTCAGTAGTGCAGCACAATTCAACAAAAATTAAATCAGAATACAGAGATTCAAGATATAAGATGATGGTATTAAAGGGCAATCTGAAAACACCTACTTTATTTAAACCTGAATCCAAAATTGCTTAAAGATTCTCGTTTAAAGGAATAATAAAAAAGCTTTTTGGGAAATGCCATTATGATATTCAGGTTTAGCTCCAATCGATGGCTTTTAGAACCCCAATTTAGGGAAAGATTTCCTTAGCTTTGGGCAATGTTTACTTGCAACAATACATAGATCTTTTTCTCTGTTCACCTCTAGGATCCAGTCCTCTTCAGTGGCACATTACGAATCAACATTGATCCGTTTAATGAATTCGAAGATCCAGACATTTGGGAAGTTCTCGAAGAAGTAATTTCTTTAGCACAATACTCGTATCTTTCTATGTTGGATATTATCCCTAGCCTTCTGTCCTTAAAAGAAACTTTACGGCTCTCTCACTTGTGCTCACCAATAAAATAGAGTATAACATTTCAGTATTGTAATGTGAATGTTCCTTTTTTCCTAGTTTTTCATTCATGTACTACAAATATGAATTTTATTTTACTTTGTTACAAACACCTTTTATTTGTAAATGCCTTTAAGATACCTGCTCGATTTTTCTCTAGGGTCTTTGTCCATTCTTTTGTAAGTCCCAAGCTCAAATAACTGTTTTGTTTGCTTAGACCTACCGTTTTTACGTTCTGTATTACCGTGCCCGCAAAAGTGTTGAATTACCGTACCCTTTCTTTGAACAATACTCCAAGAAGGCTCTGAAAACCTTTCTCAGAAAATGAAAAAATATAAGGTAGGGTTTGGGAGTGGCATTTAAGTTCTTATTGTTTTTGCCGGTTTTCCTCACAGACTGTATGACCGCCGTATGTTTAGGCCCTCGAGTTGGTTCATTAGTGGAAGACAACTTGAAACCAGGCTTATTTAATCTTTCCCAGGTACAGCTCAAGGACGTTGTGTTTGAGCTTCCAAACAAATTGACCACAGAAGTTTCTGAAGGTGGTGCAAATTTCAGCGTTGGGCAGAGGCAACTGTTGTGTCTAGCAAGGGCATTGCTTTTAAGGAAGAAGATTCTGTTTATTGACGAAGCAACTGCAAATGTTGACAACGAGTAAGTGAAATGTCTTGTTATAATTATCCTGATAGAAGATAATTGATGTAGCCCTTGACATACCGCTGGCTGATTGGCGATGACGATTGGCAATGTCATGTGATCCTTCCCATAATTTAAACAACCAGAACAAAATAAAGTGCAAATCAACTGTAGTTATAACGAAAATTGTAAAATATTTTTGACAACCTGTCTGTATCAACCTTTTTGTGGCTGAGAAACTTAAATCTTAACTATGAGGAAACATACTAGTTTGTAAATATTCTCATTGAATACTTACATGTATTTCCTCCCATGTAGTAATCAAGCATAAAATGCCACACGGATTCGGTTTCCAGAATCAAAATTTAATGGAAGCTTTTGCGGTGTTAATGAAATAAATTTATGTTGATTCTGTTAAGGTAATTTGTATTCCGAATATCTGCAAAAAAGAAGAGCCATCGTTCACAACCCTGTTTTCTGGTCGCTGTTTATAAAAAGCCTTCTCCAGATTTTTCTATTTTGCATCGTTCTTACCTTTTATTTATCCTTTCCATCACCCCAAGAAATTTCCATCATAAATTTCTCCTCCTGTTTACTCTGCAATTAGGCTAAACACGATTGCCAGCATTGTCTCTTAATTTTCATTTCACTCTTTCTACCACTAGCACTGATGCCTTGATCCAGGAAACAATTAAGGACAAGTTCAGGGATTGCACAGTCATTACAATTGCCCATAGGCTGAATACGATAATGGACTGCGATCGTATTATGGTTGGTTGTTAACCTACTTTGTTTCTTGTTTATGTTGGATCTCACTTTTCTAAAACTACTAAAAGAAAGCTGTGCATGTTTGGCAATTTCGGAAAAATTGTTAACTCTCACTATAGGAGATTTAATCATAGAGAAATATATTCAATGGGTTGAATTCCTGATAAAAACAAGATAGGAATAGTTTTGAAAGCGGAAAAGAAAGTTATTTGACAAAGATAACTTTCTCTAGTTTTTTGTCGTATTTGGCTTGTTACGTATTTGGATATTTGGAAACATTTCCTGAAAATATGGCCTTATTGAAGAACTTCTGTTAGGGTGAAAACCTTAATTAGAAAATTTTAACGAGAACGGTTCTATTGGGAATCGTGCTAGAATATTGGGTGTTCCGTTTACACGAGATCCGCCAGAACCGTTCTAAATGGAACTGCCAGTCCTGAAAATCAGCAGGACGACTGTGGGTAGAATAACTTCTCCTACAGAAGATTAAAATTCTCTTAATGGTCATAGATTAGCAGCTTTTTATTTGTTTTATTCCAAGTTAAATCTTTTCGCTTATAGGTCATTAAAGCTGGTAAGATAGTCCAGTTTGACGATCCGTGCGAGTTATTCAAGGACAAAGATGGGGAATTTAAGCAGCTTGTCAACCAATCTGGTAATGTCGAGGCTGCACGTCTTGAGATGATGGCAAACGAGGCTAAAGAAATAAAGCAGCTCATAAAGGAGAGAACCCAGCAAACATATCCAGGATGCAATATTACAAGGTCTAAAACAAGAGAGCAAATAATTGAAATTTTTGGCTCACGGGTTGTATACGAAACATCCTTATAGTTTCAACCTGTTTGTGATAACCATACATAGCTATTTATTCCGTAAGTTCTTGCTAGAGTAGGGGGGTATTTAGACGTAACATCGAGAAAATGATCATTTTACTACAGTTTCTATTAAATGAATAAACCCTTTGGTCACTTTTTAAAAACATATAAGAAAATCTGAAGCGAATTTTGAGATTTCTTTCTGCATATAAATGTTTAGACAATAATCAGCCAGTTAGTAAGTTTCTTGCTTGTCCAGTGAAATTTTCTTCTTTCAAGAAATAAAGAAGCCACTAGGTTATCAACGGCCACGCTGCTTCCACGCACTGGCTTCTCTTCTATCGATGACGACAGCCCCTTGTATTTTGAATATTGTAAAAATATATTTTTGAAGAGGTTGTGAAGAATAGAAAAAAGGAAAACTGGCTGGCTACTTTCCCATCTTTTTTCGTGCCTTCTCAGGTCGAAGCTCTGGTCTTTATTTCTTCATAAGCTTTTGTATCTTTTGTATATATATATAAGAGACGTATTATAAAAAAACATATTTATAGTATAGTTTAACATCTATATTTTAGATAGTATCGCGTGCAAGTATTTTTTACAAAGCAGTGATATTTGGCACTTATGTTGAGTTTTTACTTAAAGATCTCTTCTTTTTGCTATATGCACAAGTCATAATTAGTCTCTGTTTTTATAATCTGCTAATAGTGTACAGATGACGGTGAAACAATAGGTGATAAAAATATATAATGAAAACGAGAGAAGAGACGGAAATTGATTAATTAATCAGTTGATCTTTGAAACAATTGGTTTTTAAACCGATAGTTTTTGTGCAATATTGGTCTTCATATCTAAATTTTACAAAACTAACCATGTTGTTTAAACCTATATTTCATATTTCACTTTTTTGCATAACAAGATGGAAAATACCTTTCAAATGAATCAGAAACCATTGCAAAATAAACCAAACAAACTGTGTGGTATTTGTTCACAGCTCAGCCCCATGTTTACTAATGATTTTCGCTCTGTCGTGTCAGGGGGTGTGTCAATGTTATCGTATTTTCAGCTGTAAGTACGCAAAACCAAGGAAGCTTGGCGCAAAGAAAGCACAACTTCAAGACCATTGTATGTTATTTTCAGCATATTTCTTCTAGATTTTTCGCAGTGCAGATAGTGATTTTTGTTTACCTTGCCAATGCCACGTGCACAAAATGTATTGAAGTTGTGTCTAGACTTATGTTCATTCAGGTTAAACGTAACTTTTGGAATTCATTTTCAGGTTTTTGCTTTTTAATACATATTTATCGTAAAGGTATAGACTGAAGTCAAATTGCAACTGATTTTAGCGTGTTTTCAAATGGGAACGTTGCCTTGCAGAGCGCAGTGGCGAGCATGCCTACCCTGTGCTCTGTCTATTTTCTTTAAAAGATTCGTTATTTCTTGCTTAAATATAAAGTACTGCTAAAATTAATTGACTTCTAAGCTACCTCATCCGCTATTTTTACTATCTCCTGCTTTGAATTAAAACCTGTATTCTGTTTTTCCCTTTGATATATATGTTTATAGGAAGAAGCTCGAAGATACATTAGATTTGGAGCAAATGGGAGACCTACGGTTCAAACTGCGACAACAAACCATAAGGTACAAATAATTATACATTTTTTTTGTACATAATATGCACATCCGTATGATAATGTTTATATCAAAGCAGTGGCATGGTACACTCATTTCTTTATAAGAAACTGGCTATAAGAGACAAGTACTGGACAGCTCCAGTACTCGAAGAAAAAAAATTAAGAAACTATTAAATCGTGATAAAACTGAGAACAACGAAATTTTCTAAAATCCTTGATTGCCGTGTTGGCCTAGAATTAAAGACACAAGGGATAAAAATATACTTCCTACATCTAAATACAGCATCAGAACGGAAGCGAATATCTTGCCGTGATCAAAAAGTCACGGACATTTCATAACATAATTCTTGACATCATAATTAAGAAACTCTTAAGAAACAATGAGTATTAAAATTTCCAGAACATTAAAAAACTGGAGTACTCAACATCGACTTTTGTTTCTTTTAAAAAAATGAGTGTATCGATTGAGTCATGGCCCTCTCTTCTCTTCACGATAGATTGGGGTGCAAACGAATTGTTGACAAAATGGGGAAAAAAGCTTTTTGGATTCGTCGTTAAACTCTTTAATAAAAATTCACTTATCAACGCTAAAATTAGTTCATTTAGTTTGAATTGATGCCGATTGTCCTGTAAATCTTTAGGCTATCATTTAGTTCTTTTGTTATCAGTCTGGTTGTTTCATCACAATGCATAAAATATTTTTTTTCTGTCAGTGTCAGTGTCAGTGACATGTTTTTAAGGTATTATTTTGTACCGTGCACCCAGGGAATCATTTGTCTACCCAATCTAGGGGCTATCTACAACCCTGTCTTAAACTCAGTACCAAGTGGTCATGCCAGGGGAACGTATCCACCTCTATCGGACACGTCTGTGAAAATATTTGCCAAAACCCCACTGTGTCGCCCTATTCTGTTTGTCATGCGTCTCAAAGATATGCGGAGAAAATATTGAGCATTCAAGCTGGTCAAGAAAGCGCCTTTTCTTGGCTAGAGCGCCTGGGATGAAGTTTGAAACACAAACTTGGAGCGCCAATGTCTACCTTTTTTCCAACACAACTGCTGAAAGAAAGAGTCCAGGGAATCGCACGCATCCACGAGGGTTTTGGGGTATCCTTCTTTGGGAAATTGATACCTAGTGGACTCATCTTTTACCAATTTATTAGAAATCAATGTCGGCGTTATTTGGTTGCCGAGATAGGACTGCTGTGAATGATCAGTACACTCTTTTTTTTATAAGAACAATTTTATAAGAACACGAGCCTCAAAATTGGTCAAAAGTTAAGAACAAATCAAGAACAAGCTGGAGCTGAGCTTCTGCAAAATGCAATTTTGAACAATGTTTTTTTCTGAAAATCGAGGATTTTTAGCGATGTGTGGGTGCTTTTTCGTCGAATATTCAAACTTTTCGGCAAATGAAGGTTGTCTCACGCACTTTGTTGGCAAATGAGGCCTGAACACCTCCCTAGAGCGAAAAAGCTAGCACCCAGGGTGCATTCCATGTTAGACCCACGCCAGAGAAATTTCAGCCTATTCTAGTTGCCACGCCAAGTGTAAAACATACAAGCTTTCGATTAATCTATAGTTTGCATTGCTTTTACTGTCCATATCAATATAATCAGGCTGTCCACGTATTCTGTACAAGTACCGTTTTTGCTACGCCGATCGCGAAAATTTATCACGTACGCCACCAATGCGCCAAGGCTCGCAAATAGCAAATTTCACGCCGCTACGCCGAGGAAAAAGCTAAGTCCACGCCGGAGATCTCCGGCGTAAACTACATGGAATGCACCCTGGGCTAGCACTCGCACTGCTTACACCCTATTAGATTAAGAACAAATTAAGAACAATCCAGCCTCAGATTTTCGAAAGCTGACTAATAAGGAAATCCTTCTTGCCCCTCCTTACACGCCGTCATTTCTGCTTTTATCGCCGGATTGCGGCGCAAAAATGATCCTTTTTTGTAACTAATATGTTTAGAATAGGCCGTCTTGTGGCGCGAAAAATTGACGGAAAATACGCCTCGACTGTCTGTACAGCTGATTTATCCTACATATACCACGTTGATTATACAGAGGAGGGCTAGCCCTCTTTGCCAAGAACTCACCTTGCGTAATTAATCCTTTATAACATTCTTTTTCATTTATATGAGAGGACAGAGGAGGGCTAGCCGCCTTGGTGAGATCTTGTTATCGAGCTACCAGTAACTTGCCTTGGAGGGCTGAAAATTCCATTTTAAGCGCAATCAAATGTATATCCTCAGTACATCCTAAAGTTCATAAAACCTCTCCATCACTGCTCAGTTCTCCAAAATTTTACCCAACAAATCCTTTTTTTCCGTAACTATCTTATCTGCTTTGCAAGTTTAAACATTTCTTACTGATACTTTCGTTTTCATTGGTTCTTTTGGTTAAAATTAAAATAGTAAGAAAGCCGTATTTTTGAAATATAAGCGCAATACATGTTTTTTTCTTAAGAAAAATGTATTTTTAATTGTCAAAGTTTCCTCCGTTTTGCCACGTGGCACTTGCTGATATGGTGTAGAGACTCGGTCAGCCCCCCCGAATGGGCTGGAGAAAACTCCCACCCGCAGAACAAACGGAACCTTTAATAGCGAAGAGGAGATCCAACCTCGTCTGTTGTTTGCCAGGATGTTTTCAACCATAGAAATCCTACTATTTTTATGTTCTCCAGGCACCGCGGAGTAGGATCCCAATTTTTTGCAAAAAATGCCTAATATTTAGTAATCAACTACTAGTAAAGCCTTTTTTATGCGGTTTTAGCCCCCCCCCCCATTTAATTAGACCCCTATTTTTCTCAACGCTCCGCGGTGCCTGTTCTCAAGCATAGATATGCGCCATGGATCCTCTACCCTATCACTGATTGACCACTTCAAAATTGTGAATTTTACGCATGTGAATTTCAATACTTGAAGAAACACCAATGTTGTCAAATATGATACACTCGGCTAGACCTTGGCTGGACCAAAACTACAAAAAAGTATACCATTGCTCGCGGCAATTGAACAACACCTTCCCCCGTTGTATTTTAATTGATTTGTATCTTGAACACTTCATCAAGATACGTTAAAGGCAGGCCACCTTGGACATCGCAGCTTCGAGAAATGATAGATTGCTTGTGTTTCCGTCTAACCATTTTCACACATCGTTTTACACCTTAAGCAAACATTGCAATCCAATACCTACGTTTCGGTTTTATAAATGCATCAAGCTGAGTTTTGACGTAGAACGTCTATTCTTTGTTTTGGAGGAGCCAAATTGTTATAGCAAATTATTACAAAACCTTGCTTATTAAAAAATTGGATATATTTTCTGTTTATACCCTAACAGATTTGACATGGCTTGACCGTTCTCCAAATTTTATCGTTTATCATAGTCTTCCAAAGCCTGTGCTTCAGACCCTTTTCAAGTTAGGGGTCTGGGACACAGGCTAAGTCTTCCAATGCAACTGGGCCTGCAGCTTTTCTCGAATAAACCGGTCAGGACCTTTTTTAGGCTACGTTCAAGCTACTCCGTATTCGCTTCGCTTCGCTTTCATTGATGAAAACGATGTCCGTTCACACTGATCCGTTTTCAAATGAATACGCTGTGAATACGATGGATGTTCACGCTACTCCAACAAAAACGTTGTTGGTGGCCTCGTTTTTTAAAACAGGCGTTCACGAATCCTCAACAAATTGGCGTTATTATGAATAAAATTAAACTAGAAATAGCTCTTGCTAGTACTGCCCGCAAACAATTAGTTCCTTGATAATGATTGTTTTGAAAATTTAGGTCAGGATATTCGAAGAAGACACCATCTTGGGTTTTCACAATTTTATAAAAACAGCTGCTCTAGTTGATGCTAAACTATTCTTTTTATCAAGAATTTTTTGTGTTCAGTTTGCCTTTGATTTAAGTCCAACGCCATTTTGAAAATCATGAAGTTTTTCTAGGGTTTGACATTTATTTTTCGTTTTCGTGAAGCAAAGACGTATGAAAATGGACACGTGATAGAACGGGTACAGCTAAAATAGATTGCGATA